CGGTTTCCTTCGCGCGCCCCACCCCGCCGTTGCCCCGCCATCAACAGGTAATTGTTATAATGAACAGCGAAATAATAGGCTTAATCCGTGTTGGTTTCATGCTTTGTTTCGAGAGGCGCAGCTGATACACAATAGCCCCTGACAGAATGATTCACTAAATCTATTCAACTGAAAAATAATCTCGTTTTGTTACATTCAAGCGTCCATTATCCGCGCCAGAAATTATTTGCTGCTTTCCCCTATTTTTTATTTCATTTATTTATTTGTTGTTATCAATTCTCGTATATGTACTTTAATCCGCACTTTCACGGTGCTGTCAGAATTATCGATGTATTTTTTATTAGTCACGTAAAAATGTATTGTTTACAACATATAAAATACTCGAACAGAAGAATCTTTTTTTATGGGAAAACACCTAATACCTCTGTGTCGATCGATCGACTAATCGATCGTTCTTCAAAATTAATTAAGGCTTTTAATTCCGCGGCCGCCAAAAAATTCGTCATCCGCTGCGATTTGTATACGAAATATAGATCGAGCAGTATATCATCACATATTAGACCGCTTATTGAAACCGAATGGACGAATTGTTAACAAGGGAATTCGGATCAAAATAACATATATTGCTGTAGCATATTGCGCGGATGTTTCGCTTTTATACATTTTATTTTCCGATACACGCGATATTTTCGTGCAAAAATGCGGAAAATGCTATCGAGTCGCTTGGAGGGAGAGAGATGCTGATACGTGATTACGCAAGTCCTGTCGATACACGTAAATTCGGCAAAACGTTATGATTATTAAATGAATAGAACAATTAGTCACTCACCGTCGAAGAGCGCCGCGCTGTTGTTTCCACTTCCCGCTGCCGCTGCCGCTGCCGCCGCCGCGCCGCCTGCTCCATTATTTCGGACACAACTCGCTGGCAGAAGTCGAATTAACATGATAATCGCCCGTCGTTTCGGCACTCTCCACGCTCTCCACCGCAACTCCCTATGATTCACTGCACTCATTTACGATTCACTGCGCTCACTGCGATCCAGCACGCTGCACACGAATAAACAAACACGCGCGCAACACTTGCGATTGCTTGTTGCTCCGCGCGAAACATCGGTCGGGAAACACATACAGCTGATTACGATCGCGCGGGTTGCTTAACATTTTTTTCGACGCTCGCCCGTCGCCTTTCACGGCATTCATGCGGCCTCGCGAACATTTTTTGCACACCACCGACGAGCGGATTAACACGCGAAACACGATCAATCGTTTCTCGTAACGGAAAACTCGCGAGGTGTGCGCTTCGACGGTGACGGCTTTCGTCGCCTCGTTAACGTCCACACACGTACTCGCACGCACACGCGTCGCCGTCGGAAAAATGCGGCTAATTACGAGCCCGCGGGAGTAATTAATTACGTGCCCGTACACTTATTGCAGTTGGGACACACTTGAAATGAATAAATCAACGCGAAAGTCTAGCCTTATCTGTGCATCGGATTTTTTTTCGATCATTTTTGGTAACTGACGTTTACTTTCACGCGGTATCTAATTCTTATAATCAATAATTTCTCGATAATGTATTTCGAATGTACGATGAAATTCTTATATCCGTAGCGACCATAGCGTTAGTTTTTTTTTCAACGATATCGCGCTTCTAATATAATTTAAAATACTGTATTTAATTTTCCGTGTTTATTACAAAATATTAAAAAAATGTATACGAAAGAGACGTTTAATTAAGTAACGCACGCAATTCTATAACAACACGAGAACAGATCACAATATTAATTACGAGAACTTCTCGTTTTTCTAATCTATAGACAGCGATCGCAGAAAATTACCGCAATCGCTGCTAATTACTGTCGCGCATTTTAAGCCTTATCAGATTTTTTCGGTAATTTTTGATAACTAACGTTTACTTTCACACGGTATCTAATTGTTATAATCAGTAATTTCTCGATAAAGAATGTATTTCGAACGTATGATGAAATATCCGTAGCGACCCTAGCGTTAGTTTTTTTTTTCAACGATATCGCGCTTCTAATATAATTTAAAGTATTGTATTTAATTTACCGTGTTTATTATAAAATATTTAAAAATTGTATACGAAGGACACGTTTAATTAAATCACGCACGCAATTCTATAACAATACAAGAACAGATTACAATATTAATTACGAGAACGACTTCTAGTTTTCAATCTAATCTATAGACAGCGATCGCGATCAATGCAGAAAATTACCGCAATCGCTGCTAATTATTATCGCGCATTTTAAACCTTATCGGATTTTTTCGGCAATTTTTGATAACTAACGTTTACTTTCACGCGGTATCTAATTCTTATAATCAATAATTTCTCGATAATGTATTTCGAATGTACGATAAAATTCTTATATCCGTAGCGACCATAGCGTTAGTTTTTTTTCAACGATATCGCGCTTCTAATATAATTTAAAGTACTGTATTTAATTTACAGTGTTTATTACAAAATATAAAAAAATATATACGAAAGAGACGTTTAATTAAATCACGCACGCAATTCTATAACAATACGAGAACAGATCACAATATTAATTACGAGAACGACTTCTCGTTTTTCTAATCTACAGGCAGCGATCGCGATTAATGCAGAAAATACCGTAATTGCTGCTAATTACTGTCGCGCATTTTAAACCTTATCGGATTTTTTTCGGCAATTTATGATAACTAACGTTTACTTTCACACGGTACCTAATTTTTATAATCAGTAATTTCTCGATAACGAATGTATTTTGAATGTACCATGAAATTCTTATATCCGTAGCGACTATAGCGTTAGTTTTTTTTCAACGATATTGCGCTTCTAATATAATTTAAAGTACTGTGTTTAATTTACCGTGTTTATTACAAAATATAAAAAAAGTATACGAAAGAGACGTTTAATTAAGTCACGCACGCAATTCTATAACAATACGAGAACAGATCATAATATTAATTACGAGAACGACTTCTTGTTTTTCTAATCATTCTAATCTATAGGCAGCGATCGCGATCAATGCAGAAAATTACCGCAATCGCTGCTAATTACTGTCGCACATTTTAAGCTTTATCGGATTTTTTTCGGCAATTTTTGATAACTAACGTTTACTTTCACACGGTATCTAATTTTTATAATCAGTAATTTCTCGATAAAGAATGTATTTCGAATGTACGATAAAATATCCATAGCGATCCTAGCGTTAATTTTTTTTCAACAATATCGCGCTTCTAATATAATTTAAAGTACTGTATTTAACTTTCCGTTTTTATTACAAAATATAAAAAAAAGTGTATACGAAAGAGTTCAAATAAGTTCAATTAAGTCACGCACGCAATTCTATAACAATAGGAGAATAGATCACAATATTAATTACAAGAACGACTTCTCGTTTTTCTAATCTACTGGCAGCGATCGCGACTAATGCAGAAAATGACCGCAATCGCTGCTAATTACTGTCGCGCATTTTAATTAACTCGTGCATCCACAGTCTTATAAACGTAGCGAACACGACGTTAACTACAGTTACATCACTACTGGTTTACAGAACAAGGCAGTGATCGCGGTTAAAAAAAGGAATACATTGCGATAAATGCTAATTACTGCCACGTGTTTTAACAGAATTAATTATAGGAATTTTTCGCTTTTAATTTAGCAATTACAAGCAGCGCTTGCGGTTAATAATCGCAAGAAATAATCACAATCACTGCTAATTATACATGCAAAATATTACTAATTATTACAAATATAAATATATCCCCTTCCATCACGCAATTACATTAACACATACACAAACGTAGCAATAAACTAACGCTATTATTACTACAACGTTACTACGAACAAAATAACGCAACTTCAATTTACGTATGTACGTATATAATCAAGCCTTGAAAATCCATTATACGTATATAGTAACGCTATGGTCGCACGGAATTCACTTGACAGAACTGTCGCATGTTCCATGAAATTGCGTATTACGACGATCGCTCGACAATTTTTTCAGCACTATCAATATTACACGCTCATTTTTAGGTAATATTTATTCTCGATAACCCGAAAACAGAAGTAAATATGACGAATCAAGCGATTTGAGCTGTAGCGCTTATTTAAATGCGTCAATTCCGCGTTTCCGGTCGGTAGAACGAGAACAAGCGACAAACGCGATTAATGAAAATGATCGCGATCACTGCTGTAATTACTATCGCGAATTTCGACCAATTCATTTACGTAATCAATCTGCGGTATCTAACTGCTACGAACCCGCGGAGTTCATCTGCGAATTTTTCGCTTCATCGGTTAATAGCCGCGTAAATACAATAAAATATGAAGAAATTCTGTTTCCGTCCGATCATCGTCGTGGCCGCGGTCCTTTCTCGATACGCCAATAGCCTCTGTAACATCGTCTTCTCTCGATTGCGCCTCGGCGTCTGTGTCCAGCGCGACCGACGCCGTTAGTTCGCCATTGCTCCCGAGCTGACTCGCCGACGCCGTACTCGTACGTGTGGGAAAAACTCGGCTAATCGCGATCGCGCGGGCCGATCCGTCGCGATCCGGCACTCGCCCTTGTCTCTGCTGACGCGACACTCCCGTGCGACACTTGTCGCGGCGCGTCCGGGACAGGTGAAATGGGTCGCGAGACGCGAGGAGACGTCCGCCGCTCGCCCGACGCTCGCGATGTTCGTTACGACAAACTGCGCTTCCGAAAACATTTGAAGTACGATTATGCAAATGCGACAACCTCGCGGCGCCAAAATTCCGGAGCAGTTACGCGGCGGTTGGTATCTCTCGCGACGCCGAATTCCGGAGCTAATTACGCGGCGGTTGGTATCCCTCGCGACACCACGGAGGAGCCAATGAGACGCTCACGCTTCTATTCGCGTGAAGTTGTCGCCGCGAATTGCACTTGCAAGTTTCTCGCACGGCGATCGCGAAGAAGGACGAGAAGTTGTCGCCGTTCGCGTCGTTCAGCGCCGTTCGTGACGAGCGAGCGCCGCCGGCCGTGTTTCGCGCGCGATTCACCTGTCCCGAGTTTGGCCAGCGTCGTCGATCGATAACGCACGGCGATCGTCGCATTCATCCGATTTTCCACGAATGAGCCAAGTGGTCGCTAGCGGACGACGGCGACGCGCATCGACCGGTGAGTATATTTTCCGTTGGATTTACGATCGATCGTTCTCGCTCATCGGCACGTCGCGAATCGGATAGATCGCGGTTGTCGCAGCGACGAGAAATATCATCATCTTTATTATCCCCCAGATAAATTACCCGGCTCCAAGGTAAGCGAAGCGACGAGGTAGCTTGAAGCTCCGGAGCGCGAAGGAGGAGGTCCTTCCTCGATTGTATAATCGTCTTCCCTCTGTACGTCGTTGTGTCCGACGCTCCGACGGTGACGCCATTAACCCTCCAGGAGCTGATTCGCGTCCGGACGCCGTATTCGTAGGTGTGGGAGAAACGCGGGTAATCGCGATCACGCGGGAACGCAGGTCGATCGTCGCGATCTGGCACTCGCCCATGTCTCACGCGACACAGAGTGGACAAAAGACGCGAGCGGACGAATAGCGATGCCTCAATCGGTGAGTATATTTTCCGTTGGATCAATCGTTCACGCTCATCGGCACGTCGCGAATCGGCTAGATCGGTTGTCGCAGCGACGAGAAATATCATCTTTATTATCCCCCAGATAAATACCCGGCTCCGAGAGAAAACGAAGCGACGCGGTAGCTTGGAGCTCCGGAGCGCGAAGGAGAGGAAGGAGGAGGTAGGAGGACGCGCGGGATGTGCTCGGGATCGCAAGTTAACCTGGCGCGATAAAAGCCGCTCTAAATAAAGCGGCGTATGTACGGCGATCGCATGTATACGGCCGACACGTAGAATTTGGAAGGTGGGGCGGCTGCAGCAGCGTCGTCGCGACGACGACGACGACGACGACGGCGGCGATGGCGACGACGTCGAACATATTCTATCAGTCTGATAGCTCTCGGCGGGATACTCGAAGGCGGAAGGTTAGGGCGGGCGGTTTGATATCTAATATCGGCCGCGCGCCTTTATGTCCTCGGTATCGTTTTATGTTGCCCGGGTAATCTTCGCCTCCCTCGGCGTCACGGCTAAACTTTCCGCCACGTAAGTGCCGCGCGCCGCGCGATAAATAAAGGGAAGAGAGAGACAGAGAGAGAGAGGAGTAGAGGGCAAAGGGCCGTCGGCGGCGCGGAACGACGTTGTCTCTCCTCAGTTATTCAGAAGAATTAATTAACGATATGAACAAGCTGGAGCAATTCCGAGAGGATCCTGATGGGCTACGAGAGACAGAGAGAAGAGAGAGAGAAAGCACGTCGGGCTCTAAATCAGACGGGAGAGTCGTCGTGAGGATTACGCGGCGAAACGTCCCGGCGTGGAACGTAGGAATCGTCTCGCGAGTGATTCCCCGCGCGCAGTTTTAGGGCTACCTGAAAGAGGACGACGGGCTATTTAACATTCCGCCTCATTTCCCACCGTTTCTCGCCTCCTCCCCCGTCGCCGTCGTTCCCGTCATCGTCGTTCCGAGCGAAACGCTCGCGCTCGATGCGAAAATTGCCTCGGCAAGAATTATTGACTATAAATTACTCGTCTCGCTACCCCTTAGCCTCCGCCGTTCCGGGCGCTCTCCCGACCGTTACTCATGCAAATGACGGCGGAGCCCGCGGGGCCTCCGCGTACGCCCTGCGCCGGCACACTCGCCACTTACTCACCGTTACACCGAGGGGGAGAAGATCTCACCGGGGAGAGAGAGAACGAGCGGCGAGAAAAGGCGTTCTCTCTGGGTGCCGATACCGGCGGGTGGAGGGCGAGGCGCGAATTGCCGCGAATTTACATTTTATTGCGCGCGCCCCGAGACAGACTGCCTGGGCTTCTTCTTCGCGCCGCTCGGATCTTTATTCGTTTTCCTATTTACTGGCGTTGCCGACGTCGTCCACGACACACGAACGAACGAACGCTCGGCGGGCGCGCGCGTTCGTTCGTGTGCTCGCGCACACCGGGCCGTATTGTCATTCGAGCCGCGCGGAGAACGGCCCTCGATCTTCCGGAAACGTCGATCTTCTTCGCCGGTATATATAACGATCGGGAAGAGCGATCGCCCGTAGCCGAGCGTAGCCTTTCGATGCGTTCCCGAGATCCATAAATAATAATCCCGTTGCAGCGTCCTCGTGTCGGAAGTCATTTTTTTATTTATTTTCGCGGTAGAAGATTACGATGTTTCATGCTCGTCGCCGTGGACGTCTTGTTTCGAGAAACCGCGACACGCGTACGTGGATAAATAGCCGGGGACAAATAAATTTCGATCCATTGTCCCGCTTTACGGCGAGAAAAGTCGCGTCAGCCGACGGATCGGCGACGACGGCGGCTATGCGGTATACCCGAGGCTAAATTGAATTTTTTTCAATTCATTCCACTTCGCTCGCGCGGCCGAGACGCCCGGTGTAGTCAATGGGGTATCTGTGCGCGACAGCCTCACCTATTCGCGGTAGATTCTCATTATTTTTAAATTGGAAATGAGAAGTGCGCGGCGAGAGAGAGCGCGGTCGAGAGCCACCTTCGCCGACACCGGGTCGCGTCGCGTCGCGTCGCGTCGTATCGCGTCGTGCCGGTGCATTATTCCACGCCGATGTCTATAACCACGCCACGGCGAAGGTGGAGACGCAGAAATTAATTTAATTACAGGCCGGATGTCGATAGCAGTCACCGTTCCTTCCGGTTAAAGAGCGGAGCAAAAAGGACGCGGTTCTCGGAAGGGCTCTTTAATCTACGCAACTCTTCTTTAAAATTCATTGGGGAGGGGGGAGGGGAAGTTCATCGCGCGGTGCAATCTTCTCATTTGCTATGCTAAACATGTCGAGCATTAAGCCAGAAATAAAGTTCCTTTAACAGAGATATAAGGAAATTCGTCGGAAAATTATGTCTATATACTTGTAGCATTGACTCGACGCACGAAGATATAATTAAATTTAATGTACAAAACTAATTTCATAATCAAGAGCTTATATTCGAAATAATAAAGAGTCGATTCTAATTAGACCGAAAAATTTCTGGTTAACTACCGACGATTAATTTCTACTACTGTGTATAAAACAGGGAATGAAGGAGGAATATAAATTGGTTTAATCATTTACCTGTTGCAGCAAAAGTCGCGGAAAATTTCAAATAATGCACCGTAATAAATCTAAACAATTTAAACAAAAATATATATCAGACATATAAATCAGTCATTTGGACTGCTTTGGCAATTCTAATTAAATGCTTGTTTTAATAGAAACAATATAAGTATGTGTATATAACGAATGGCACACAAATATCAAGTGCGAATATAGATTCTATTTCAGAAAAGGGCAAGTTTGACAATCACGTGCTTTTAAACAGTAATCATGCAAAGCTAATTGTATTTGATGTGAAGAGATATTATGATATAGATTATAGAGAAAAGATATGTCGTTTTGAATTTCGAGTAAAACTCATTTATTAAATTGGAGCCAAGATACAGTCTGTAGCCGAGGCAGTACTTTTATACAATTATAAGATGATACCTATATCGTCTATCTCTTGAAAAATAAAAATTCTACTAGATCGTTAATAGTTAATAGTACAAATCGAGAGCATTAGGTATTTCGTCGCTTAAAGTTAAGACTTCTTTCGTTCATGATGTTGAATTTAGTAGTCGCGCCACTTGCACGAATCAAAAATTATATGCGACAATATCAAACTTTTTTTCAAAGAAGACATCATAATTTTAAAAAAGAGAGACAGAGGAAAAATCATGATACGTTTATTGACAAAATCAGCCTCGAACGAAATCTATAGAAAGAAAGAAATTTCTCCCATTTTTTTTTTATTCTCATTTAAGTAACGATTCAAAAAATTATATTTTGGTGTACAAAAATTGATTAGATACATAGTAAATCTGTTCTATCTCTATTTGAAGATGTCTAAAAGGACTTTTTTAAGATGTGTATGTTCCGTTTATCTCTGTTCAGCCCAACGGTAGTCTCTCTAGTATTCTAGATTCGTGTTTGAAATTAATTAATATCGTGTATATATATGTGAGCTATATATTTACTTGTAATTTAGATATATCTGTACATTTTCTACGATTCTATAATTGTTGTATATCGCTATCGCTTATACAATATATTATTAATCAGATATAATAATGAAAAACAATATAGAAAACAAAAGTTTCCTTCTACCTCGATTTGATTTCATTAGAATAAATATGGGCTAGAAAGAGAGAGTTAAAAATTTACTTTATAAATAGCATTTGCTGGACTTCGAGACTATAGTACATAAAAAAATATATAAGCGGTGGAACTAAAGCGGCAAGCAAATCGATTAATTTACAGTTGAGCTCGTTTCCGACCTCATATCATTCTCGAGGCTCTTTTTATGCACTATGGCCTGTAAAAGTAGTAGATTATTATCAGAAATTTCTTTGAGATATGATTAAACTCTTTGATAAATAATGAGAAACTATATGACGAATATGTAATCTTTGTGCAACGAATGTTGTAGAGTATATTACTGCAACATTTAAATAATAATATAATATGCCTGTGGTTCTCTGTAACTAGCTCACATTAAATCTATCTAATCTATTATTACAACGGTAAACTCCTTCACTGTGAAAGAACACCTCTTTCTCTCTCTCCTATAATTTGTATACCGGCATTCGTAATTCGGGCATTAACAAATCTCTCCGCTGCTTAGGATACTTTATATTTTATTTTGAATGTATCTTATCTACCATTGAACTGCTTACATACTGAGTGTCGGGTTATTCGAAGAATAATAATTCTAGATAGTAAGATAGTGGAACGTTTGTCAGAGTTAGCAGTTTAGGGTAAAACGGTGGGGATCTCGAAACATCTCTCACAGTATCGACGCTAATCTGCGCACTCTCACGAACGTTATTTACAAATTCAGCATCAAATACTGATGATTTTTTTCAACTACAGTTCGCACACTACAGTTCGCTCGACGAACGAGCATCGCGCTTTTCTTTTTTTTTTGTACTAGTAATCGATAGTGAAGACATCCCGTGATAAGAGTGTGTAATGGGACAACGGATCTCTATACGTGTATATTGTCCAAGGGAAATTATACCATGAGCTCGAATCAATTCGAAAAATGCGTTTCTAAGTAATCATCTGCGGGCACATTATTTTAAGTATACGAGTGATTAGTACCATAAACATCAACTATACAGTTATTGCTATGGAAGCAGTACGACGATTCAGAGCCCCGATAAATTCAAGCGAACTTATCGCATACACGCACATATATATATATATATATATATATATATATATATATATATATGTATATAAACATACATATGCACATGAGCCAAGTATATATGTATATATACATATACCTTGCTGTATATACGCATATATAACATCTGGTCATTTGTATATGTATATTTTATATCTTATATATTGTCTTTAATTAATCTAAACTATATGCATAGTGCTAAAATTACAATAGTTAATTCAAATGTCACGTCACGGTTAGATGTTGTCGTAAATCCAGTTGAACTTATCGTCGGCATCGAAATAGCGTAACTCATAATACATTGTTATATAAACAGCTTTTATAACTCTCTGTCCTACTTGTATTCATCTCTTTTTTTATATATATATAATATATATATATACATAGCACGTCTAGCGATAACTACAATCGATAACAACTAATACATTCTTATCAGCGTGGCGAGTATAGCAGCTTTTTGCGGCCTGCGCAACACCCGCCATTCTGGATAAAATATATTTCATTGCATTCAACTTTTATCCAATACTCTCTTTCTCACCGAGTAGTAATTAACTACGTTCTTTTATTGTCAATACATTCGGAATGGTGTCGCTGTGCCGTCTCTTGCCTGCGTTCGTGACTTTCCGTAGTAAAGTGGTTCCACAAAATTAGACAACTCCCCGTCGAGCCCAACAAAATTTTTCCCATTTGCACCCATTTGTTAACTCGATAGACTTACGAATCTTAAGAATCGCATTGGTCACTCTATCTATTGGTCGTTCTATTCCCTTATTTTACGAAAGTGTGATCTACGATCGTGTAACGATAAATACTTAAATACAAGTCAGCCCTTACAATGTACACGGTTATAAAATTTACATCGCGGAGATAAGAATTATTAGTCAATAACAACTCTTCTCTAGAATGTGTTTTTACTACACTGCAAGTTTCCAATGGCATTATTAATATACGTATGAGTAGCCATGTGTACTTCGCGTTTCAATATAATATATATTTCTCTCTCTCTCTCTCTCTCTCTCTCTCTCTTTCTCTCTCTCTTATGTAACACATATATAATATTAATCTAATATAGGAGAAACTCATGTATGTATAAGTACTATTTTTAGTCGATTTACATAACTAATGCGATTCTTAGCGTTTCCACTCGATTCCATCTGTTCGAAAGTGCTTAAAACTCCGCAACAGTGTGACGTTTCGTAAATACTTATTGGCAATTCTTTGCTGAGAAGCAAACAAGGCAAGGCGCCATTAAACACGTTCACAGGACGTCCGAATGAATTAACGAGTGCCACCGGTTAAAAGGCGAATTATTACATAATTGCTTATATTGACTCGCGTATATCTCGCATCTTTGCGTATTTAAGTACTTTAGTAATTTTAAATAATTATACGTACATGTCACACACATCCGCGCGAATACGCCACGGCCTTTCTCTACGCCTCCCCCCCGCCCACGTCGACACGGTCCCTCTTTTATTCATCCATACGCAAAGATTTACACATTTGAGAGATCGTCGCAATACTCATCCGTTTTGAAATATATGTTTTTTTTGTTTTATCTCGTTTACAGCATGTGCGTGTGTACCGTGTGCGTCGCACAGGGTGATCGCAATGTACAATGCATCCGCTTTGTCCGCTCTCTCTCTCTCTCTCTCTCTCTCTCTCTCTCTCTTTCTCCCTCCTTCGTGTAGATGTTTCCCCATGTGTGCGCGTGTGAGGATTGTAGTATAGCTAGCTCTTTAGTTTGTTAATACGACAAAACTCAATAGACGAAACACGAGCGCTAAGTAACTAAGGAAACGTGCGTCGTCCCGGGCCGAATGGCGTCCTCATAGCTGGTACCATTTCTTGTCTTTGTACTTGAGCATCAGTCCGTGTGCGCTCGTCGAAAAGTTCTCGGCCTCGGACATCATGCGCGCGGTCCGTTCCTCGAGCTGCGACAGCTTCTCGCCGCGCTCCACCACCATCTGATGCGCCATGTTCACCTCGCCCGTTGCGCTGGAGACTCGTTCTCGTAGAGCCTCGTTTGGTCCTGGAATATGTTTCGCCACTGTGCGCGACGCACGACCGCTGGACTCGCCGACTGCAATCAGCGTAAGCGTCAGCTTCCGAATTTTCTCTTTTTACTTTTAATTTTCCTCGTTACATCATCAGTAAAGAAAATCCACTTACACAACTCCTCCCGATCGAGACTCCTCGAACCACCACCGAATAAACCTTTGAAGAAGCTCTCTTTAGGCGGTTCTGGCATATCGTGGCCAATAAACAGATCGCCCATCATCTCCGTCAGTTCACCGCTATAATCAAATAAAAATGTAGTTTACGTTATTGAATCAAATTTAACATTAGAATACGTAGAATGTATCGATATTTCAAATCCAGTATACAGTAAGATTAAAGAATTGTTGTATAGAATTAAAAATAGAAATGATAAAACACCGTACCAAAATTCACTCGAAACGGAGAACTTCTGTATTTCCATCGGTGATGAGAGATATAAACCGTGACCTCGATTGCTGAAGCAAAGCGTCTTTGCGATCCTGCAAAAAATGTGCACGAGGCAGCTTTACTACGATGCGTTGTTTTCAGCGATAAATAGATTGCATATATAAAATGACAATATCGGGGTACGAACTGTAAAAGAGTGTCGAGTGTGCGTATTTATATACATAGCATAAAGCTCTTGGTAGAGGGTGGTCAAAAATCAATGGTTGACAGTTATAAGAGGTTTTTAAGTGACGCGAGAGAAAACGCTTTCCTAAGTGGAAACACTTTATGAAGCTGAAAACAAAAATCGTGAAATCGAGAGAGAAGAGAGATATAGTATATTGCACGCGCAAGGCACTTGTGTTGTGTTGTGTCGAGGTTTATACGTGTAGTTTAGCTGTACTTTATATTATGACTTACTGATCGGTATCGCCATTAACAAAGAGTTGATGACCCCATATGGTCAACATGGGGTCTACAATGCCGTGTTTTGTGGTCTGAAAACTGTTAGAGATTACAGAGACAGGAGGAAAGTGAGCGCTCGACCGTACACGGGGGTTAATATAAGATTTACGTTAGTCATTAATTAGCATTAACCCTTAAAACAGCCAGTCCGGTATTTTATTTTTGATTTTCGAAGAGAGACTCTCTACATGTTTGCACGATTAATCTTATTTTCTCTGTATATGTAAGAAAAATTTGTAAGTGAAAACAGACGATAATAATATATATATATATATGTTAAATGTTGCCTGAAAGTTCGTAGTGTAGTGCCGGATTTTGCTAGATAGAAATCGTATAGATATGATACATATATAATGAGATAGAAAAATTTCAAAATAAAAGTTAAAATTTGCAGATGAAGAATTGCAATCATGGACAATTATTTTATATCGCGTGGTTGTGAAACGTTGTGCGAAAGAATCGTAATCGTAAGTCCGTGTGACCGAGAGTATTTCAATTTTAACAAGCAGATCCGCATTTTCATTCGTTTCACAACGCTGCATTCACTGAAAAGTCTAGCGTATTTATATGCTCCGAGATAAAGAGTGCAGTAGTAGAAGTGCTCGTAAAAAATGACTACGAATGACGCATGCTCTAATTGTGTTAAGGGTTAACGAGTGCACTTATTGCAGAGAAAAGTCACATGCTAATATTATTGTTTAGTGGTTATCAATTCATTTCTTAGTAAATATAAGTATAGAGCAATTATTTATATAGATATATAAGTTAGCCTCAGCTCTTCATACTCTTTTTTTTTTTTGTTCAGACGATATTTCGTGAATAGCAAGTTATTAACATCGATAAAAGGATAAGCTGCTATGGATAGCTCCTAAAAAACATTCGCGTAATATCCTTAAAATAGAAAGAAATTTCTAGAAGTGTGCCATATTATCCATTTCTAAACATGTCGTTTAGTTTTATATATAAACTAATGTTTCTAAAATTTTGTATAATTATACACAGTTGAACTTTTATTCTGCAGAATGTTTGATAATTGCACACTTCTAGAGAATATTATACACACATATATAGGTATATAAATAGCATAGTATTATTATAAATATAGAATTTGATAGAAAATAATTTATAATATATAAATCGAAATACTCTTGTGGATAAGTACCTGATAGCCAACTATAATATCGTTTACGTGTCGCATATATCTCTGGCTTCGGTATCTTATCTAGATCTACTCGATGATGCTAGTCGATGGATTTCAAATTTGCGTTTATTATTGTTCTACTGCGAATAAATATAAAGTTTAAACGATGATGAGAATAAGCAGAATTTTAATAAGATTAACCAGTTTCATGCGACGTAATAATTAAATGTTAAAAAAAGAGTAAACCTGTAATAATCAGCTGTACGAAATGCAGAAGATAAAATTCGCTACGAAAGCTTTAAAGATATTGATTTAAAAAATATCTGAATGCAGCAGATAAGCCTTCGCTTGTAAACGACAAATAATTCGCCGCCGTTGTTTAATTAAAAAAAAAAAAAAAAAAAAAATTTCTGGACTTCCCTTTACCTTTTAAAAGCTCTAGCTCCTATTTTCTGTTTTCTAACAAGAAGCAATAATTACGCATGAAATATCATATTTAAAAGTTGTGATTTAATATGATATATCAGCCGTCTTCCAACCTATCAATTCCTCTGTAAAGCATTAGTAAATAGCTTCATTGGTGATACTTACAAAAAAAATTAAACTTTTTTTTTCTGATAGCCTTAAGGTTAGATTAATGGTAAAAACACCTTCTATGCAAGTTTAGTGTCCCTCAAAAACTAATGTTACTCATTTCAAATATGAGTATAATTTGAGAAAATATATCAAGTTATTACGATATTAACATGGCATCGCTAATTTACGACTGCGTCTTAAATAGATATGCAATGGATATTATTTTAATCTACACATAACGTTTTTATGCCATTCTGAATTATGTAGTATATGATTTTTTAATTTTTTAAAAATATGTATATGTATATTGTATTAAGAATTAAAAAAATGTAGAAATCTTTGCGATATTACAATAGCGTATATATAGTGCAACGCATCATGTGCAAAATATTGCCACTATCATATTGCCTTGATAGCTAAAATGAAAGAGTTCTCGGAAGGATCGGAGTTACTTTTCTTACCTCAAATCTATAAGAGGTAGAAAATCGACGTCTATCAGCGGTCTCAGGCTGGGTAGACTATACGTCGTGATGTGACCATTCGAAACGTAACATACCAGGCAGACGTTATCTAGACAGAAAGGTTTCGTGCGGATGAGATATTTCGAAAGATTTGCAATTTGAGATGACAGATATGTCTAAAAAAAAAAAAATCAGAATGTAAAAAAGAACATGGAGTGTACCTTTGAGTGATGTAACTTCTGCCTTAATTACGATATGAGTCTCCGCCAGCTGTTGCCTATATACACAGTTTTGGGAGGGTAACGCCACAACTCTTGCTTGCTTCTCCGACGCGAGCATGACAAACTGTCTGTCCTCGAAATTGTCCCCGACTTGCGTGTTCGTCGACGGTGACATTCGGCTATTTGTACATTTTCCTTGACTCTCTTTAAACAAAAATCCATACCGTTAACATGATATACTTTACGTGTGATGCGCATAGGAAGAACCTTCAAAACGAACGCAAAAATCACGGAATAATAACACGAGAGCTACATCGATTCTCTCTATTCTCACGGATTAGTAATAGGAAGTAAAGCCTACTGTTCCGTTCTTTGCCATCCGTGTTCTCGTCTTTCCAGGACTCGAACGAATACGGGATAAGAGCGCCGTTACAGTCTAAGAACGACATCGACAGGATACAACCCTTGAGTTTGAAAATAGATCCATCTGCACATACGAAGCACGCGTTAAACACGCACGTTGCATGCTAAGATGAACTTAAAACACGAAATTACAGTTAAAAATAAATATTATAATTATTAAAATTCAAATTTAAAATCTATTAAATAATATTAAATATTAAAAAAATCCGCTTACTAAAGGTAGACACAACCACTGGATGAGCATGTCGTTCGCTGGGGGCAGGCGTATTGAATACAACAGTCTGTACAGATCCCAGAGACGTGCCAATCCATAACGTCGGCATGCCGCTTGTATCTTGAAGAATTGAATTATCATAAATAATCCACCGTGGTCATCCAAGAACTTCTAACATAATTAATCGTTCTCGTACAATTTTGATTTTTAAAATGCGCGAAAAGCGATTCACTTGACTAAAAGTCAAAAGCGATGTCTACAATGAGACTTAAGATTTAAGAAAATTATTAATCGATTATCAATCGATTATTCTTCTCACGTAAGATGAATAATCCACTATATTGATTGATCAATTTTCTTAAATCTTAAGTCTCATTGTAGACGCCGCTTTAAGTCTATGCCGATCTGATACGTACCGCTTTTTTTCGTATAAGAATCCGCAAATGTAAGGCAGCTTATGGTTTCTGTGGTGATGTTTTCGAGAGACGACATACTCGAGCTCCTTGATCGTTGGAAGGAGCCGTCGAATTTGTCTATCCGACCAGCGGTCCCAAAAGAAAATTATCGATTATTTATTGGATTAGGGCGCGCCGCTTTCTTTTTCCGGGCTACCAGAAAGAAGCATGCACTAAATCGAAATTATCTTCCGTAACGTTTACATCGTCTTTTACGTATAGTGTAATATAATCGCAAAGTGTAACTATAGCGTAGTCAGAAACACTTATCAGAGACAGCGTAGCTTCAGGAGGACAGTAATAATAAATGATCGTGACAAATGGTAGAATGCTTGATTATGGCAACGATGACGATGACAATAATAATAATAATAATAATAACAGCGACAGCAGCAACAACAACAACTATCACGATCAAGATCTCTCGACTGCAGTTCACGTGTTAATTATCATCCTTCATACACTTTAAGGCTCATCAAGGACTTACGAAAAATAATAATCAAGTCACAGTCACAAAATTTACACAGACACATACGTACAAAAGACGCACGCGCATTCACACGCGTTAATACACTATACGTACACACGCACGCATAAGTACCACGTCCAATTAGCGCAGAAGTTAGAGAGTATCGTTCGCAGACTAACAAGTCAGTCTTGGCTAAGTAAAGCTATAGACGAGTGAGACGAAGAAGAATCACTCTTTTGCATGCACGCGTAAAGACATCCGGGCGGATCACCGGATTTGTGTGGTGACGAAAGTGTCGTCGACATCGATCAAGTTTTCTCCGTAATATAAATATAGACTGGACCAAATCAATATCATCTTGTATAGTACCTGGTGCGAAGATCAGATTCGTGTAAGATACTTTGAGACACTTCATATAAACAATTTTCCAAAATAATCGAACGTATGTTAGACAATATATATCATTTGAACATTCAATACGTTACCTAATAGCACGTAGTATACATACGGGTTGATTCTTGAACTTGAATTACACAAATGTAATTGTCTTACTACATGTAGCTAGAATAAATGTAGCTGTATTGTCTAAAATAATTGTCTCTACGCATCCCATAAATTAACATCAAACAATGATACATTTCAAATTATTTGGGATGTCGTGAAAGTAACGCGATACGAATAGGTGAGATTATTCTTCTAACAAAAAGTTTAGATCTGAAATTTCACCGATGGAAAATAATGGCACTTTACATAAAATCATATGTATAAATACATTAGACGTACGTGGCGCGGTATCAGTGGTATCAGTGTCGGTTTTAGAGGAGAGTTGCATGTGAGAATCGTCCTAGTTCTCGTGTAATAACACGATAGAAGATAACATTAATGTGCGAAAGGAACGTTTCACAAAACGCGAACAGTACGATAAGCTTTATGATAAAGACGTGTGTTGTTTGGGGACGAGAAGATGTTAACCGGTGATATTCGGTCCCTCCGGACATGTTTGCACATTCACCGCGTGCACGGTCCATCCTATTGTCAGTATAATATTCACATAAGGTGCATCTTAGATTGTGCATCGAGCTGAGAAGTAATTATCTGAGAGATGCAACGTTATAGACCACATCTATAAAAGAAGCAGAAATCAAAAAAGAGTTGCCACATAGGCGAAAACGAAAAGAGCAGGAAAGAGTATATCTCTTTTTTTTTTTTTTCGAGGGGTGCAGTGTGACAACTAGAGATCACGCAGTCTAGACGGTGTGCCATTTCGTGTTTTATTTAGAAAAGATTTCCACTAAAGAGAGCATGTACAAGTCAGAAAGAAAGAGATGCATCGTAGTGAGAGCTACCGAAGTCATTTTCACACTCAGATCAGGTAAAGACCAGACAGTATCTATTGAGTCTAGACAATAAAAAAAAAGACGTATGTCGTGCTGGAAGGGGATCTCGGGAGCAACGTTGCTCACGATAACGTTCGACAAATTAACTTCATAATCATTGTAAATCATAAAGAAAAGGAACAAATTACTAATAACTAAAAATCAATCTCATTCCGGAACTTATTTTATTACAGTGTGAGGGAGGAATGAAAGTATCGTAAGTAAGAAATAGACATCAATTAAGAATGAGTATTTTTTTCACATGAATTATTCGTATGAAAAAAAAGAATTAAATAACGAAATAAAATTATTATTTCATTTTTCGAATTTCATGACAATCTAACATGTAGCAACATTGCGCAGAGATCCGCACTCTCCGAGCTTGAAAACAAAAACAAAAACAAAAAAGAAATCCGAGAGAAGTATATCGCTCTATAGTCACAATGAAAATCAAAACTAAAAAGATCAAGCGATCAGAGAGAAATATAGCTTTTCCCATTCTCGGTGTCACAGAGAAAGAAACAATAATATCGGTGGTCTACGTATATAGTCCATAACATAAATAAAGTTACAGTGGTCTGTTATCGGATATAAATACTACCAAAGCTGCTATACTGTCTGGTGTTGGTGAGGATATTCTGGTAGTTCAAAGACGCTTGAGGGACGGCCGAGGGGTAGCTTCTCATCTCCGTGCTACGCTGAGCGTAGAATAGCGAGACTGTCGGAAAAGCGGCGGCAGCGCCCGTGGCGGAGTCCACTTCGAAGTGGCTGGTAGTGGTGCTCAGACACTTCTGGAGCTTCCTTATGCCTTGGGTGCGCAGGTGACGTTGATCTAACGTGACACCCTTGCGAGGCACCGTATTAATTTCCTCGTCGGCACCGCTAATCGTAGCGCCGACGGCGGTGGCGGCGACGGCGGCGTTACGGTTACCCGAGCGAGTTACGTTAACACCACCAGCACTAGAGCCTCCACCACCACCGTCGCTATTATTGCAGGCGCCGTTGCTGCCGCTGCCACCGGTGCTACAACCATCACTATTATCACCATTGTCACCTCTCTCACCACCAACACCCACTGTACTTCTTCCCGCCACCGGCAATACGCACATCCCGTTCATCTACAAATCAGGCGACACAAGTCAAACGTGAAGGCAAACATACGACTCGGTCGTTGCTTTCATTTTTATAAAGCAAATTTTTGCGTGGGCTGGACTCTTTTTATATGGAAATGTAAATGAACGCCGCGGGTTTTTTCTATCAAGCTAAACCGTCTAAACGAAGTAACAAAAGCGCGTGGAAAAATGAATTTCCATGTCCGTTTTTTTTTTTTAATTTTTTCGCTTGCCGGATTGTTATACCTACCCTACGGGCAAAATGTTACATTTGCACATTATTTTATCATTTATATTCACTCTCTATGAAACGTATATAATACACGTCAAGCTATTGTAGTTTTGTTTCGAATGCAATATAACAGTGAAAATATTCTTTTGTTATAGTTAATTCTTTAATTTTTATTATATTTAATTTTTTATATAAATCTTTTATAATCATTCTTAATTAATTCAAAAAGTAAGTGAAACTGAAACGATCACACAAGCTTAATAGAAATATACTGAAAATGTTAAATAATATCAAACGAAACAGCGCAGAAATTTATTGTAATCTGTAGGAGTTTCGTGTTTAAGAATATTTAAGCAAATTTATTTAAATATCACAATTGATATCGGTGTGGAGGACGAGATAAAATGTGGTAAAACGTGAATTGAATCCAAACGTTTTCATAAAACTTTATATGTATATATATACAGATTTGAATTCCCACCCTAAAATCGAAGAGAGACTCTATCGAGCTGTAAATAATGAATAATGTAACAATGAAACTGAATCGATAAGCTGGGAATCGCTGGCGGGAAAAAATGTTGATCGACAATGCGATTACTGTCACCTTGTTTGCCTCAACTATCAAGTGATGTATGTATGCATGTGCGCGAATAAAGAACTCTGCCTCGTCGCTGAAAGGTTTTCGTTCAACAGCACGTCGAAAATTTCGCTCTTCTCGCGTTGGTAAATTTCGACACAGCGATGACACACGGAACAGAATCTTCATCTCGAGCGGATGCTGCGTGCGCTGCACCACTTGGGAAGCGATAGCTTGTCAGAATCCGATCGTCAGATCGGAGTGGCATGATGAAAGTTTACGTAGCCCAGACAGACGTATACGGCGGAATCATGGCGTATCGGAAGTTTCATTAGGACAGGAAAATCAGGAGAGATCGAGAGACCCTTCTCTGCCACCTTCTCACGACTCCGCGTTCTGTCGTGCGGAAACGAACGAACGGAAGATCCCCCTCGATAGAGAGGACGGAACCGAAAACACTTCCGTTCAGTTCGATTGGACTTTGTCTCGACTATCCGAGAGAGAGAGACTTGTCGAGCAAGTTCGATAACAATAGTTCATTGTTGCTGTCTGCACTGCAGGGTGCTGACGTTACAGAAGATCTCGTAAGAGGAAAACACGTAAACGATAAACACGCCTCGCTCGTGTCTCGCACCACACCTTTCGTGCTGCTTGGTTGCTCGCTATGTGGAATATCAGCATATTATGCAGAGTCCTCTATAGCAGTCAGTCAATGTCGAGATAAACAATATTTGAAATAAAATCTGAAGTGGAAACACGTTCGGAAAAGCGTCCTGTCCGGGGGGAAGGGAGAGCTGTCTATAACACGCGTTAAATTCGCGCCTTAATGTGATTCAATAAAAAAGATACGAAATGACCTCCTCCCTTTTTGTCTCTCGTTGTCATTGATGATGCCACGATACCATCGGTGTTGTTATTATTATTACTATTGCTATATATTTGCGTGCAAACCATCGAAAAAATTTCCAAAAGCTTTGAAAAAGCAAATGTTGTACCGAGAGAAAGGTGTCTGGATAATATAAGAGTCGTCGGAAAGTAAGAAGAGAGAAATCAATATACAGTGATTCTACATGTAGAGAGATTTGAAGGCAAGTGGATGTGTCGCTCGACTCGTTTAAAAGTTCCACGAAAAAAAATAGAAATCCGAAATCTCGGGATTAGTACCGTGACCGAGCTATATACACAGGAACGACAAGAACTCTGCCTCTGTTAAAATTTGCAAACGTGTAAATCTTGTAACATCTTGACTGAGATCTCTCGGTGTCTCAAGGAACGTGTACTTTTCTCTCGGTGATAAGAAACAACTGCCAAAATATGAAAAACCTTGTTTTTTACCTGAATCGACCTTGCTGTCGGGGAAGACCGCAAAATTGATTTGAACCTGAAAAAGTGTTAAAGTAGAATCTCTTCGTATTGCAATGTAAAATTGTGTATATGGAGGACTTTTGACGCCGGTTGCGAACAGAGGGTTGCGTTTATCTCCTGGCTGATAATCCCGCGAGGGTGAAACAAGAGGTGGAGGGGGGGAGGGCAGGGGTCTTTCCCACATTTTGCGAGCATATAAGAACAATGTTTATACAAGTAGCCATAAAACTTGGAGTTGACACAAATGGATACCAAGATCAAATGGGAGGCGATGCACACTTTCAAAATTATCTACTGCATTCCAGGTACTGGTAACCTAGGGGGGGGGGGCGGGGGAGGAATACTAGAAATCTTATCTGTACAGCTTTGTCCTGACCTATTTCACCTATCGGCCTATCCGAGCGGATAAGTTGCAAACTTAAGAGATAATCGACAGGATAATGGCTTTTTTTAAAAGAAAAAGGCAGTCGATGCGGTTTAGTGAAGCGCTGACATCCTTTAAAATGTATTCTTCTGAAAATAGCATATCAGAAACACATATTTTTACGGACATAAATTTATGCAGTAAGACATGTGTTTTTTGCGCCGGAAGAATTTTTTGCCCGCGCGCATCTCAGGCGTAATATTTTATCGCAGTCTGTCCCAATAAAACTCGTAGTTTCTGCCTTCACGGAGAACAACGAAACTTGCAATATTACGCTAAATTCTACCACCGGACTTCGTGTGATTTAAACGACAGACCGTGAACTCGTTGCAGCTTAGAATACAAACAGGCATCCTCTGATCTCCACGAATCAGGAATGCATTTTAAAGAATTATCATTTTCAACATAGATACGCGCGTACAATTGTATTGTCCTCAAGCAGGGAATTGTCTGCACTCTTCTATAAATCATAAGGCCTTTTCTTCATGATCGAAGAAACGTCGACACACTTCGGACGTGCCTAATCGTAATGTATCGATGAACTTATTGACTGACCATTATATTAGACTCTACATTTTGCATGATCAGATTTCAGAGCGGTTCTCCTATTCCACATAACTATAAAATACTTTTGCGTTACAAGAAATGACTGTCAACGAATTTTTATCTCGTACTTTAATTTCACGATCGACGATATCTACAATGCTTCTGCTATCGAGTTCTTGCGAAAACCGATGTTTTTAAAGAGCTACAGTCGTCAATTATCATCCTTCCTTTCTATCGACATCTCTAATAAATACTCACGGAAATAAAATTTAAATAAATGTATAACTAAATAGATGTGCATATAGTAATTTTGTAATAAGTCATCCTTTTCACACTGCACATATTAAAATATATGCAACACATGCTCTTTAAAAATATACGATAAACAGAAAATAAATTGCTACCGTCAATCATTTTCTTTCGTTTAATCACGCATAGGAACGTGTATTTCAATTGCATTATAATTGCGCTGCTATTTCATCAATATGCACTGTATTGGACATGCAATAAGTAAAGAATACTAATAACGGATAACTATGGAAATTTGCTAGCTATATCTTACTCAATTTTATGTATATGCGAGCATATTATTAGATTTATGTGATCTGTGTATAAATAAAGTCCAAAAAGCTCTCCGAAAGCTATTAATATTCAATATTCATTGTATTTAATATTCATTTGTGTAAAACTGATCTATCGTTTTTTTTTTGTAACGTTTAAAATTATTAATCGCAAGGATTTTTCTTGGAAGAGTCCATATATGTTAAAAGCTCATTATTGTGCATATTGACCGATTCACCTAAAACATTAATTGTTTCACATAAATCTTTGATAATGACATGTTATAATGAAAGCCAATATTGGGTAACGAAATAAAAATCATTTCGCGTTTCTCGCGAAATTGTATTATGCAGATATAAAATCTTATTGTTTCAATAATTAAAGATTAAATTGGAAAAATATTTAATATTCCAACAATGTATGTACAGGCATACGACTCGATAATAACAAATTTTCGATTTAAATTTTGAGGAAAAGGAAAGGATAATAAAATATAAATTACTTTCTTCTGTCCTGATTAATAATAATATCGAATTCTGTGAAGTTTAAACGTTCGAAATGATCGGCACTTGAATGATTTATTTTATTATTAGATTAATTCGTTAATTTATCAAAATAAAATTTTTACCCAATCTTGGCAAAGATGCAATTAATATGAGTTGTGTTAACGTTTCCTCTGGAAAAAATTTTGAACGCATCTAAGAGCATCCTAGGCTTTGTGTTAAAAAAAAAAGAGGCAGAAGCACGTCCAGGGCCAGCCGAGCTCTCTCTATGGTTAGTCTACACCCACCACATGTTCTCAATCACAGATACAAATGCAATTTCATTGTTAATCGCACGCTTCCCGATCGAGGAAGGCTTCGATCGTTAGTAAGATTAATTACACGCACACATTCACATTTAACGTGAAAAAAAATCTAACGAAGTAATATATCTCTAAGGACACACGGACGACACATAACGCTCTTCTACGTTAAATGTATAAACACTTACTGAATCTTCTTATAAGATTGCCGGTGAACGATTCGGAGGTAGCGCTCTCCTCGCATCTTAGGTCACAAACGGTCGTCTCGTTCTTGGAAAATTTTAGATTCGGCACCGAGAGCAAACGGCCCTCTCTCTTTGCCTGTCTCATCTTGGCGATATACCGCAGCCTCGGCGGTTTCGCCTCGTGCTCGGGCAGAGACAGGTTCATCGGTCTCACCGCCTCGGTTCTTACGCCAGTATTGTCATTGCTCGTTAACGCTCTCTCATTCTCGCCCTCGGTCGGGCTTCTAGCCTCTTGGATCTCGCGCTTCCTGTCGTCGGCCGTCTGAGGACTCTCGTGCCCCGGAGACTGGCTCTCCGGCGACAGCGAGGACTCAGAGTCAACACTCTCGACCGGCGACAGCGAACGACTCGTGCTGGCCGCTTCGTTGACATTGCAGTAAAACGTGGAAGACTTTTGACCGCCGGTATCGCCGCCTATCTGCTGACATTGGGGTACTTGCATGAGCCCCGACGACGAGCTCTTTCGGAAACATAAATATATACATTGTAAAACGATATTAAATTTACGGGTAAAAGCAGGAAGTACACTTTCACTAGTACGGAAAGCAATTTCCGACGTAAGCGCTCAAGACTAATTTCTTCACACAAGTTTTTTTTTTTTTAATTAAAGTGTGATTCCATATTAATGTAAGATTAAATAAATATTTCTTTCGTAAACTTATAAAGTCACAAACAAAAAAAACAAACATTGTCTTTACGTTTGTAAAAAAAAGTATACTACAAACGATACATAAGAAGATGTAAGAATAAAATAGTAAACTAACGCTAAAACGTTATTTCACGTAGATGTAAACCGCACAGTAACGATAGAAAAACGAAAAACTTAAAATTATAGACGTCACAAAGAACGATAAGTAAAGCACGTATTAAAAAAAACATACAAGTACCCCATTTTGAGAAGACACCGAGGACGGTGTAAAAGTATTTTTAATCTTCAGATCGACCTTGCTCAGTTGTCTCTTGAGACTAAATCCCTTCCAACCTTGGCTTTTCTGACACTCGTCGCCGTTAGGAATGCTACCCGCTTTATTGGATTCGCTCGTGGTTTCCTCCGCGGCGCTCGGTTTATCGCTACTGTTTCCAGTCTGACTCTCATTGCGAGGGCACTGTTGCTGTTGCTGTGCTTGCTGAACCGAGTCCGCTATCCTTGCGACTACCGGCTCGGATTCCATCGCGGATTCTCGCTGGCTCTGATGGATTTAAGACGTTTGGGCTTTGCACAATCAATCAGTTCGTAGGTAAAAAGGACATTGGTATGGTACATTGGACCTAATTTCTATAAGAAACGGATGTATATCTTTTAAGAAGGGCTTTATATGCAATTTTTTTTCACGTTCGTGTTCCGTAAGTGTCCACTAATAGTGGTGTAGACTAATCCCTTATTATCGTGCTCTCGTACGATCTGCCGTGTCTGTAAAAACGCGTGAAGTAGAAACATGCCTACTAAAAGAAGAAGCACAATATCAAATGTAAAACTGAAAGCTATCGCTAACGTATATGGTCACTTGTCACTTCCCAGGCTCGTGGAAAAAGAAACTTGAAGAGTGCAGACAGGACAACGATTAGATTAAGGGTTCATTCCTTTTTTTTTTATCTTTTTTACAAATCTGTCTGCCTACAAGATAGATGCCTAAGATGCTCGTAGAGACGTAGGCCTTTGATATCGCTATCAATGAAATAATTGTAATAATCATTGTATATAAATGGAGGATTACAGCCAAACTTGTATCTCGCTTTTTTTTCACGATTATTCACGTTAATGTTGAATAAACTTTTTCGAGGCACATGTGTAGGAGTATTGTTGGTAACTTCTTCCCGCTATTAAGTCGTTATCGAAAAATTGAATTCATAAATTCTGGATAAATGAACGATCAGAGCCAACTGATTAAAGTTTGCCGTGAATATATGCGATTTAAAAATATCGCACATTGTCATTACGCCTGATATGATTCGTAAAACGAAAAGAATACGGTTAATTGTACTGGCACCTTTATGCGAGTTATTAATAGTTCTCTGCTGAGGGTGTCTGTAATTTTCTCGATAAGAGAACAATAGGAAATAGCTAATATTGACTCTTTCTCTCTCTCTCTCTTGGCGATATTACAAAAAATCCCTGGAAAGGAAAATCCCTAATTTATAAAAAATACAATATGAAAACCAGCTTATACGTAACCGAATTAACATATACTTTTCATATCTGTGGTTAAGTTACAATCTTATCTACACTGTTCGTGTGTAAAACAAAAAGAGAAACCAACAAAAATTACATTTATATGTACTAAGCATGCGAGTACATTTATGTAAATATCGGCTGGAAGATAACTGGACTACTTGGCTTCGTAAAAACAACTCTGCGAACAGTTGTACCATTTGTTCGACAATAATTCTCACTTGATTTACTTTTTAAGCGTACGTGAAAAGTTAAAGATGATCTTAAACAATGTGGTATATATAATGTATGCATTACATCAGTAAGATGATCAGTACTAGGCGTTGATGAAGGTAGAACAAGCATATACAAAAATATTATCAAACATAATTGGATATTGCAAGTTAGTATTTGCAATGTTCAACAAACTTTACTTTCACTAAGGCGGGAATTAAAGTGTAATTTTTAACAATATTCATCAAATTTTGGACTACAAAACGGAATATACAGTCATTTAATTTGATTTAGTGATTCAGTATTAAAGTTCGAATGCAACTTGATATTGTTTACTTATTAACAGTTAATTTAATTTCCTATTACAAGTGATTACATACGATAAAGCTTCTAGAGAATATACTTTCAATCTTCAAAGAAACTTCCAATTAAGATATCATTACCTAATCATACGAAAACATTATAAAATGTTTTATCTTACTTGGACATTTGTGTATCGATATATCTTTAATCACCTGCTAGATATTTCATCAATAATTGTGCAATGCTGACATTTACTGATGTGATGTACATATGTAGCTGAAACATGTTATAGTTATTATTACACAAACACATTTTGTTTGTACCAACAAAATTATTGTGTACATACACGAAAAGTATTTCTTCATAAAAATGTCTGTTTCATTATTAAGTATCTACACTGACAAATTTTTAACATCTAATATTATACTACACCTTCAACATTACGTTAAAACAAATATAACACAAATACAGTTTTTTTTAAATTCTGTTACTAAGTCAACAATAGTTAACAATATAATAAACATCAATTAGTGTCAACTGCTACGAATTAAATCGTCATAAAGAAAGGACACCCATATCTAAGAATATCATAAAATTTAATCGTAATATTTCACTTCCTTATGTTCTCCTTAATAATATTTTAATTTCTCAAACATAACTTTCCTAAGTACTTGATATATGAGGCTTTGTCATCTCAAATGTAACGTACTTGACGGTAATTTTCTTATGATACATCGTACATAGAAACATAAATTACATGAGCACGATAAATGTCTCGCGTAAGATTTATGTTGCACATTTATATTTCTCATGCATTATTGTATTATATATTAATGATTTCTAACAATGTACATGTTATACGATAAAAGGTTTACGGACAGTGTTGTAAATTTGTATAAATAACGTAACATATACGTACAATATATATTGCATTCATTTTTTTACAAAGTAACATTTAGTTTTTCGAAATGAATTTCATTATAAATTATAACGTCAATATATTATTAATTACATTTATATTATTTATATGATCATAAATACTTTGCAATTAAATGTTTTCGTATCAAGTCTATGCGCATGCACAGATCCCGTCAAACGTTTATGTAAGAATCGTTGCTATTTTTGTTATGTACTAATTGTAAGTAACTAACGTTTTTATAAATACTGCTCTTCTATATTATTTCTACTTTTTAATTTGTCAATTTGTATTTAATTACTACAATCAACATTTTATCATCTAATTACGGATTAAATAATGAAAACCGAACGTCGTATTATCCATTACTATCTACTCCCAAATAACATAATACATAATATAAATAAAACCAATATTCTATATCGATTAACAGAGCAACATTGTACAACAAAAAAAAAGAAACATCACAATTTCTTCAACAGAAATATATTTGATCTTACTTGTTTCAACGGTAGACACAAAGTAGTTAGCTAAACATTAAATGCAAAATATATGTGAGTACAATGGAAAAAAGTATTATTGTTTTATATATAAAATTATGTAAAGAAAAAAAAATTAAATAATTACGTTATTTAACATTTAATATATATGTATCAAAGTTTGTTTTTAATCGAAGTAACACTAACAGATTATTTTTTATAATGAAATATAACATGACACTAATATGTGTTTTATAATGTCTCACATATAATGCACTGAGATATGCATTTTATATATCTTTAAATTCTTGTTTTGATAATAATGCGTAAAGAAATATACAAGAAGTCATATCTTTTTATAATTTGTAAAAAAAATCTTCGCCTCATGGAAAATGACAAGTTTGACCAATAGTTGTCGATATAAAATCATTCTTTATAGAAAAATTTCTTGGAGTTGATTTCTTTAAATGTATTTTCTTTAAACTTAAAAAAGATTACGTTGTTTAAGTCATCTGTTACAGAAACGTTCAAAACAGATTGAAAATTATTTCTCCTAAGGTACAACTGCTCAAATTTTGTCAGATATATTTCAAATGACAATTGATTATCTTATTTTTCTGTATTATCTAGTACTATCTGATAAAATGTACTAACTAAGCAAAAAATGTTTAGAACTCTTAAATATTTCTCCATTAATAATTTACTTAAGCTTACATATATTAAAGTATCAAAAAATAATAAAATTAAGGAAACATCTTGCATGTAATTTGTTTACTGTGATGATAGAGAGAATACTGTTGCGTCTAAAGAATTTTATATGAATATGTAATACAATAAATATTTAATATTTTATTCACATCATTATAATTTAAATAAAGTTCGAGTACTATATTGCAAATAATATCTTTTCACTCTCCATTCCAAATTTAAATGCAAATAATTCATATCTAATTCATATACTTTTAAAACATTTACAGAAATATTATGCTTAGCAATAAAAAATTAATAATTAAAGAATTAAATAATAAGATAAAATTAATTTGTAATACTAAGGAGTATGACCTAATAATATGTCTTAAAATCACATTTATAAGTGATTGTAAATAACAACTTAATGTTATTAAAATTTGGAACACATTTGTTGTTATATTTTCCAATAATTTAAAAATAGTTTTTAACTGCTTATTAAAATATACCTGTGTTAGAAGTTATTAAGATATATTTTGAATTTTAATTAAAATAATTTTAATATAATCATCTTTTAACATAATTATCACCTTTGATTAAAACATACATTATTTTTTACACGTACTCGAGAACAGATACTTTACCTTTTTGTTGCCAACATTTATTTTGCTTTATAATGTATTTAAAAGTCTTTTTAAAAACAGTGAGATTATGTACTATTTTTAGTGAGTTATGCTGTAATGCATAAAATTACAGGAAGAATTTTAGAGTATAATAAAGAATCTCAAATTATATGATTTCTCAGACAAAATTAGAGATTATTACTAGTAAATTAGAGATTATTACTAGTAATAGATTATTACTAGTAAATTACGTAAAGGTCTTTAGATTATTTTTTTATTAAGAAAACATGCTGCATATGTGCAAGCAAATAAAATTTAGTTCTTATACGCGCACGCGTTATGTAATAGTAAATTCTTTACAGTATTTTGAAACAATTTATATTCACAGAATTGAAGACAAAATGTTTCATTCAATCATGAAATTGTATATTGTGATATTCTTTCACGTAATTATAGCAATTCACCTATATAGACATTTCGTAATCATGCAATAAAAAATAATGTTGGCACTTAGAGAAAGCGGAATGCAAGATTAAAAAATTCTAGGTCCTTCTAAATCAAATCAAGGGTAAGAACTGGGGGGAGGGGGGGAATTCAAAGTGTCACACAGATCTAGTAAAAAAGAAATACATTTTACCTGGTCTGTGCTTGGACTTCGTGCCTTGTCTTCATTTTCTCGTTTCAATTCGTCCTGCCGTTTGGGACTTCGTAAGACGCGTTGATAAGGATCGCCACCTCCAAAATCACTAGTGCTCAATACGATTAAGGAGATCTTCTGCACGATGTCCACTATCACTAACCCCGACTCGTTTCCATAGGCCAATCTAAACATTAAAATTATATATTTTAATGTTATATTTTAATTATAATATTGCATTATAGTCCTTCTGTCTACGATAAGCAATAACGTTTTTGAAAATTTATAAAATTTATGTCTAGCAACACTCGATTATGTCACACGATGATGTCAATTCGATTATGATACGAAATTTTCTGTATGTCACGATGGCAGTCTTGTGAATTACACTCACAGGCCGTATGAGGAATTTAAACTGAGGGACGTTATATTTTCGGGTTGTTCTCCAGGCGGTGCCGTCGTCAAACAAATCAGTGTCGCTTGAAAACCGGCTGGCCTTTTCTGCAGACCCGTCTTGACTTTGAGCGGATGATTGAATTCTATAGTCTTCGGCTCCACGTTTCCTACGGTGTTTCCGGTTGCCGGAGATTCGCGATCCGGTGAAGCCTCCGGTTCCACCGTTAAGCATATTTCCAAAGTCTGCAATACATCGAAAAAAAAATCGTTTTCTGAGAAAAATTCAAACGCTATTATTATGTAAAGGAGCTTTAATGAAATAATCTAATATCCAGATAAGAAAAGAATATCAATCGTTTTATTTTCTTTTCATTTTACGTTTACTAATAGATAGTAAGCAGGGAAAAGTGGTGTATATTAGGAAATAGATGACTTACCACTACTTCGGACATACTTTCAGCCTTCTTAAATTTGAACAGCACGACATGCTTGCCGCTCCCTGCGATAGCTAATTTGCGACTTTCAGGACAAAGGAAGATAAGTTGAATCGCTAACGGATCTTCCTCGTTATCTATACTACGCGTTCTAGTTTTTTCGAAAAGTTTCGCCGTCTTTAGTTTGTAAAGGACTTGTAACGTTCCCGCTGAAGCGTCCCAAAACTTTATACTGCCATCGGCATGCCTGCGAACAACATATATGGAGCTGTAGAAATTTAAGCAACCTATTGATTATCGCCTAACTTGCGTGACAGACTGGAACATGTATGTGCACAGTGACATGATAGCGTATACGATATGATCGTCCATGTATTTTAGCGGTATGGAAAATGTCATCGTGTGATTAAAAGGACAAATTCCTTATTCATAAAGTTGCATGATATATTACCCGGTGAGGATAATTTCGTTATAACTGCTAGAACTGGAGCTCCACTCGCCACCGGAGATAGGCCACTCTTTCTCGCTAAAGCCGGTCTTCTTCTGCGACTTGGATCCAACGGAGTAAAATGCAGGTACTAGATCCGAAGGACAATCCGCGAAGTATGCGCAACATGTCACGGGAGACTCGTGAATATCCATAGGGTATGGATTCTCAAAACAGGGGAATCCAGTAGTTAACAAATCTATCACAACCAGGTCATTTTGTAGTAAAACAACAACGGCATAAGGGTCTTGAAAATCTGAAAAATTATAACGACAATATTTATCGCTGTCAAATTATTGATAACCAAATAATTATAATACTGATAACATAAAGTATATATTGATACATTTTTCATCGCTTTTACTGCAGTCGATATAGAGATCACGACTTGTAGTTAAAAAGAAGGAGTAATATTTTATTTTAAAAACTAAAATTAAAATTAGGAAGGAATGTGCTACTGTACCACTAGCCCATGGACTATCACACAGCGTTATAAAGTCTACAACATTATGTTCCATTTCGAGCACCGTAGTAGTTTTCCCGTGTATCACTGTAATGCTGGGTGTTCTCCCAGTGGTGTCCTGTGCCAATCCACCAGAGAATATCACATATGCTTCCCTGAAAGTTTACGTTTTAGCTCGTACATTATTTAAGATTAACAGATGATTATTATTTAAAGCTATTCTTCTTAATGTAGTCGTATAACGAGAGAGATATCTCGTATGATTTTACCCCGATCTCGATAACTTCCATTCTACTTTCTGAATGGCCTTGCAACGTTCAGGTTCTCCGTCTTTGGTAAATTTTGCTGTAAACGCGTATACATTAGTATAAAAATTTCATTTCTATTATATGACCGAATAAACAACAGAAACATCGAATTCTCACCATGTGGAAATGTTATGCTCGGCTTTACCTGCCGAATAGTCCAAGTCGAGAGAGAACCGTCCGAGTGACTGCACATAAACTGTTTACCTTCATGGTGCCATGTTATCGATGTTAATAGATCGTCCGTTTGACATCTGTAGTCTGCAGTCTTGGTTTTTAAGTCCCAAAGAACGATTTGTCCTGACGAGTATCCTATAAGCATCTGAAAACAAAGCGTCCGCGTGTGTGAGACAAGATGCGCTTTCGCATGTTAAAACTTTACTTCCTTGGAAACAAGACACGTGGAGATATATATATGTATATAATATGCATATAATAAGTGACAAAATGTATTCTTTTACAATATGTCTCGATTCTGTTGCCACGATAACACATTTAGCAGATACATAGAGAGATTAAGTATAAAAAAATGTTGTGAACAATGGTTTCTACAAGATTTGTGCGAAGGGCACAGATAAAATTCAGAGATACGATGATTGCGCATGATGTTAATTAGCGATTGCTGAAGAAGAACGAATGAGATGGACGAAGGTTCTTTTGTAATCTTGAAAAGATGTGTGAAGGCAAGTTAATTTACAAGGCAGACTGTGTTGTACACACGTTATGTGATTGAAAAAATTCATATGTAATACGCAAAACGTAATTATTTATAATCAAGTGATTTTAATTTTAAGCTAAAATTTCTTAAATTTCGAGCGATTAAAGTTCTCGTATCAAAAATCGCAGTTTTATCATCACAATTCTTAATGGCATTTTATTTAATATCACTGTTTGAAGACGAAAACAATTTGATACTTTAAGAGACAAGAAAATGTAATTAGACGTAATTGACGGGTCGATTGAAATCAGATTACATCCTCAATAATTCGTTTAGCTGTACGACTTTGAAAAAGCACTTTTCTATAACAAATAATATTTTCGACGTAAAGAAAATGATATACGTTTCCTTACACAGTTACAATCGAGAAAAACCAAATTGAGCGTATTTATATACGATATTACATATATAATATCAAATTTAAACTATTAATATCAAGGACACAGAGAGAGTTGCAAACGCAACCCGCGTACACACAAACACTCATCACACACTCATGACTGCACAATTAGTAGGGAAATAGAAGATATATTTTGCATAAGTACATCCGCAACAGAAACTCCGTTGTCAGAAGTAGAAACTAACAGTGAATTCATATCAAATGTGTAAAAAGATGAGTGAGATCATGACCGCGGTATGACGATTCATAAAAATCATCGATTCGTCAAATCTAAATCCATATTTTGGAATCAATCGAACAATCGTAGAACGATCTTCTCCTTTTCTCTCTCTCTCTTTCTTTCTTTCTCTCTCTCTCTCTTGAATGAAATAGACGTTTTCGATTCTCTTCCGTTTGTATACACAACAGTGACAGCATGCACGCATGCACACATACAACATGCAAGCACACACTTGCACTTGTCAGCTTGGATCCAGAGATACAAATAATCCAAGTTTGTAAGAAAATTATATTGTATAAACGCCAATCGCGCGCGTTAAATGTTCCACCTTCTCCTTTTCTCACGCGTCACGATAAAAATTGAATAATGTCAATCATGAAATTATGATAAGGATGGAATAATAATGCAAAAAAAAAACGTACTCAAAAAACGCGCGTACCTTGCTCAAATCTAAAGGATTATCACTCAAGTGTACTACAGCACCAGGGTGAGTCTTTCTAGATCTGAAAAATATATATATGTATATACACACACATGTATAAGAGAACCATTATTTTTGTGTTATTGTGAAAACATATATATAAAACTCGTGTGCGGTCTTTTAACCGGTGTGTTTCGTTGTCGTTTTGTTCATCATTGTGCATCAGCTTATAGGTGTTACGTTACTTAACGAGCCGATAATATCTTCGTACTATTGATTGGCATCATATTATACATTTCCATGAAGCACGACAAGGAAAATCGTGGTCGATTAGTATACAAAGAACAAAGTAATAAAGAGCATTCCTAAATAGTTCATAGATTTCGTAGCGTATATTAATACCGATAAATCAAACGTACAAGTATTAATAGGCTTTGTCGAGTAGTAATGAATTTTCGGAAAGTAGAAAGAAGATTCGCGGGACTCGCTTACATAAAAGTTATTTTAAGTGTCTCGCTATTGGGAATTATTCGTAATTATTCATTGACACATCTGAGGTACCAGCCACGTTGCACTTTCGTGACTTATTTACCAATCTAAATTAATTCTGTGACGCAAGCTCCCTATCGGGAAAAGTGTCTATGTCGAAAATAAGAATAAGTCAATACTCTTTTGACTGTCAGACAACTTGGAATTGGGCCAATTTCTACGACTTCTTGATCAATTAATTAAGAAGCCTTTGGTTTATATATTTCGTGGATATATCAAGAAAAGTCCCAATGGTGGTACACTTATAATGAGCACCCTTATACCATCACTGCCACATTCACATCTATGTGTCTACAGTCAGGCACAATAAAGAGAACTACAGGTCTTTGACGTTCTGTTCCTTCCAGTGTTAACAAAGTATAGGTACTAGTAGAGTTTTTTTTTTTATCGAGATAATCTCTCTCCACAACGAGAGTATACACGTTATCAGTTAACCGATATTTAATTGACCCATACATTCACACATTTAGGACCACAATCTTGAGCGATGCACATCCGTTATAGGAAATTAGTGGAAACGGGATCTCCGTAAATACATATACTTTTCACTCATCTTTTTGAAAGATATTTTCAAGAGATACACTCTCTCTCGAGACACGAGCAAGTGCTAATCTGTTATGTAAACGTCTTGTAAGGATTACACAGATAGCTAATATATATCCCTTTTAATTCGAAACGTCCACTAAGCCACTGTAATTCCTTATTTAATGTTATAATACAGATTTATGAAGGTAATAAATTTTAAAGAGGCGCGCGTGAGACACGCGTTTCATGTCGATTAGTCTGTATAACAAAACTACGGGCAAGAGGATTACGGTGGCTTGGAAAAACGTTTTTCAAATTAAAAGAAATATCCGCAAACACACGCGATATGTATTTTGGCGTAAAAAAACAGAAACTCAAAGTGCCAATATATCTTGAAATAAATCTTTCATCGTACGCTACACGGCTGTGTTCTTTTTTTTTTGCACAGAGAGTCTTTCCATCTTGCTTTCAGAAAATTTCATTAAAACAATGCCTAATTAATCAAGCGCTAAAAATTCAGAGGAAATTCACACCGTACTATTATATTGCCCTTTGTACTGCAGATCCTATCGCTGAAATCAATCATGTTAAGTGGCAGCTCACTTCGGAATACTTACCTTAATGCAACGAAAATGTTAAACGTGTTTGTATGCCCTCAATTAATGGAATTAGAAATTACGAGGATTGGCATTGGAATTTATTGCTTTGCATGCGTCTATCGACGTACGATCGCATTTGTTTCATACGTATCGACGTAACTCGTATACGTGTGCACCGCGCGATATATGTATATATATATATGCGCGCTGTAGCTTCACTCTTATCAACGATTACCAAATATCTGTGAAAAAAAATGTGTATACTTACACTTCGATAGCCTTGTTCCAATTAATTACATATCCGGATAGAACGAACGTTTCAATGTGCAGTATGTGAATGTTTCCTCGATCGGTCCCGATGTACAACCATTTACTTTGCAGCGGTAAATGTATGCAAGTGATTCTGTCGAAAACGAAATATTACACGTTCCAATTAACACTCCGGCCGCCGAAAAGGTTCAAAGTGATTTAGTCGAAGAAAAAAAACGCTTTTGGCGAAATGTGAAATCTCTCAAGGTATATCACATTCCGCTCTCGTGCAACGTATGATTAAAAGGCGCGGTGTAAACACGGCGCACACGGAATCCGTGTGCCGTGTACCGCAAAAAGAGAGCGAAAAGAGCTCGAAGCTTAAAATTAGGGGAAAGCGACATTAGCCTGTCGCGTGCTAATGACTGACCTGTCTCTCTGAAACTTGAGGCTATGTACCACCTGCGGTATCTTCTGACGGAAGTTCCATAAGTGCAAGGTGTCGTCCTCCGTGGCGGACACCAGCGCTCCTTCGTTGATCAGGAACTGCAGTCGCAGCACGGCCGCACATTCCTCATGTTTAACGTGTACATCCACCCCCGGTCTACCCAAACTGTTTTTTTTTTTATCAGATTAATTAAGGAAAATGGAGATCTGCATCGATCGCGAACCTCGGTCGGGATCATAAAATATTGTCGTCGCGCGTTAACACTTTGATTGCCAAGCTGACTTCGCCGTTGAGTTTAATAAATCCATGATATTTTAATACTTCTTAGTCTTTTTAATATATTAATATTAATATACTTTTTATCTAATTGTCCTTTCAATAACTTAAATACTATAATATTAGGCAAATCGTTCTTAATCAGAAGAAACAATACGAACAATATTTATTTAAATAATATTTACAGTATTTATTTAAACGATATTTACAATATTTATTTAAACGAGTGACGGGATCCTGGCGAATTTTACGCGAATAAATTGACATGGCAGTCAAAGTGTTAATTATAATTTCGCACATTTACGCGATAGAACGTCCTCTGTTCTCTCATCGGTTACGGTGTGCTTATTAAAAGCCTGTGTATAAAATAACGTGCAAAAACACAAAAGTCGAGCGAGACATTGTTGGAAAATTCTCGTCGATACCGTTTTATCCTTCCGCGTTGCGCGTTCCCAATAGAGTCTCTTAAATACGCGAAACGGTAAAAATTTTTACCTACATCGAAATCGACGGGCGCGCGCGGCTGAGTACTCTCTCTCGTTTATAGTTCATCGCGATAGTTGGTAATGCCCACCGAACTGCGATGAGCATCTATTACTACACTTTGGCCCACGATAGAGGATCAATGAAATCGCTGACGTGTGTAAAACACACACGGTCGAAGAACCACGGACCGACAGGACCGTGTGATTAATCCGCTAAAATTGTACAAACCCCCGGCTGACACCCGAAATTTTTTACAGCGATCGCGGGCGATCGTGTATATACACGGTTTTTACTTCCGCCAGTGACGGTGTAATTCCTCGACACGGAGCGTTGTTTTGCGTTCGGGAACGAAATTACGAGAGTACATTTACCGGCGGCACGCGGTCGACGCGGAAAATTCGACAGTCACTCTCGGCGTTGCGCGCGCGGCATTATAAACGTGTAAAATGCATAAAAAGAAATGTTGGAAAAAGAGCGAGAAAGAGAGGAAAAAAAAGTGAAATTCGCGTTGGATGTACATCAACGGGGGTCGACCCGACTTCTCGCGACTTTTTAATCGCCACGCGCGCGTTCTGCCGTCGGGAAAAGAAACGGGTTTAATTGCGGGACGCGTATGCCACTCGCGTATTAACGATAACGTCGTCGAAGGATACATCCTGAGGGATCCTGATTTAGTGCCAATAGCTAGGAGCCTTTGAACTGGGTCGAATGCCAACGCTGTCGGCTGATGCGGGAAGCCGTGTCTGAATGTCTGTAACATAAAAGGCGTCCGTTTCATGCCATCTTTCCTGCTTTAGCCGCCTGGAAGTGACTATTCATCCCCGCAAGGGGTTGCGGAGATATATCAGGATGGGACGGCGGACGGCGGACGGGGAGGGGAGGGAGGGAGTGGGACGGTATTGTTTCACCGGCTGCTATTGTTGTACCCTCGTGGACAACCTGGCTACTGTTAATTCTATACCTTTGTTACCCGTAAATGTTAGCGATACGTGTATTGTTCGTCGCGGATATTTAAAGTCAGGCTTCATCGGGCATTATCCTCGATTTTTTTTATATAAAGAGTTTACTCTCTCCATCCCCTTTCCTCTCCCATCTCGTCATTAGGAGCCGATGCCGAAGGTGCGGGCACAAAGTGCATTTCCTTCCCCCCACCCCCTCCCCGCCGAACGTCTAAAAAAGTTTCACCTTGCGTTCAAAAAGTAGGTATATTTTTACAGGCGAAACTTACGTCGCGTAAAGTACACGCGACACGCGACACTACGGGGCATACCCGTATATGCCGATATATAGAACGTCATGGCTTACACCGTTCTCCGCTCAAGAAACTCGGCTTAAAACTTCGCCTCGCTTTGCTGTACCCGCGCGAGGAGCCGAAGGGATGAGGTAATCTTATGAAACGGCAAGATGCACCTCGCTGCGCGCGCTTTTCGCAGAGTTTGCTCTCGCGATTATCCCCGTCGTTGCCGGTGCGCATCAACGTCGCTATCAAAGTCGGCTTTTAAAGGAAAAAAGAGAGAGAGAGAGAAAGAGCAAAAAAAAATCCAAAAAACCTACGTCGCGCTCGATCGGCGTTCACGTGAACGTGGACCGGGGGAAAATCTTGTTTAAGACTAACCGCGAGCGCGCGACCGCGTCGAGTTGGAGGATGAAAGGAGGGAGGAGGAGGAGGAGGTGGCCGACAGCACACACGAACGACGTGTGTACACGCTTTCGAGGTCGATTTTGGTGCAGCGGGACTCCGCCAACCGCTTTTCGCCGCTGGTGAAAACTGCCCTCGTTCCATTTCACCGGCCACCACCGCCGGCGGGCCGCCGGGGGAGAGAAGTGGGTTAAAATACGGCGATACGAAAGTTACGATCGCCCACAGGAGGAACCCACCTCTGTCCCCGCTCTTCCGCTCACCCTTTAACTTCCCTTCCGGCCTCCCTCCCCTTTCCTCCTCACCGCGGGTTCCGTCCGATTTCGTCGATGTCCCCGAGGGAGGCTCTCGCCCACGCGCAATTTCCGCCGGGTCGCAGCCGGCTCGCCGGAATCGCTGATGGACCCGGTCGTCAGCGCCGCAAGATGCCTCCGTCGCGAAAAATTACTCGCGCGGAATAAGAGGATTGCGGAGGATTTCGCAGGCTATACGCCCGGCGGGGGCACCCGATCGAATAATCGCAGCTCAAGTCGTATTACTAATCGTGTAATTTTGTTAACGATGCATGTACAATTATCCGCGATACTTTTCCGCTCGATATAATGCAATTTTCGCTTGTAATATCAAGATTGACAACGATGTTTCGAGAGAGCTATATATCCAAAACTTTTTACGTTTCGCTTATGCAAGGAGCGTTCAAATTTATTATTTAAGTTTTATTATTTCATTTCAATAATTATATAGTTTTTAACTGGAATGAAAGATTACAATTTACACAGATAAAAGAAACATAGCAGTATAAGCTATATTTTTCAATATAGTTTTTTGGTTCTCTATATATATACATCGTTCCGGCGGCTTTTCCTCGGGGAAAAAAAAAATCTTTTTGGCTGCAGGCTAACTCCATTTATATACATTTATATCCGACAATATTAATGTATATGAATGGAGTAAAGCTTTCAAAGAAGTCCGACAAAAGTTTACCTCTAATGAAGAGGTCATCACAAATGTGAGGTGAGTTAACCTGTAGTCAGAAGATTTTTTTTTCTCGAGAAATACAAAAGAGCTGTCGAGACGATGGCGCCGACGTATTGAAAAAAAAAAAAAAAAACTAGACAGACTGTATTAAAAAATATGACTTACATTGCTACGTTTTTTTTTATATTTTTTATAAATAATAATTGATTTATAATTTAAATTTTTGAACGCTATTTGTATCTTCCTTCATCGCGCGCGACGAATGTACGTGCAGCAGAATAAAATCAGGTCGGAAATCACACCGGTCAGACGGACGGCGATCCTCACGCTTATCACGACGCAGCATCGATGGACTTCGAAATTATTAAATTTCTAACTTGCGAGCTGCAGAAACGCTGAAAGTTGTTGGGCCGTCGCTCTCGTGCTCGCGAGGAAAGTGTTGTTTCTGCATGAGAACGCTGACGCGAAACTATTGACCTAATTCCGGAAAGGATAATACGTTTGCGTTTAACGAATTCAGCGATCCTTAATCTGTTTGTGTTTGAAAATTCACGCTTCTACATTCTGATGGGAAGAAATTCAAATTAAGTGCGCGAGACAAAGGGGAGAGAGGAAGAAAGAGAAGTGAGCGGCGGAAAGAGAGGGAAAGCTTTCCCGCCGTCGAGAGATGTAATTTCGCGGCCGCAGGAATTAATCCGCTCACGCAGCGCGCGGCGGCGCGCGGCGGGCACAGATTATCGTCGGGCAGAAAGCTTTTCACTCGATCGTGTTATAGCGTGACGATTGTATTATAATTTGCGGCGACACAGGACGACGAGGCTCACCCCGACGTGACGCCCTGCAGGCGCGACAATCCGAGCAAACACGTGCACACACGCGCAGTCAAGCCACGTACTCTCTCTCTCTCTCTCTCTCTCTCTCTCTCTCTCTCTCTCTCTCTCTCTCTCTCTCTCTCTCTCTCGCGTTGTGCAGCGCGAATAAAAATTTCCCTGAGCCACACGCTAGTCGCAGTATGGCAAACACGTTCGAACGCCTCCGAGAATGTATCAGATTCCGATTGATCGCCGTTTCTTTACCCGTTTTGGCGAACGTACAACCGTAGGAAAGTATACACATTTATATGCCGACGCTTATAGACCGTCGTGGAGGTCGTTTAGGATCAGCCTACTTCCAGAAGACCGAGTCGCGGGCGTAGCGAAGAAATTTTTCCTTTTAACCAAATGATCAACTAAAAAGTTAGATTAACGGAAAATTAATCCTGCTTCCGATTTTTACCAGCCGAACGAAACGAACGTAAACGATGGGACTCGTTTAGCACTCCGCAAATTAAATTGCGGCAAGACCGTGTAAAATTGTATTATAAATCCGAACGTGAGAGACGGCATAAAAAATATAAATTTGTAAGCGAAAACGACACTTATCTTCACGCAGCTCCGCAATTAATAAGCAATTAATTATATCTCCTAACGATATTGCTATCGGCATAGCTTCCCAGCGCTCGTTCGCGGTATTGCGCAAGGGATACGTTTGTATCGTTTATGTACCGAGATAATATTTAATTGACTGCTCTCCGCATTTGCCGCTGCAATCGTAAAAGACCAGTCTGAGAAGAACTAATTTCTGATTTTACTACGCGGAAAGAACGGGTTTCTCGAAGCATCTCAAAATTTAGCTGAATACAGAAATTATATACGTATATGTTGGACTGTATCAAAGTAATTATGTAGAACGCTCGAGCATGATAATGCCCGCAAAAAGTTTTGACATTCTAACAATCAGTTTGAATGTCCAATATATAGTTACTTATAATTATATATAATTTAATTATAATTTAATTTAGAGTAATTTAAAATAATTTAATTATATATATAATTAAACAATTAAACAATTATATTGGACGACCAAGAGCTGAATGTCAAAATTTTTTGCAGCATCATCATCATGTTTGAGCGTCCAGCATAATTATTTTCAGATCTGTATAGTATCTAGCGTAAGTTTTTCCATATTTCAGCAAAACCGCTCTTCCCGCGTGTGAATAATTCGTTCAACGAAAGAGCAATAAGACCCAGGGCTGGGGCGAGGCGGGAGAGATCCCTGGTGGAGTTCTCTCTTGGCATAAATTTCGTATTGGCACGTGACACTTTTTAAAAATAACGACACCGCTCCGTGGAAAATCCTTGAAATCGGGATCCGCGGATCGTTCGAGCGGCAATTCATTCGTTCGGTCTTGTACGCATCCCCGATTACATTTGCGTTTTGTCTTCAAGGTACGAGGGAGGCGACCGAAATTGATGTCTGCGGTTCCCGGGGTCCAGGAGGTTACGACAATGCGCATATAGGAGATATGCCGAAAATGATAGATACGGCGAAATGTGTGTACACGCGGAGAGTGGCCCGCAGCGTCGGCTCAATATCAAGGTTGCTATCAATTTTCCGCTAGTGAAAACTTTGACGCGCGTGCGTCGACTTCACGCCGCTTTCCCCCTCCCTCCCCCCCGTTCCGCATTTCTTCCTTTTTTTTCTCTCCTTTCCTTCCGGGCACAACGTGCAAAACGCACGGCGCGGGATAAAAACAAAAAAAAAAAAAACAAAGAGATGTCGTTTCACTCCGAAACTGCGAGCGATGTGCGCCCCGGAAGGGGCATGCACAGATAAATCGCCCTTCTAATTGTAAATAGAATTACCTACATAAAGGAAGTAATTATTCATGCGATTCCACGTCCATTGTCGAGGGATAATGAAAAAAATATGCGGGGGACACGCGGAGTCGCGCGCGGTATATAGCCACCGGAAATTCCGCTCTCTTCCAAGATTGGATCTCGGTATCCCGATTTCGGGGCGCGCGCGCGCGCGCTCGCGAGATTTCCGCGACGAAACCTTTTCGCGCGCGGAAAATAGAGCCCGAACAAAGGGGATGTATACCGTCAATCATAATGGATCCCTGCCTGGGGACGAGTATAATATCTGCCGCGCTGTGAGCGCCGAAGAAAAATTAAAAGGTATACGGCCACACACGTGTGTATATATATATATACCTGACGCACGGCGCGGTATCGCCGCTTTGCATCGCGAGCTCGAATTTATTCATTTCTGCATTTTCTATTATATACCAGACCCGCTGCTAGCGCAGCTGCAGCGCCGGGGGCCATTATTTCCGCCTTGCTGACAGATTCAGATACGCGCGCGTGCTCAAATGAATGTAGGTACGTCGCGGCGTAATTTCTAATTTCTCGCAAGGTAGGTACTCGCATCGCTCGCTGTCTCTCTCTCTCTCTCTCTCTCTCTCTGTCTCTTGTTTCTCTGTGCCATAATTTTAACTTTTTTTTTCATGTTTTCTTTTTTCTCTCGTCACGGCCGAGCTGCGTGCGCGAAATAATTCGTCGCCTACCACCGCGCTCGCGTTCGCCCTGCGAAAGATTACGAGAGAGATAGAGAGATAGATAGAGAGAAAGAGAGGGAGAGAGTCGTGCGATAAACGGTCGAAAAGAGTTATCTCCTACCGGGGGAAAGCCTCACGTTTCCCCGCAGATTTATACGCGCCACGCTCATCCCACTTTTATCACGCGGCGAGTTGCCAGCGTGAAGGATCACCGGCGGCGAGATAAAAATTCGGGAAGCTCCATCTCCTTTACCGATCTCCTTTGCCGTAGAATAAGGGAGCCGCGGTAATGTGCATAATTAAGATCGACTCCTCTGCGCCGAGTTTGTCGCTATTTATCAATGCGCCCGCGAGAACGTCGGCAGGCAGTAGTTCTGGATGGCACGTCGCACAATGCGATCCCTCATTGGCGATACTGCCTATTATATATAGCTGTGCATGAGAGACAGAGAGAGAGAGAGAGAGAGAGAGAGAGAGAGAGAGAGAGAAAGCCCCCACGAGAGGGCGAGTCATCATAACTCGCGGCGTATTGACAGATCTGTCACATGTGTCTCCCTATAAATTGCCTTTATTGGGAGTACAAATGATACTCCCCCGCATTTTATTACCCGCGGAATTTTACGTACGAAAAATTAAATGACAAAATTAAAGTAATACCGATAAATAGGCTTCGATCGCGCGCGTCCGTGCCGTAATACACACACGTCAATCTCCCCGCGTTCCTGTAATATGTCAAAAATGAGATACGACGAGAAATATATATCGTGGAAGATAAGATAAAGAACCTGAACGCGCGGCGCTGACGATTTTTCAACCTCCACCTGCTTCTCATATACTATTCCACCGATGCCTCCCGAGCTAAGTGTAACGGAGAATTACGTACTGTTCCCGATAGGAATTTCCTTCGAGAGAGGAGAGAGAGAGAGAGAGAGAGAGTGCTTCTCAACTTCATAATCTATTACATTGACCGGAGTAAATTGTAAGTCAAGTGTTCCCGCCTCTCTCAGAGACCCGCGCGCGATCAATATTCATTAGGCCGTGCTCCCAAATGTATCGGCGCTGCGCCGAAATTTTCAGCGAGTGCATCCGGTGGGATGTAATGCAAATGTCAGGTGGGGGCGATAAACCGTCCCGTCGGGCGCGCGGGATGAAACCGTCAGCAATTATGCAGCGCGCGTGCGGGCGTATCGTCGTTTTCCGAGAAAGAGCAGCGGCAATTCTTGCCCGCGTTAATAATACATGATTATGTATACTTCAAACGCGCGCGCGCGCGCGCTATATCGTCGAGATGATGCATAAATGAGGAAGCGAATGCGAGATAAGCGCTGATTATTTCCGCGACCGCGCGCGTTTTATCCATGTATACTCCGCGCGGGCAAAAAAAACACGAGCCAGGCCGCGTGTCTAATCGGCCTCTTCGCTCGCTCGCCGAGAATTTCTCGCTACGTCAGCTCGCTGCACCGCCGTCCTCCGCCGTCGGTCGTGTCGGAAAATAACGTACACGTCGAATGCAAATTGCACGTCGAATCGGCACGGCGCGACGCACGCATCGCGCCGAGAAACCGGTAAGCTTACGCGCTCGAACGGCGGAGCACTCGAATGTCATCATCCTCGGCTCTCGGAGCGAGAAAATTAAAATAATAGCGGTGACTATGCACACATATGTATACGTGCTCGCGCAATTCGCCTACGCGCAGCATCGAGCGATGATTTCAGCGCGGGCGAATGTGATTGTGCAGCGGCGGCGGCGGCGGCGACGGCGGCGCACCACCACGTCGTTGACGTCGTTCGACGAAGTTCGACTCGCCGTCGTTTGAAAATCGCAATCGTGACCTCGTTTCGTTGAGTCGGCACGCGCGCGACTCGATGGATTTTGCGAGGACGAAGATGCGAAAAAAGGTATACACGTATATATATGTGTGTATATGTGGAAAGGTGTCGCCTGAATTGATCATCGCCGTGTGGACGCGGCGTGACGCGCGACGATGAGGGGCAGGAGGGTAGGGGAGGGGGGGGGAATAATCCCCACGAGCGATCGAATTAAAATTGCAATGCTCGGCGAGATCGCGAAGGCCGGAGAAACGGAATCGGGGGAGATCGATCCGGCCGGGGAGGCGTGTAACAAAAATACGCGGCGCACAAACGGATTATATAGAGGAGAGAAACGGCGGTCCTCCTTCGCGCGCGGATCGCGCGCTAAACCGTACGTACGTACTTCTCTCGCGTGCTTCGGTCTCCTCCCCCCCCCTTCGCGTACGTATCACAGTTACCCGTATCGTTATCGGTCCCTCGACCGCGCGTGGATATTCGCGCGTACCGCGAAGCGCGCGCGATACGGCCGATATCAACTGCGGCCGAGCGGGTTACGTATGTACGAGCGACTTCGACGAGCTATATAGATACTCGAAGTAAACAGACACGGGGACAGTTTCGGGTGCAGCACGCGAAAAGCCCACCACGGTCGTGCCGTCGGAGAGAGAGATGTACCTCCGTACAGAACGCGAGTATCAACAGCCGTCGGGGCTGTGTTTACACGCACCCTCGGCTTATGTGTACTCCCGCGAGCGTATAGGACAACCCTGGAGGGCTTCCCTCGGCGAGCCAGCGTCGCGCGAGCCTGTCTCGTCGCGAGTGAATTCAAAATCCTGGGGCAACACACGGAATTTCGGGGGGAAATTATTTGACAACTCGCGAGCGCACATGTGCCACGAGTCGGGCGATCTCGTTTGGAAAATCCCCTCCCGCCCCGCCCCCCTCTTCTAGGAAGAACCGAGGCTGAGAAATTGTATAAAGAATTGAAACAGATACGTTTGTTTCTTTCATCCCTTTTCTCTTCCGCAGAATACATTTACTCGCGAAAACGGAGCTACTCTCGGCGAAGCCGGCGGTAGCGCGATGCAATTGATATGCAATTTATTCAACGATATGAACTCCAAAGAGGTTTGGATTACGTAAGCTTTCGATATTGACACGGCGTACCGTTTACTGGAACACCGCGGCGGGCGGGGGGGGGCGGGGGAGGAGGAGGTTGTTTACACAAAAAAAGACTGAAGAGCAGAAAGCTCGCCTCGTCGGGAACGAGGCGGAGGAGGAGAGCTCGAGGCGAAGAAGCTTTTGATCCGTATACCTATACGATCGTTCGGACGGCGCACTTTAATTGAAAGATGAATGACGAGTGAAACGCGAATGAAACTATGTGATTCTTTCCAAATTCGTTTCGAATCGCAAGTTTGGATATCTATATAGATAACTCGCTTCTTCCTCTCCCTTCGTCACCATTACATAATGTAAAACTGTAAACGAACGCGGTAGGGATCCGATTAAAGTCAAACGCTGTCTACTCGTCTCCCCCTCATCCCCCTACCCCCCCACCCCCCCGCCGACACAGCGGCGCGTGTACTTTCCCTTACTGACTGTATGATCCTCCCCCCCCCCTCCACCCACCCACCATCAAATTTCTAATTGCGCGACTTGCGTCGTTCAGCTCAATCGCCGTCGGTGCGCCGCGGGGGTGGAAAACCCCCCGCAGCGGTAGATCTCATTTCGCCGCGATAAGCCCGAAAATCGGCGGCGCGGGGGGACCCTCTTTCTGCAAAAGTCTTCCCCGCGAAGAAAAGTATGCGCCGAGGAGACGCGGCGTGCTATCGACAGGTCCACTTTAATTAGGACGAACGAGACGGATGGGGGGAGAGAGGGAGGGAGGGAGCGACCTCAGGGCGAACTCTCGCCGCGCGCGAGTATCGGTACTGACCTTCTTAACTTGAAAGTGCTCCGTCCTGAGATTCTCGACGATCTCCTGGTCGGGCTTGGCGGGCTGCGGGACCGACGACCGGAACCCGTCGAGTACACCCTTGATCGTGAACTTCTTCATCGCGTCTGCCAAATGGGGTCGGCCACTCCAGGGGGAGGGGGATCACATGTGCAACCGCGCCGTGTCGCTCGTCCCGCACCCGCTTCTCTCCCGCTCCCTGGCTCCTGTTCCGTGTCCCGCTTCGTGTCCGTCTACGAAATCACGGCCGGGGATTCGAAGATCGGGCTCGTCGTGGCACCTCTCCCCTCACTCGGCTCATTCGCGGAAATCCAATGACATGCTCGCGCTCTCGCATCGGCCCTCGATGAATGAAACACTGCCGCCGCCGCCGCTGTCGCTGCCGCTACTGCTGTCGCCGTCGCCGTAGAGAACGATCCTCCTCTACATTTTTTGACAGTACGTGTCAGCGGACGTGTCAGTGGAGCCACGCCGCGCCGCACCGTGCCGCGCCGCGCCGCGTCGCGTCGTGCCACGAACGACGACGACGGGGTGCCCGTGCCGTGCGTGTCGTCCGCTCGCTCTCGCTATCTCTCTTTCTCTCTCTCTCTCTCTCACTCTCTCTCTCTCTCTCGCGTCGCGCACCCACCAGCAGCAGCAGCGGTCCGCTCCGGAGTGGTACAGGTAGAATCGGCGTGGACGGCGTTTCCCGAGGGGGAGGTGAAACGCGAGGACGACCGTCGGCCGAATCCTCAGAGCGGCGCCCCCACGTCCGCTTTTACGCCGTTGTAACGCGGATACGCCGAGCGCGGCCGAGACGTGGCGAGGCTCTGTGTTTTCGTAGTTGACGGCAATGCGGTGTTGTTTAATCGCGCCAGGATCAATAACTGGCAACAGGCTCATGTGGAGTTTCGCACGGCCGCGAGCGCCGTGCTGCGCGGGCGCGATGCGCGCCGCGCGGACTGGCCCCCCGCGCAGTCGCGAGACTCGCGAGCGCCGCGAGCGGGCCGCGGGCCGCGATTGGCCGGATTTCGCGCGATGACGCAACTCCGTGTGCCTCTGTGCCGTCCGCGGGGTCACGGGCGCGCTCTGACTCGTATATGAATTTGCACGCACGAAATATTTTCGAGGGTCTGCCTAGATACTTGCGCGCTTCGTGACTGTTGACTGTTTGAGAAGGCTATGTCTCTGTCATTTTATTGTTTTATCGAGATTATTATCGAATTATTTGTTATTATTAGTATATTAGTCGAACAACAATTAACGTATCATCGTTACGAAACGTCGCCTCCATTTACTTTGAGATGACTTTGTTTCTCGAACGACCAACAATATTTATATGATATGTGAATATTTAAAGAGGAAACAATAAGCGCCCAGAATTACAGCATAATATACGCTCCAATAGAAATCAATTATACGACTTATGTATTTCAAATTGTTTATTTGTGTATCTCCTATTATAAGAGCAACTTCAATCAAATTTAGTAACTCAATCGGTAATCAATTCGAGCGGTAAATTGTTTACAGCAAAATTTCCAGCTGTATAAAATCTACCGTCTATAATCTCTAATCTTATCAAATAAAAAATTAATAATTCCTTTCACTTTCAAATACTATTTATTAATAATCTATTGATAATTATCAATTATTTTAATTTAATATATATATTAAACAATATTAAGACGATTAATTCGAACAGCAGAATTATTTAAAGCAAAGTTTTTAATTATTAAACGAAATTTCTCATATGATAATGAAACTACTTGCCTCGAGCGCGCTGATTGGCTGTGGCCGTAGGGAATTCGCGCTTAACTCCAATCACCGCGTCACACAGGCGTCGCGATTTGTTGCACATGCGAGCTCGCCCTGAGGGATTGGCACACAGGAAGGATAAATTTATAAAATCGTGAGAATCGAGAGGACCGAGTGACGGATAAGATCGGTCAACTTGCTTTTCGCGGCGGAGAGAAATCGGATCCGAGTTGTCGAGAGAGAGAACGGGAGAGTTCGTCGCGATCCGATAACACCGGGATTCGAGCATCGTACGTCCAGGTCCAGGTTAGCCCCCTTAAATTCGTGTATCTCCCTCTTCACGCGTTTTTCCGTTTTCCTCCTCCTCCTCCCCCCCCCCCTCCGCCATGTGTGTAGTCCAGATTTTGACACCCTTCTGATACCCTTGTCTCTCGCACACAGCTGTTATGGACATGGTGATCACGAATTTGCAACAGCAACGTCAAGTGACGGAGCAGCTGCGCCGCGAGGCCGCCCTGAAGCGGATCACGGTGAGCAAAGCCGTCGAGGACATCATGAAGTACATCACCGAGCACGAGCAGGAGGACTGCCTGCTGGTGGGCTTCTCGTCGCAGAAGTCCAATCCCTTTCGTGAGAAAAGCACCTGTATCGTACTTTAAGCCCGCCTGCTTGAAGTAAGGATGGGGCGGCGGAGGAGGGACGAATGACAAATATCACTTCTGCATCTTTGCGATCGCGCGCGTTGATTTGTTATGGCAATAAGTATATACGATTGTATAGGATCTAAGTAATTTTCTATATTTAAATTATTTTATGACACATATTTATATAAGATTGTTGAAGAATGGGCGAAAAATTGAATTTTTCTACCGTAACATTTGCCGCTAGAAATGCACATTTTGCATAAGGTTTGTAAGATTCTCAAGACAGTTGTACAATCTCATGCGAGCTGTGCAGGAATTTGCACGTGCCTTAGCCTCTTGTGGCCTGATCAGAATTACTTGTAACTGTAGTAGATATACTTCAATAGAACAATGTATTTTGATATATGCATATATAAGTGTTATATATTCATATGCATTTAAATCATATGCTATCAGTTTGGTGCCAAGAATAATTTTATCTTTATCTAGATTAGTATTATCCTAAATAAAATTATAATGGATGTAATTAGAAGTAACAATTTTGACAAGTAACATACAACAAGTAACATATTTTGACAAGTTTTCAAATAACAGAAGATTAAATATTGTCAAATAAAATTAACATAAATTTTTATGGTTTATATTGCACATTGATTGCAAATTAGTTTCTTCAATTAAGTGCCTATATCAAAGTTCAAGACTGACAGTAATGAGATAATATAAGGATAATATCAAAATAATTTATTTTTGAAAAGCAAGATTTCAATACACAATTTCACAGATACAAGTGCATTTTTATTGTGAAATAAAATATGCATTTAAAAACAACAATATTCTTATCTTTCATATAGTAAGTAGTACCTATTTTTCTTATAAACTCTATCGTGCAAGTGAAGTAACCTTTGAGAAATAAAATGCGATTTCTATATATTATAAAAAATATTCTTATCGCGCAACATTATATTCTGCATACAAAATTACATGTAATCGGTTAACAATTATGTATTCTTGTTTTTTCTAGCCCTTTTTGCTTTTGTTGGACCATCGAAATAGCTCAAATCAGGATACATTTTTTTAAATTCAGGCACTAAATCAGCTGTCTTCTTGTAGGCCTCCCGAACTGAAAAAGAGAAATATTGACATTAACTTAATTCGATGTAAATTTATTTCCCTTTCTATCCAAGTAGCGAGATCTTGTAACCTCTATGTATATCTTTCTCAATCTGTTGTGATATATTACTCACACGATCGCTCGATGGTATCGATCGGCGGAGGACCGGGTTCTTTATCCAGAGCCAATCTTTCCACAATCTGTATTTGACAATCCAGTTTGTAAGATCTGAACATATACGGATCGTACTTCCTGTCGAGTTGGTCGATCGTTTCTTTCCACAAGTCAACCTGCTCGCCAGTTACACAATTCTGCGTACCAAAGGCGTATTGTTGCAACGTTTCGCTCTTGTCTCCTATGTTTCCTAATATAAAATTAAGCTCATTGAGTAAAAGAAATATATCTCTTGAATCTTTCCCTCTCCTTGATCGCGCGTTAATTATGTGAGGTATAATTAGACATACCTTGAAATGCGATTTTCGACAGGTAAAAGCCGCCCAATTCAGCATTCGGAATCAGGTAGCAGAGATTGGTTTGGGTATTCTGCCGCAATGTGAACGCGCACACTATCATTCTCCCCTTGGCGGCGCATTTATTCAATAAAGCGCCGAAGACCAATAGATTATCTGCGAGACGAAAACAGAGACAATACATTTGATATTACCTTTATGATAATTAGATGCTGTAATATCACAAATCGAGCGTTATCTCGTGCATTAAGTTTTATGTGTTTTACCTTTACGAGTGCTACCGTAATCCGCTCTGACGAAGTCCTTCCGTTTAACGTGGTATCTGAAGAGATCGTCGGGTATAGGCATCACGCCGATTATCTTGATGGCCGGCGGATGTATGTGCTTTATCCGCTTGAGCTCGTTCTGTATGAAACGCAGCTTCTTGCCGCCGATAAGCTCCTTACTTTCCATGTTAATTTCCTCCGGAATCATAAGTTCCTCGTTGTCACTGTTCTCCTAGAATATACCAAGCAAATCGAGCGTAAGAAGTCAGGATTATTAATAAATTTTATACATATAATTTAAGAGCAAACTTTGAATTAGGCGAGAAATATATATACCTCATCATAAAAATCTTCACTCTTAAAATATGTCGATCTCGACAAGACTTGATTAGTCGCTTTGCTCAGCGGCTTCGTTTGCAGGCATCTACGTTTTCTGTAAAGTGCGACGCGTGACAGTTGTTTTACTTGCACAAATATACAACGATTATATTACGAAAATTATTTGTACCGACATGAAAACCTACCTGCCCAGTGTACGCACGACCACATCAATCTCCAGACCATTGTGCATTATCAGGCTCAAGCGCGCGATATTCTTGGACGGCGCTTTAATCTGCTGCACCAGGTCCTCCAGCGACGTCATTCTGTCGTCAATATTCGTCTTCCTCGACACCATCTCTAAATCTTTGTAGAACCGATCCTTCACCCAATTCGTCGGTAAACCGATCACGTGCAGCTTGATGTCCAAGTCCTTCAAGTCCGAAGCCTTCGCCCTGATGCGGTGCTTCTCGGCGTCCGCGAATTCGGGGGTGTGACAAGTGATCAGAACTATCCTGCGTACGGTGAGGACTGTTTTTATCTTGAAGAAGACGTCCATGGCGTATGTCAGCGCGTCGTAAAGCGGATAAGCGTCCTTGGATTTCATGCTCTGGTAACCCGCCATGCCGCTTTTGGCTGTGAAAATCATGAGAGAACCGTTCAGACGAAAGCTCTTGGCCTTCGTATCTCTTGGGGCACGCTAAGTTCATCATCGATCACAATTGTACTTGCTTAGTTTTCTGATCCGCTGTAAATCGTCCAGCGTAACAACTCGTAGTTCGTGGAGGGTCTGTATGTTCGGCCATGCCGAGTCTGCGTCGCTACCTTCGGTGCCAAATAACACCACGCTCATCCAATCTTGCATATTCCACGCTAGCTTTTGCCGAAGAATTTGCTTGTACAGCTGATGGGATGGATCAATGACAAATAAATTATATGCGACTCTGAATTATATATGTTAAGCAAACTGGTATACAACATCGATGGACTAACCTTGAAAAAGTTTCGGATATAACTGAGTTTGGTCTCCGGGTCTACCTCAAACATCTTCTGTGTGGCATCGACGAGAAACAATGTCGCTTCTCTCACTCCGTAAAACGGACTATGTTCCTCTTCCCAGTCCATATCGTGGTCTTGTACATTGAGTGCCATTTCTGTCATCGGCATATTAATTTGTCAATTATTTTGCTATTATCAAGTAAATATCTTGGAAGACATTATGAACGTCTTATGAAGTTCAAGATATCTTAAAATTTCGAAGATGTGTCTGGTGATTATCAAACGACAAATCTAAACATGTAATTTTAAGTAAAATACTGTAAATTTGTATATGTGTATTCGTGCCTATTAAAAACCGGCATTTTAGATTCGCGAATATGATGCAACATATGATGAAGTATTACTTACTTTTGAAGAAATTAAAACGTCGACAAAGGCCAGAATTCTACGAATTTCTTGATGAATCCACGTTTGTGTATATATCTATGAACGGAAAGTTTATTTTCTTCGCGAACGACGAAAGTTAACCTTATTCCTTCACCATGTAACTATTGAGTATTGACTGATAATAGCAGACGGAAGGCAGACCAGAATTACCAACGTCAAAAAAATAATATTCTCTATTATCTGTGACGTGCTGACGCCAGAGACGCGTCGCGTCTATTCGTAGACAAGCTCGTCGAGACGCTTATTTTTGATGAATAATTTTCAGAACTTGATCGACACACACATATTTAATAGAAATTTATTTTTTATTTTATATAATTTATATAATCGCCTCGCCCGAGCCAAACAATAGATACATTATGCATCCTAACGCATCGATAACAGCTATGAATAAGAAGACAGCAGGCCAGCTGTGTGTCACATGTAAGATATGTCCGGAGAAGTATACACCGAGAAAACCTGGAAGAAAAAGCTAAAATATATTAACTGTTCGTGCGATGTTTACATTATCCACTAAACGGAAATGGATTGAAATAAATTGAAATGGATTGGTCTTCGTGGAAATGAATGCATTTCTATAAAGGCAAATCCATTTCAACCCATGGATTAAAAAATTTCAATCCATTTAAATGAAAAAAAAATATATATATATATTTTTTAATTCATTTCCGTTTACTGGGTACGTACCAGATATCGCGCCAACGGTATTCATCAGGCCGAACACGCTGCCGGAGTGCTTTGGTGCGAGATCCGAGGGATTTACGGCGATGGCGTTATTGTGAAAACCTGAGCCACCGATGATCAACGCCAGACAAAATACTGCAGTTTGAAAACTTTCCACTTTCGCTACAGGGAACACATACACACGATATATTATATTATTACAGTATTACGTAGTTAACTTGTAAGGCTTAATTATCAAGTGCCAGACTCACCCACGAATATCAGACTCCCAATTTCGATGACAAAGCAAATCGTTTGGACCGTTTTGCGTGTCACAGTCACGGAATAGCCGGCTTTAATTATCTCCTCTGACAGGGCTTTCCCCAAGATTGTACAAGGTAGCATCGACAGCCATGGAACCATATTTACCACCCAACCCTGTGAATTGAAATTATCGATTTGATTTAGCAGAAAAATTACGTTATTTAAATTTATTATTACAAATTATTTAGCCTTTTCTTAACTGATAAATTTAAAATATGTTTTATCTTCATTATAGATTATTTCTATAGCTTTTTTCCATGTAGACTTTTAAGCAACAAAATATTGAATAAAAATTAGATAATAACATTACCCTGACTTCAGGAAATGAATCATGGAAATAGGTAGGCATCCACGAGAGCAGCACAAAGAAACAGTTATTTTGGCAAGCATGTCCAATAACGCAGGACCTGAAAATCACAGTTAACAATCACAAAACAGACGAGACAATCGACTTATAAAGCGTATTTTAGAATTTTATAATCATAATTTTGTATAATTTTTACAATTGAACAATTCTGATCATTCATATAAGCTGAAGCATATTTTCATAATTAAACTTCTCATTATATTCAAGCATAATCATAAAAATTAGTAAAGAATTAGAAGAATATAATCGCCAAGAAGATTGCGCTATCTGAAATTTCAATATTCCACATTTTCAAGCACTGCGATTCTGGTAATTTCAAATCGCAAAAATTAAAAATCTCAAAAAACGAAGTATTAAAATAAAAAATACGTACAATTCGAAAGTTGAATTGCAATAGCTGACTTAATTATTCTAAAAATTATTCTCTTTGTACCTCCACCCTATATGCAAATTGAATATTGCATTCCATGCATCATAATTACCAGAAAGGAGGCTGTGAGAGAAGTTTGGACCAAGGTAAAGTGTAGCCGGTGGCCGACATGGTAAAAGCTGTTTTTTCCTTAAAAAGCAGAGTGTGGTAGCTTAAATAAGCTGTCCATGCCAAACTCATACCCCCTATATAAGTAAATTAGTAAGCACCACAAAAGTATTCTCGTATTCGTGAAAGCAAACAATTAACAAAGAGATTGCGTTTCAACTATTAAATTATTCACATGTGACGTGTCTCAAAACTACCATATCTTTTATCTGTGGATTCCTCGCATAATTTGACATGGATTTACATAAGCTACATTATATACCTAACGTTCGAAAGACAATCATCCAGTCGTAATTCTCCAGGAGGTACGAGCCTAAAGACCCAGTGAGTAGAGTGCCCACGGCAGATCCTAACGTTAACAAGCTAAAGAAGGTGGCTCTATCCGCCTCGTGCAAACGTTGACTGATCAAGCTAATTATGCTAGGAAAATGCATTCCTGCAAGTAACGAGTGTCCGTATTATCCTCCATTCGCCCGTCGGTGCAGCCGGGGCGAACCGGCTTGAAAGCTTACCTTGGAATGCCCCGTTTATCATTCTCACCGCTGCGACGAGCAAGACCGACGTCCCGTCCCCGGAAAAGAAATCTATGATTTCCGGCATGAAGAAGGTCGTCACCGACCAACCGAGGGCGGATATCCATAGTACTTTCTGCCCGCCGATCTTATCGCTGATGTAGCCGCTGGCCACTTGCGTCAGTGTGTATCCCCAGAAGAAGCTCGACAGTATTATGCCCGAGTCCGACTTGGACCAGTTCTTCTCCTGGCTGACGACAGGTATCAACAGGGAGACGGATGTACGCGTGGCGTATATCAGGCATGTGCCGCACAGCAACAGCAGGAACCATTTTCTCCTCTCTTTCCTGAAACGAAAGAAACTTTTATGCTCTGATTTTAACAATGTCACTTAATACATAACAGCAATTGTAACTTTAACCAAACTTCGATTAATTTAATCGAGAGAAGCTTGTTTAAAGCAAAATTTCTTATTACAATTCATTATCTCCAATCTAATCTATGTTAGACACAAAAAAAGTTAATGACAGAATTATAAATGACAAAATGAAAAATTAAATAACAAAATGATAACATTTAGTGACAAAATTTCTAATCAACCGACTTGATCGATTGGATATGTGTTGACAAAATAAATACAAGTATTACTTATGACAAGTTAATCACTGATTAAGCTAATCGGAATATAGTTATAAAGCCACCGTAAATAATAAATAAATGATCAACGACTGTTCAGAAAATGGATGATTGCCGTCGACTCGCTTGTACCTCGACCAACACGAAGTGATCACGTCGTCGAACGGAGTGCCCAGCGATATCTTGAACTGCATCGCGGAGCTCGTCCTCAATTTCCTTGGTAGAGAGCCTCAGCTCTCGTCTACGTTCCGCCGGAGCACATCGCGTTTCTCACGCGCATATCCAGCGTCGCTGCGACATGTGGCCGATCTGTCAAAACCGTTCGTACGCCGCAGGGACGCATTAATCCCCGCGCGTCCTCAGCTTCATTTTGATTCGGAAGCTTTCGACGCAAACCTACGGGAGCGCTGCAGAGTTGACACGTTCGGCCGGTAGACAGACCAGACATAAGCGAACCTCGATTCGGAGTAATCTGGAGTAATCGGGGATTGTCCATGGTAAGCAACTCAAGCTCCGTTCGCTGTAGATCCAAAAGCTTCATTTTTCGTCACAGCCACGTGAAATACTGATGAATATAAATATAAAGGAAATAAATGAATAAATATAAGTAAATATATACACAAGTAAATATATTCGAGAGATTATCGCGTGTAACAAGTGCGATGAGAACTTTGCGCACGATTAGATAATCGAGATTGATAACGATTGCAGACGCGTTGATTTTGTGCGTATTTCGCTTTATGCAGATCCGCCTGGACCTTGACATTTAATGCTGATAAGAGAGGAGGAGGAGGAGGAGGGGAAGGAGAAGCAAACGGAGAAGGAAAACACTGGCACATATGTATACGATGCAATAAGATGTGATTCGATCAACGACGTCGCCTACAAACTTCCGGATTTAGATAAACATTTCTGTCTAGCCCCTTGGAAAAACACTATGTGCAAGAGCTGAATATACAATTTATTTACTCCTTTGACCGCCGATAACGAGTCGCGCTGCGCGAGTCATGATATGCGCGAGGTGTTTGGCGGCGTTTAAGAATTGCTCACGGGAACTTTGAACGCATACGACGGAAATGGCAGAGGTAAATTTAATGTACAAGTCGTCCCGCTTGTTAGAGCGTTGCCCTTTCCATCCCGCCTTTACGTTTTACGCCTAGTTTAAGAATGAATGGAAATCGTTTTGTTTCAGGCACAGAGCGACAGCATATACGACTCAATAATCATGTATTGTGAGTGTGCTGCACCTTGGAGTATTTTACTAGTGTTTTTGTCACGTTAATGCTACTCCATCGTTATTCATTGTCTCGTAAGTAGGATTGAAGGACTGATATTTATAATTCCAGACGAGGAACGGGCTAAAAAATACCAAATGTTTTTGCGTCATCCCAACGTGCGCAACTGCATCCTCCGATTTAGGGAGCAGTTGGCCCACAATCCGTTTCTGCAGGTGGCTACCTTCATCGCGATAGCGTCGCTGTTGACACCTATCCTCCTGTTCATCATGTTTGCTATTGTCAGCGCTGTATTTATATTTATTGGCTTTATGATGGTTCAAGGTAAGGATACGTTTCTATATCCTGATCACAGAGAGCTGTCGTTGCCCGGACTCTAAAGCAAACGGATATACCTGTTTTTCAGTGACAGTATTGGCTATTGGCGCGAGTATTCTAAGCTGCGTACTTTTCTGCATCGCAAGTACTATTATAATGGTAGGGTTATTTATCCTTTTCGTCTACTACACGTTATATTATACGAACCATGCGTTCAATCTTTTGCTCTGCACTAAAACCTGATTTACCTGATGTATAAAAAAAAAAAGGCTGTATATATTCTTAATAGAATAATATATTTCTTAACGGAATAAACTTGCAAAAAGAATAAAAAAAATTTAACAATATTTATTATTACAAGACTTAGGATAGCTTTAGAATGTAGAAAATCATGTAGAATACGTTAGATGTAGAATATAGAAAATCGAATATCAAAATCATATAATCTCATTTTTGGACGTAATATTTACATCAACACGTGGAACGTGTTTGGTTGAGGATCCTCGTTCCTGATCTCGGCGTTAACTGGGACATTTGGTTGAGGATCCTCGTCCTTGATCTCGACTTTGCCCGTAGACAAATATATCTCGTGCCACAGTGAGTCGACTATCTGTTCATTAATCTCTTGCTTTTCATAACAAAAGTGGTGAATGTAGTCGCGCTTGTTTGAGACATCTGTATCAAGAGTCAAGGATCACGAATATGCTTATCTCCTGCTTATTGGCCAAAAAGAAGAGGGCTAGCGTGAAATGCAAAGTTATGCTCGATGTGGCTTATTAGCTAGTATTCACATGCATAAAGTTATATATGCATGAATATTTGCAAAAAGGATACAGCCTTGAATTCCATGCCGTGAAGCTTCATAATCCCACTGTATCCTTGTCAAATCCCTGTACAATTTCAACTTTTTCCTGCAAAATGGACAAAACAATGATAACAACGCCGATAAAAAAAAAACAAGAACACGTTAATGTGCAACAATATCACATACCTTCCTTGCTCCAGCAATTGCTGATCTCGTAAATTTGGTTTGGCAGCCTTCAAGCTGTTACGTTCTCCTTCCAGCTGCTTGATCTCTTGCAAGAGCTTCTTTTTCTCTACTTCTAGCTCTGTCTATTAAAAAATATTCAGTTGTGGAATACATCCATGTAAACTGTATGGAAAAAAAATAAAAAATAAAAAAGATATGTATGTTATACTCACTAGAATAGCCTTCTCTTTCAGTAACTCATTATTTTTCTGCTCCAAAATTTGTGTCTCCGTATGCAGCGTCTCTTTTATAGCAGCCAATTTTGCCATTAATTCCTTAATCTTGGTTTCGTCCTCTGAAAATAAAGAAGTCAGTATAAGAGAAAATATAAAAAATTAATCATTTGTCTTGTAGTTTCATAAAGACTTCAAGGCATCTGGTAAATACGCAATAGAGAGATTATTGGCTCGTTCTACATTGATCTCCCTCTAAATTGAATTATTTGAATTTCACATATTCGCAAATAACAAAGTTTACCATTGAACTGTTGATTTTGACTTCTCTTGATTTCGTTCACAGCTTCTGCCTTGGACGACAACAATTGTTTGAGCATCGACGTATCCGTGTCTACGTATTTCGATTTCAGCGCTCTCCACGACTCCGGTCCGTGATTCTCCATAATTCTATCCAATTAAAACTATATTAAAACTAATTAATCCCACAACTAACGGCGTCAAAATCACAAGGAAAACCTGTCCTTCACCTATGTCGAATTTACGTTATGAAATTCGAATCGTCTGCAACAGGGTCGGCAATCCTCCAATGTATGTTTTGTTCTTTACAGCTGATCTTTCTGCACCGTTCAAGCCTTTCTCTCTTTCTCTCCAATGTAAATTGTGTACCTATTTCGTTTTAGGTGCAGAAAACACACTGTGGTGCAGTTGCAAGAAGACATATCTGAAATCACCAAACGCGTTCCATCTAGAGATATTCATGTTTCATGAGCATTAGGATAAAAGCGGATGCTAGAGTCGTCTGTTACCGACTGAACATAGTAACTTCTGCACAGCTCAATTCATATGAATTGTATTTTTTTATTAGCAAGTGTATAGCGATGAATAAAAGAGAAAAATTCCAAAGAATTTATTTCATAGAAGCAGCTGTTCCAATAATAGAAGAGAGATGTAAAAAAGAGAGGAGGAAGAAACTAAACTAATTACTAAAGAGAGGGGTTCTCTTCTGAATTCTCTCTAAAGCTTGTATCACACTACGGATTGGAAATTCCAATTCAATCAATCAGCGGGTCGATTGTGTATCTTAAAATAAAATGAAAATTACAAAAGCGAGTAAATTCACTAGGTATGGCCAATGAAATTGCAACTTGTAATGAATTTGCTCACTTTTTTATTTTTCATCTCGTTTCGTGATACACAATCGATTCCCAGAACGGACTAAAATTAAAATTATCTGATTAGTTAAGTCCTAAACCTTAAGCTTCAATTGTGCAATCCTCAATTTTCAATGCATTATTTTTACGGCTTACAGTTATTGTAAAATAAGCTAAAGCCTACCATTCTACAATAGTAAGCCGTAATCGATTATTCTCCTCATATTCGACCACGATTGGTCAATTTTTACGACTTACGGCTATTATAGAATTAGACTTTAAAATTACGATTAAAATGTTTTGTATGTATACACATGTGATAACTTTAAGAGTCGATTGCACAATCCAAAACGCCAAGAAACCTGAAGTTGTGCGCGGAGAAACCGACCAATAGCACATCAAAACGTGAAAATCAATCTCTCTCGGCGCGCGACGCACCCGCGTGTGAACGGGCCTTTAACCCCAGGGGCCCCGGAAAGGCGCCGCTCATGCCGCTCATTCGCGAAACGCGTGCACGCCCGTGTCGTCGTCAGCGCTCGTGGAGGTTAGCGGCGGGGAGAAGAGTCCACTTCCAAAAGCGTGCATCTTCTGTCACAGCGGGAGAGGGAGAGCGAGCGAGAATCAGTTCGCAAGTTCCGCTCGTACGCGCGTGTAATACAGTGTGGTGGGTGCCGCGGCGCAGGATTCGCCAGAGGTATAATATCGATCGTCCACCGCCGTGACGTGTATCGATAATTCGCGTGATTAGCGAGAAAACGGCTTTCGCACGGCGTGAGGAGAGCCGTTCGAGAACGAGATGAAATTGCCAGCGCGGGACGGACGTGTCCTTATGTGCACGGAAGAGGGAGAAAGACGGGGAAAAAAACAAAGGGGAGAGAGCGTGAGAGACGGTGGACCGGTGCGAACGCGGCGGCGATGACGAACGTTCTCGCGCGGAGAGGGTGGCTCCAGTTCGAATCGGCGGCGGGGTGCGCGTTCCCAAATAAGGTGTTCCCCCGCGCCTCGCAGGGTTGAGGAGGGGCCTCGCGCGTTTTTTTTTTCTCCACCGCGCGCTGCTCCACGCGCTCCGACCGAGCGCCGCACACGCGGCGTGCATTCTCGCGACGTGTGCGGCGGGAATACGAATCGTACGTGTCTCCCAGCTCGCGATTACGCCCTCCGTTCTTCCACGAAAGCGCAGCTCCCATTCCTCGCCCTTCGGTTTCATTTCACTCCGCCGGTGACTAACGCACCTTGGAAGTGCGTAACGCCGCGCGTTCCGGCGCGAGATATCGCGCCGCGATAACGCGGTCGGATAACGATAACCGCAGGCCGCCGTCGTCGTCGTCGTCGGACGTCGTTATCGGCGCGCCACCGCGTTCCGTTCCGTTCGGGCGCGTTCGCTTGGTCGGGCGAAAGCGTCGAGGAAAAAAAAAGAACAGGGAAATAAACGCAATCGCGAGAACCCGCCCCGGGATTTTCGAATATTCCTCGTCTGACGTTGCGAGAGAGAGAGAGAGAGAACTGCGAGATCTCTCTCTCTCTCTCTCTCTCTCTCGGGATGTTCGCGCTCGCACACGCGTCGCGAGTAGGTCAGGACGAGAGAAGTGACACATATGCGCGGACCGCGTATTATTTCGAATCGTTCGTGAATCACACGATCTCTCGCGCGCTCTCTTCTCTCTCTCTCTCTCTCTCTCTCTCCCGCTCGGGCGCGGCCGCGCTCGCGCGACCCCGTCTATTTCGGTGAATCGAAATCATTTTTCGATGCACCATGTAAGGAGCGCGGGAAGCGCTCTCTTTCTCTCTCTCTCTCTTTCTCCTCTCCCGTCCGCTCTCGCCCTGATAATCGGCAAAGCTGTTTTCATTACGCATGCCGCGGCCGTCGCGCCGAACACGTAGATGCACACGGTAAAGCGACCGAGCATTCGAAATACATTCTTATTGCGGTCGTGTCGTTTGTATACGAAGGAAAAAAAGGAAGAGAGAGAGAGGGAGAAAGAGAGAGAAAGATAGTGAGAGAGAGAGTGGGGAATCTATTTATAAAGAGCGGGGATGTTCCACGCGACGCCCACGCCCGTGTCGCGGACGCGTGTGTACGGCGATAATTTATTAAAATAATCGCGACAGAAGGGGAACCGGCGCACGTCGGCCGACCCCCCGCGGACCGCTCTCCCGCCGCGCTCTCCTCATGCGCCCGTCGTCGCCGCTCCGCTCATCCGTGGATCATCCCGCTTCGTTGATTGCAGAGCAGGTGCAGACATGTCTTTCCGCGTGGTGCGCACCAGCAAGTTCCGCCACGTGTACGGAACTCCGCTGAAGCGTGAGCAATGCTACGACAATATCAGGGTGTCCAAATCGTCGTGGGACTCGACGTTCTGCGCCGTGAATCCCAAGTTTCTCGCCATCATCGTGGAGTCGGCGGGCGGCGGTGCCTTCATCGTCCTGCCGCACAACAAGGTATAGGCTCTCTTTTTTTCTTTCTCTCTCTCCCCTCCTGCCCCTTGCCGTTTCTTCTGCCTGCCCTAATTTCGTCGCCGAGTTTCTCTCGGTTCATTGGCTACGCCAGAGCCGGATCGGCATGTCATGTGCGTATGTTGTTATTACTGTGTGGCACAGCAGCGAGCATAATGGCATGTAACTTCCCCAAATGACAGACTTTGCGATATCCGTTTCGAGTTCCCTGACCGCGACCGCGGTTATAAATCGGCAACCGATCTCCATTGTGCAAAACGTTTTTGCAGGTAGGAAGAATACCGGCCGACTATCCTCTGGTAGGCGGACACAAGGGACCCGTACTGGACATCGCGTGGTGTCCGCACAACGATAACGTCATAGCCTCCGGCTCCGAGGACTGCGTTGTCAAAGTATGGCAGATACCCGACGGCGGTATCTCGAGGACGTTGACCGAGTCGATAGTCGATCTGCAGCTGCACCAGCGCAGAGTCGGTCTGGTGCTGTGGCATCCCACGGCGTTGAACGTGTTGCTCACCGCCGGCTCGGACAATCTCGTCATCATCTGGAACGTCGGCACGGGCGAGGCCCTGATGCGCATCGACAGCCATCCGGACGTGGTCTATTCCGCGTGCTGGAACTGGGACGGATCTCGAGTAGTCACCACGTGCAAAGATAAAAAGATTAGAATCCTAGATCCCAGGTCGGGCGAGATACTGGAAGAAGCTATAGCGCATGAGGGCAGCAAGGCGACTCGTGCTATCTTTCTTAGGTACGTATTCCATTTTATTCTTCAGCATTTTATCGCTTCTTTTTTATTGCTATATATTATTCACATATATTTGTACATTGTATAAAAAAAAGTCAAATTGATGCAACAAGGAAAAAAAAGGGGAAATAGACATATTTTGAAAAACAGATTGTGAATTGTCGAAACTAAATTCTAATTCATTAAGCATTAGAATTAGCAAATGGAGACACATAATTTTGCTGAAAAGATGTTTAAATCTTCTCCAGATGTATATTTCCAGTTGCATCAACCTTATCTCACAAATACAACATATCGCCCGAACAGATATTGCTACAAAAAATATAAATTCTAAAATATTTAATTCTCTTAATTTTTTATCAAGAAACATTTAATTTAAGTGCATTATTAATATGACAAAACATTAAAAATGATAAAACATTTTTTCACGACTTTTCTAATGTCTTTTCACATATGTAATATAATTCAGAATACTACAAGCTGATATTTGATTATTGAAATAACTAATTTCTATGGCTATGATTTTGTAAGAGGAAGAGTGCATTAAACTAACGAGTGAATTTGCATGGGAGAGTGTGGATGTAGATAAATTTCAAACAAAAAGGGATGTGTGAATAATACTGTACAAAGTTGTAACTTCTTTACTCTTTTTTTGTACATTAGGTATTTAAATTTAATTAAAGATTGTTCACATATAAGAGGACAAACGTGTCTGTAAAACATAATCATCAAATGGTATACATCCACCTTTTTACACAAATGTATATTGGTAATAATTCATATATATAAATAATCTATGTGTTGGTAGAAATTGTTTAAAGATGATTCTTAGATATATTGGAGCTCTTCCTTTCCATTTGTTGTTATTCCTTTCCCATCTTTTTTTTTTGTGATACCATTTTCGACTAATAACTTGACGTGACTATGTATATTCGGGTCGACACGCACACGGTACTTTTCGTGCTTCTGTCCGCGGGTGTTTTGTAAGACAAACATGTTTATACGTACGTAGGGGTACACTTGTTTTCATTATCTTGTATTTCCGGTTTGTGTAGTGCAAGATTCTGTAATTTTTAATGGAAAGACCGCCAGACTGAATTTTCGACATGACCAAGATGCCAACTTAATATATACGAATGTCAAGATGTGTGTGCTCTGTAATTCTCCATAGATATTCCAGTAAGTATTGTGCACCAAGTTATTAATTCAAATTGTAAATGTTAGAATGCTTAAATAATTATGTAAGTTACAACGACGGAATACATCAATTTCGGTAGAGATATCTTTAATAAAGCAATATTGTGATATCCTTTACGCTTGTGAAAGAAAAGGATTCACCAAGATTTATATACTTGCACAAGTTTATGCAAGCAAAATGTTGTATGTAATTTGTGTATTGTAATTGTGGTATTTTTTTATATTACGTGTCTTGTTTATGTCTAAGATAATGTTCGTGAAAGATAATTGTATATAAGATACTGTAAAAGATGTTAGCTCTATATAACGAGGTGGTAACAAGGTGGATGTAGTAAAAGAGTTTTGATGATTAATTTCTGTGTATAAAAGTATCATAATAAGATATCACAAAGTAATGTGTAATATAAATATTTTTTTTTATCATATGTATATATACATGTATATATGTATATATATGTGTATGTGTAAAAAGATTAACACACTAGATAACAAAACAAAAAAAACCCGCCGCATTAGATATTGGTGAAATCTTCGTGTTCGCGCGTACTGATTGAATTCACTTGTGTTTATATTTTCAGGGGTGGCTTGATCTTCACGACGGGCTTCAGTAAGATGTCGGAGAGGCAATATTCGTTACGAGCCCCCGACATGTTGGGCGAGCCCATAGTTATGGTAGAGTTAGACACGAGCAACGGAGTTATGTTCCCTCTGTACGATCCCGACACAAATTTAGTATACCTGTGCGGCAAGGGCGATTCTGTGATCCGATACTTCGAAATTACGCCCGAACCGCCGTTCGTTCATTACATCAATACCTTCCAAACACCCGATCCTCAACGGGGTATAGGAATGATGCCAAAACGGGGCTGTGACGTTAATAGCTGTGAAATAACCAGATTCTATCGATTAAACAATTCGGGCTTCTGCCAAGTGGTGTCTATGACGGTGCCGAGAAAGGTGAGAAAGCGTTCCACCTCCAATTCGCGGAAGTGGAAGCCGACGAGGTGTGAGAGAGATAGAAAGAGTCGTAGATTCGAGAAGTAAAAATCGCGCCATTGTAATTGTGTTTCAGTCCGAGCTCTTCCAAGAAGACTTGTATCCCGATACTCCCGGCGACACTGCCGCGATCTCGGCGGAGGAATGGGTGGCCGGCACCGACGCGGAGCCCGTGCTGATATCCCTCAGGGACGGCTATCAGCCGTCCGCTTCCAAGAATGAACTCAAAGTACAAAAGAAATCCAATATATTGAGCAAAGGTGCCAAGGTCGCGTCCAACGCCGCGCAAAACGCCACGGACATTTCGCCGGGAGTTTGCGTACGTATCAGGGAATTCGTTCCCTCCGGCTTTTCGTTCGGATCTCGAATAAGAAAAGATAATGTATAAACTCTTCACGATTGCAGGAGGAATTGTTGAAGGAGTGCAGAGAAGAGATAAGAAAATTAAAGGCAGTGATCGTTAAGCACGAGGGTAGGATACGCGTGTTGGAGTCGGCGGTCGCTCTTCAAATGAAGGAGGAGGAGAGGAAGGAGAGGAAGGAGAAGTCGGCGTCTCCCGACGGCAAGGAGACGCTCGCTTCCGACGAGGTGTAGAAGCTCCCCAGAAACACTCTTTGTCTCCGGCGCGACGTTGTACTTCTAACGAGAATACTTTTCACTAATATATCGTCTAATAAGAATGATCGTATATTTTGATATAACAACTTGTGTAAATAGTAGGTTTTAGCGATCGCCATGTGCCCCTGACTCTCTGCAACGATCTTTGCTATATTTATTGTACATCCATTCATCGTACATTCTCTGCATTTGTATTATGTTTACATGTTTTACTATTATATATATATATATATATTATATATTTTACAGGCGTTATAGCCATACATGACAATGTATGTCCCTTAGAGTTAAGTTTTTCGATCGATATAACACACCCAGCGTACGAGACTTTTATGTATATGAACCTTTGTACGAATGATGATTCGTGATATACGCGAGTGCCTAACTTGTACAGATATTTGCTGTTAAATAACAAAGAGTATTATTTTGTTTCAACGTGATTTGTATTTGTGCGACATTGCGAGCCTCGAGGCGACTCCAATTAATTTTCATCGATGATTAATTTAATCAGCGGAATTTCTCCGAACGAAATTGCCTGATGAATATTTTTTTCGAATCCTTTTGTGTTCTCTTTATGTATTTTCTTATCAGATTTGATTTCGATTTAAATTACTCTTTATTCTTTTATCATTTTTAAAATTAGAAAAAGATACAAAGTACCAAGATATATTAAGATAATCATGTTCCGGTTAATTAATTTCATCGATGATTAATTTAACCGGCAAAATTTCTTCGAACAAAACTGATAAATATTTTTTTTTTTTAATTTTTCGTGTTCTCTTTATGTATTTTCTTATCAGATTTGATTTCGTTTAAATTACTCTTTATTCTTTTTTCATTTTTAAGATTAGAAAGATACAAAGTATAATCAAGATTAAGATTAATCTTCCGTCTAACCATGTTCCGATTAATTAATTTAATCGGTGATTAATTTAACCGGCAAAATTTTTTCGAACAAAATTGATGAATATTTTTTTCGAATTTATGTATTTTCTTGTTAGATTTAATATCGATTTAAGTTACTCTTTATTCTTTTCTCATTTTTAAAATTAGAAAAAGGTACAAAGTACCAAGATATATTAAGATAATCATGTTCCGATTAATTAATTTCATCGGATTAATTTAACCGGCAAAATTTCTTCGAACAAAACTGCCTGATGAATATTTTTTTCGAATTCTTCGTGTTCTTTTTCTTTACGTAATTTCTTAGATTTGATCTCGACTTTATTACTCTTTATTTTTTCATTTTTAAAATTAGAAAAGTATACAAAGTACCAAGATTAAGATAATCACGTTCCGATATACATTGTCAGCGCTGAAAATCTATAGCTCATGTCGCGTGTATTATGGATTTTTAATAAAGTGACATATCGGAACGTGGCCTATATTAGTATCGAGAAAAATAGGAGAACGTGGAGACATCGCCCACGTTCTCAGCGGAATTCCTATCGATTGACGCGTCAACATCTGCAATCGACGCGTGGTATTCGTAGATCGCTAACGAAGATCTCTGCGAGAGAATCAGCGCGGCCGATACGACAGTTCGATAAAAGACACTCTACCGGTCAGCATCGGAAGCGCGACGAGCGATTGCTCTACGTATTTTGGACGATCGTCGTCGACTTGTCGCTCAGTTGACATCGGCCCAGCGGTCGTGGATCACTGGTATCTGCACATTGGAGAGGATAATGCGCCACGCGAGATCCTAGTGTCAGGCTACCCGTTTGGCGTGAATCCGAGGCGAGAGAGTCCGACGTGTCCCTTTAACTCGCAGTGAGTACGTCACCCGTGAAAGAGAACCGACTCCCGATTTAGAGACTCCCGGTCTCTGCGAGTCTCTCCCCCGCGATCTTGACATCGGCGGCAATGTCACGCTCACTTCTCCTGGCCGGCGGCTCTTTTCCTCGAGAGGGTTGACTTGCACTCATTCGACCGCAAGGCGACGGAGACGCTGATTCGCGAAGAACGGGGAAGAGCCTCGGCGAGAGAGGGACGGGTTGGGAGGTTGAGTAACGCGCGCGACGAATAATGCGTTACGCGTTAATGGGGAACGCGTCCCCCGTCGTGACATTAATTCATTTTAATGCACTTGGCACGGGCCGCGCGAGCGACCCGCGGGCGCTATTTTAGCCGCAACCTTGCGACACCGCGCGCCCGCGCCGGTGGCATGGCATTGTGTTCTCGCGTTTTATTAAGTGCACGGCACGGCACGTCTCAAGGCGCGGTTTGTCTCTCGCGTGATCTCCCTCTCCCCCGCATCCGTGCTCGAGGCCTCGAGTCACTCGCCGCTACCCGCCGGCTCAGCTCAACTTGGACCGCGCCGTCGATCTCGCGAGTCATCGCGGAAAAAACTTCCCGTAACTCGACGTGTCTCACGATAAATCATAGTTTCTCTATTCTTTTTTTTTTTTTTTTTTTCGAACGACACGACTGTCATTCACGATAGAGGGATTTAAAGATCAAGATAACGTCCCGCCCAGACGGCGATCAAGAGTCGATACCCGGATTCCTGTCGCATGAGTCGAGTACATGGTGATAATATATAATTACATCGCCGTCGCATCGCCGCGTGGATGTAATGCCGAATGTCACTTACGCAATCCCACGTGTTTCGGTCGCTTTATCTTGTCGTGAAGCGGATCACTGGTCGCGCCGCACTAGTGATAATCATTATAATAACGAGCCTCAGCCTTGGCTCGCGAAGATTTCACGGCACGATGCACACATGATCTTTAAATTATTTATAGATCACGTGTATTGAATGCGCGGCGCACAAAAGCGTGCAAAGTGCTCCGGTTCAAATCTTTCTCATTATCAATATTTCTAGTTAATATTCTGGTATTTTTAATATTAGTTATTTCACAACTATTCTTTATTCATTATTATTATTATCATTTTTTTAGTCTTGTTGCCAATTGCAAAAAAACGGAGAGAATATGTATTTCATTAGAAAGTGTCAATTTAGTTTGTCTTTAGTTTATAATTTATCTTTATTTATTTAGTTATTATAGAGAAATCACAGCAATAATAATATATTTTCTTGTCAACTTTTGACTATGAAACAAGTTAGGTTTAAAGTTAATAATTCAAAAGTTGAACACATGAATATCAAAAGATTTAAACAGGACTAAAATATTCCTTGGTAACATTCTCATGCTTTGTAAAGAAACATACTTGCTCTGATGAATATTTAACACAGCAAGTATCTAAGCATTTAATTTAATAACAGTATTTAGTTCACATTTATCTAGAAAATTGTCAATTTATTTAAATCCCTGAGCCTTTTTTTATTTGCATTGTAAGTTTTTTTTATTGTATAAATTATATATCATATAATCTATATTGTATAAATTATATATCATATAATCTGTATTGTATAAATTATATATCATATAATCTGTATTGTATAAATTATATGTCATATAATTTATGCAATATAGATGCAGATTTCAATATCATAATTGTACCACCGTGCTTTTCTTTTGATTTTAGGTTTTCTCGAAAGAGAAAATCGAGGAGCTGATAGACGATGGCGTCGCTCAGATTGTTGGTAGCTGGAGCGAGTGCCGTGGCTACCGGTACCCTTACTTCATACTTCCTCTTATCGGACACCACGGTATGCAACGCGATTAGTCATAACGCGATCGGAGATACTGAGATCCTTTGGAAATTCCGCATGCACGTTCACCTACTATTACTATGCGTTACGTAACGCGACGTGTCTCTATTTCGATCGCGTCCATCCACTTGACGCGATTAATCACACATACACATATATCTAATACATATATATTGTCTTGTAGGTACACGCCGAGGTCAAGGGGAAGCCAAGGCCGCCTCGGAGGACCTTGCCGACGCGAGAGGATCAGCTGAAGACTCTGAAATCGCAGGACTACGACGTGCTGATAGTCGGAGGTGGCGCGACGGGGGCAGGATGCGCTCTGGACGCTTGCACACGCGGTACGCAATCGCCGGGTCGCCTCTTTTTCTTCGCCTGACTCGAGCAAAGCAAACATTCTCCTACACTTTCGCTTATCTTTTTTTTTCTTCTTTTCGAAGGCCTGAAAACCGCGTTGGTCGAAGCCGACGACTTCGCGTCCGGCACGTCGTCCCGCAGCACGAAGCTGATCCACGGCGGCGTGCGATACCTGCAGAAAGCGATCATGCAGCTGGACGTCGAGCAGTACAGAATGGTGAAAGAGGCGCTTCACGAGCGCGCGTCGATGCTGGAGAGCGCGCCGCATCTGGCGCATCCACTGCCCATTATGCTGCCGGTTTACACGTACGTTTATGTATCGCTGTCGAAGCGTAAATTTTCGATGTTCGCACAGTTCTTTCTCTCTCACGTTTCTACTACTTTCGTTCAGATGGTGGCAGATACCCTATTACTGGTTCGGCATTAAGATGTACGATCTGGTAGCCGGTAGCAAAACGGTCAAATCGTCGTATTACTTGAGTAAATCGAACGCTCTGGAACTTTTTCCGATGCTGAAAGGCGACAAACTGACGGGAGCTATTGTCTATTACGACGGTAGTCATCTTGCTATCTTTCTTTTTCTCTATCTCTTACAATTTTGTTATATAACCGAGCTATCTTATATCACGAATAAATGTGCCACTTGGCGTAATACAGGCCAGCAAGATGACGCTAGGATGAATCTGGCGGTCGCTCTAACGGCTTCGAGACACGGGGCGACGGTCGTAAATCACGTTAAAGTAGTCAATCTATTGAAAGGTCTCGACAGAGTAAGTGCCAGAGGTATTCGCAGATAATCGTGAGGACGTGAGATCGGAATGTTTTACAAAAATAAATATCTCCCTGCCCGAACAGGATGGCAAGCGAGTCCTTACAGGAGCTCACCTTAGAGACGAACTCACGGGAGAGGAGTGGGATGTAAAGGCCAAGGCGATAATTAATGCGACCGGCCCCTTCACCGATCACATCAGAAAGATGGACGATCAAAATGTCCCGACTATCTGCTCTCCGTCTTCCGGCGTTCACATAGTGCTGCCAGGCTATTATAGGTAAAAAGAACAATGTATCGCCAACGATTAATACAGCGTATTTTAATTTATTACAATCGATATATCATTGTTTCTCTCGCGACATTTTCAGCCCCGACCAAATGGGTCTGCTCGACCCAGCGACGAGCGACGGCCGGGTGATCTTCTTTTTGCCGTGGCAAAAGCAAACGATCGCAGGAACGACCGATTTGCCTTGCGAGGTGACGCACAACCCTCGGCCCACGGAGGACGAGATCATGTTCATTCTGCAGGAGGTGAAAAACTACCTGAATCCGGACGTTGAGGTGCGCCGCGGCGACGTTCTCTCCGCGTGGAGCGGCATCAGGCCGCTCGTTTCCGACCCGAACAAACCGAACACGCAGTCGCTCGCCAGGAATCACATCGTGCACGTCAGCCCTACGAATCTCGTCACGATAGCGGGCGGCAAGTGGACGACCTACCGAGCGATGGCTCAAGAAACCATTGACGCGGCGATAAAAGGTGTGCAGGATTAATTGAGCGGTCATTAGAGAAATTTGTGCTTAAGCGTGTGCCTTGTTTTTTTCCGCTCTATATATTTCTTGCGCTTGCGCTATTTTTATAACTCAAAGCTCTTTATAAAAAGGACTCGTGAACGCTTGTTTAAAGCTTGCGACCTAGAACCAGAGAGACCTTGCCAGACCGACGGCTTTCTTCTGGAGGGTGCTCAGGGCTGGAGCCCGACGATGTACATTAGATTGGTGCAGGATTTCGGCCTGGAGTGCGAGGTCGCGCAACATCTGTCCAAGAGCTACGGGGATCGCGCGTTTGCCGTGGCTAAAATGGCCTCGCTCACGGGGAAGCGGTGGCCCATCATCGGAAAGAAGATACATCCGGAATTTCCGTACATCGACGCCGAGGTGAACCGTTCTTTCGCATTGTTCAAATTTCGACAATTTATGTCTTCCCGTCAGATATTCTAAACGTATATGCATTTCAGATACGTTACGGTGTGCGGGAGTACGCTAGGACCGCGATCGACATGATCGCGCGCCGATTGCGACTCGCTTTCCTCAACGTCCAAGCGGCCCAAGAGGCGTTGCCGGGCATCATAGACATCATGGCCGATGAGTTGCAGTGGTCGGCGGAGGAGAAGAAGAAGCAGCATCGCGAGGCGAGCGAGTTTCTCGCACACGAGATGGGTCAGATGGTGAACCGTGTTTCCCGCGACAAGATTCCGATCAATCTCACCAAGGAGGAGATCCAGCTCTACATCAAGCGCTTCCGCATTATAGACAAGGACAAGAAGGGATACGTGTCTATCAATGACATTAGGCGAGGACTGAAGGTTCGCATATATATACATTTCGGTATCTCTCATCGATATCGCTGATATAATATATATATTTTTTGTTTCATTTTTTGATTATCGATATCAATTAACGTCGCCGATACGCAGGTATTAGGTATAAATATGACCCACGAAGAGATGCACAGCTTGTTGAGTGAAATTGATGTCACTTACAATGGCCAAATGGAATTACAAGATTATCTGCAGGTAAATCATCAAGCCATATACTTAACGCACATTTCCTTTCTCTTCGCAGCTCTTTGGAGATAAGGATGTACCGGGTGAAGAACTTCACGAAATTCTGCGCGAAATCGACACCAATATGAACGGTCAAGTCGAATTGGATGAATATCTTCAGGTCTGTGACATTGCGCATTGTGCACACAGTCACAGTCGGATTTCTTTTCTCACGCATTTCTCTGCCTTTATCTGCCCGTTATTCTTTGTGCGGTGAAGTAGCTTTCCAGGATGATGTTTTTGGTTTCTTTTTTTTTTAACACGATTACACGTGTGACATTAATCCCCTGATTAGTAACTTCCGAACCGATGGAGAAATTGACAATTTGTTTTACTGCTTTTTTTGCTCTTTTTTTTCTACGTTTGTATTGCATGCGTTATGATGTAACCGCTCAGAATTATTTTATACCATCTTTTCAAATATTCCATTAACATAATTATGCTTTTGCATAAAATAACTCTTATGCTGCATACATATGTATATGTAAACACATATCATTTTTTTTTTATATACAGATGATGTCAGCTATAAAGTCTGGCCATGTGGCGTATTCACGTTTCGCGCGGATGGCTGAGCTGGAGGAGGCGCAGCATGAAAAGGAGATGCTCAAGAAACAAATAAGCGTCGAGAGATCAGGTGGAGGGCTATAATGAAATTTATCCCTGTGAAATTTGAACTTTCGAATATTTTTATCTTATTTTTGACTTGATAAGTTTCATTTTCGCCTATTTATTTAAGAATATCAGTTTCGATCGAGTCGAAACGAAAAGAATTAATCTCTTGCGAAGTGGAACTTCATTGCAAACAATAGTTAAAAAAAAATATATATATATATTAATCTACAAATACGTCTCGTATTAAGTAATTCGCAACACACGAGTTTTTGCACGTCCGTCGCGCAGATTTTTATCGATAAGTAATTGAAGTCAACAATTGCGAGGAAAAGATTTTAAATTGTGCATAGATCCCGGTTTCGACGTGCGTGTACTTATTTGTATGTAATATCTATATTATGTACAAAAAACGCAGAGCATCCGCATTCTTTCTATTTGTATATATACAGCCGATGCCGATGCATCATACAATTGTATTCTCTTGTATACTCTCGTAAAGTATGCTTAAGAGTGTACTTTGTGTAACGTTGGAACTTTACTATCCTAAAAATTGCCTCAACATTCATAGTATTTATAGCATAACCAACTATGTACATTATGTATTATTTAACTCACAAGAGTAACTCTTTCTCTCTCCAGTACTAAATGTTTTTGCTTCCTGCAAAATTGTGAATATAGCGTTGCTGTAAGATATGCTTGGGGTACGTCATTTTTCAAAAAAATTTTGTCACATCTGATCTTCGAAAATGAGCCAGTACGAACTATAGGAATTCTACTGCTATCCTTTGTATCATTACTAATTTACTGAAGACTGTACAGACTACAGATATACAGAGAAATCATCTAATTTATTATCACGTGTAACATGACACAGTGACAAGAGCACCTGTAATTTATCTCATCGTGTCTTTATCATCATATCAATAAAACTGATGACATAATTTGTAGTACAGCTGTTTTTGTAGTATCAATTTTTTTAAATCAAATATCGCTAACGTGCTACAAATTATATCGCAAATTGTCGTCATTCATCGGTCTGCGTATCTCGGACAATTATATACATATATATATGTATGACTTATCGAGAAGAGTTTCCTGACGACTTTATCGACACGGTTATCGAGGAGAGGAATTTCACATAGGAAGAATTTAATTTCAGATTTTATTTTAGATTAGATTTCGGGGTTTCAAATTGTACAATGTACGAGAAAATTGAAAAATTTCCTTATGCCAGGAGGCAAACGGAGCTCGTCTGACGAAGAAACTCTTTTTTTTTTTTTCTTCGTGTGACTCCCGAAAATCGCCGTCGCTAATCAATTATCAAAGACTCGTGGTCCGTGGATCGCCGAGGGAACGTTCTCGAGGATTCTCTCGAGAGTCGTATCGCGCAGTTCGCGACACCACGCGACATATGTGCACACGCCCAGCACGCGGGTCGCTGCCGTTCCGCGGTCGGTACGTTAGGGTGAAAGGTACAAGGTGGGAGGAAGCGGAAAAGGTTAGAGAAAGTAGGAGAGGTTTAGGTTTCCCCTCCGCGTGGTTTAGTCCCCTTTAATAGGGTGGGCGTCCGCCGTAGCCGTTCCCGCGTACGCCCCTGTCCAACGACGCCCCGGTCACTGCCGGCTGGTGCGATTTGCCGACGGTGACGGCCGAGCGGTCGCGCGCCTCGCGGCCGGCCAATCGGCGCGCCCGTGCCATTGTCGCGAGTGTGACGCCGACGTTGCCGTGTCCCGCACCGCCCATTCTCCCCGCGTCCGTGAATACGTGCGCCCGTTAAGCTGCCCGAGTTTTGAGGCGAGATTTGTTGGTGTGGTCTCCGCGGCGTGTGTAACATTTTCTCTCCACGAGCGTCGATAGACGAGCCGTCGAACCGGGGTCGCGCGTACGCGGTGGGCGTACATGACGCGTGCACGTGCCAGTGGATCCATTTGACGAGAGTACGCGAACCTCTCCGTTTGGCTCGACTGCTGCGCTCCGTCCCTCGCCCTCGGTGTAGCGTGCCTTCCGCGCGTCCCGCGGTTCAACGGCGGCGGTGGCGGCGGCGGCGGTATCCCACGCCCGAGTTTAATATCCCGTGTATCGAGCAATCGTTTACTCCCCCTCCCCCCTCCCCCTCCCCGCGGATCGAACGACGCGAAGTGAACCGCGGACTGGTCTAGCACAAGTCGTGAGTAGCGTCAAGTAGCGTCGCGACGACATATAGAGGCACGGGGGAACCGATAACGCGCGTCGCGTGGCACGTGCGGATGTGTGTGAATGCGCGCGCGCGCGCGCGTACACAGCTCGCGGAAGGTATGCACGCGGGAGCGAGGACGAGCGAGGTCAGCGTGATAGCGGGCGGCGCGGCGCGTCGGTGGACGAGCACCTGCGACTCCCGCGAATGATGCGATCGCCCGCACCATTCCCACGTCGTACGACGGAACGTGAGCGGCATAGCTCCTCCGCGGTGGTACGCGCCCGTTCGTGCCGAGCTGGAAGACCCTCGTGAGCGAGCGTCGGCGCGTCTCTCGACGGATTGGCCTCGCGCGTGGATCCAGGCGATGTACGTTCTCGCGCGAGTACTCGCGTGACCGACGGTACGCATCGGACTAAGGGGCACCTGGGGGAAGTGACTCCGACCAGAGTGGTGTGTTTGGTGATGCCGGTGGTGTCTGGCGCGTGTCTGGCTGGGCGTTTTAGCGTCGGCAGTGTGAGTAAACCCTCTGAGCGCGAGGGGCAACACGTGTTTGGCTTCCACGTTAGGTGGAGTCCCGGCGGTGTGCGGCGAGGTGGGTGGAGGCTGATGGGCCATTCGTGAGTCTGTGCCTTCCCCGCGTTATCGCGGGCGCCGCGCCGCCGCGCTGCCGCCGCCGCCGCGAGAGCGCGAACGGAGCGGCGGATGACGGAGTGGGCGGTAATGACGACACGAGGCTGCTCACCTTGCCGTCATGTCAGGCCTCGTGCGCGTGCCTCGTTATGAATCGGTTGGGGTAGTGGGGAAACAGGGGCGTAAGGAGGCGGTCCTCGATCGGGTTCTCGGGGCATCCTCCTTCTGGGTGCCCATTACCGGTGACGGCCTTCTTTGTTCCCCTGTCGGGGAAAGAGAAAGACCGCGAAGGGGAGAGAGAGAGAGAGAGAGAGAGAGTGTTTAGCGTCTTTTGCACATGCCGCCTAGTAGCATGTGATGTCAACATACTGCTACAGCATTCATAAATTGCAACTCGAGACTCCTCGCAGCTGGAAACGGCTCTTTTTTTCTCTCTTCTAGCTTTTCTCGTTTAAATCCCAGCTCTCCGATCAAATTATTTCAAGAGTCTACCATGTTTAGCATATTCTCGAGCATGTGATGCCAACATGCTCCATCATCACAAACTGCAACTCGAGACTCCCCGCAGCTGGAAACGACCCTTTTTTTTCTCTTTTTTAGCTTCTCTCGTTTAAATCCCTGCTTTAAATCTCAGTTCTCCGATCAAGTAGTTTAAAGAGTCTACCATGTTTAGCATATTCTCGATTTGGAATATTTTATTTAGACTGTATCCTACAGTCTAAATAAAATATTCCAAATTTTATTACATTCACAAATTCTAGCACCAAACAAAATCTCTCACTTTTCCATCTCTCTCCACTTTTTTACTTGTCTTTAAAAGTATTCTGTTTTACTCGCAATAACATTTGCAGTGATTCTTTGATTTTTCTGGACAAATATATTCTACATCTCTAATTATCTTAATTAAAATTGCTGTAATTTCTTAATACGAGTTACTTTACAGACTATCAATTAGTTATCAAAATAGACAGTTCTCTAAAAGTGATATTTCTTTGTAGGAGCGCCATTTCTGGGACAAATCTTGTAGCTTCAAGAAAATTGCCAATGCCGTTATACTTGTTACATTATGAATTCCTAGCACACTCGACGTAAAATGGCATTAGATTCGTTGTTATAAATTGTATACAGTGCAAAACGGAATCATTCATCATGAAACGAAGTGTAGACGGAAGGAATCTTTCCCAGGTAAAATACTTATACTGCAACTCTCGTATCTTGTCTTTGCAATCTTACTTTTTGAAATTGATGTTGACAAACGATATTCTCTATAGATAATACTACTTAATATTATATATATATATTTATATTTATATAAACGACAATTGTCTTATGATACAATTTTGATTCTACTATAATGTGAAAATATCTACAAGATAAGAAAATAAACGGATATGTATATAATTTATGTTCAACAATTATTTGCAGGAAGAAATCGAAGATCACGATCCTTTGCAGTCTCAGCAGCAACAGCAAGATGAGGCGGAGCAGCAGCAGTTGGAGCAACAGCAGACTGCCCAGCCGCAAATTCGTTTTCTAAGCGCCAATGTGTTGCAGCAATTGCAGCAGCAGCAAGATGTTCAGCAGGCTCAGCAGCAGCAGCAGCAGCAGCAGCAGCCACAAGTTATTACACTGCAAAACTTTGTGCCTTTACAAGCCCAACAGCCGCAACACGATCAACAGAGAGCGCAAACGATCTCTGTCCAATCGCTACCTCATCAATTCTTGCAAGTACGCGAAACGAGATTATGTCGAGGCTGGTTTCCCCGCGTTCCCGAGCTATTCGTGACAATTCTGACAAGAGCCATGGTTACCCCCCCAGGTTATCCCAAGTGCTCCCTCTCGGCGTCCCACGTGGTTCCTCCTTGCATTAATTCCCTGCATCAAGGTTTCCGTTCCTTCGAGAGTTAGACTCCTCGTACAGTCAGAAAAAGTTAGTTATGTCAGAAAAGTTACACGGCTCATGCTGTGCGAATTGAAAATTTATTATTCTGCTTCTGATTTTAATTTGTAAACGCACCTTTTGTTTCGCAGGGTGCTCAGATTATCAGCAGTGCTCAGGCACAGGCGGCTCTTCAACAACAACAGCAGCAGCAGCAGCAGCAACAACAGAGCCAGCAGTCGCAGCAGCAGCAGCAGCAAGCTCAGCAGCAGCAAACGCAGCAGCAGCAGCAGCTCAGCTACAGTGTGATCCCGCAAATGCAGACCGTTAATATAGACGGTCAGGAAGCTCTGTTCATTCCATCCTCCGCGATGTCGGCGGCGGCAGGTGGTCATCACCAGGCACAGCCAACAATGCAATTTGCCACTACGAATGGTCAACAAATGCAACTCGCCGGCCAACAGGTTCAACTCGCGAACGGCCAGACTATTATCACGCCGCAACCAGTTAGTCTCATAAGGGCACCGAATGTCTTTCCCACTTCGATTATACAAAATATTACTGGACAGACGGTTCAATTACCGACAGGTATGTTCTTTATTGCAAAATCGCTTACGAAAATACACGTGTTGTAATATGTACGTAACAATATAAAGATATTATAATTAAATTATAATTAAAGCTATTATAACACTTAAATGTAAGACAGACTAATGAGAGTCAGTTCTTGGTGCCCAAAATTTTATGTATTAGAATCGATTTATATAAAAAATATACAGTATACGTATATATGATTTTAGGCACCAAGAACTGCTCGTGACTCTCATTAGCCTGTCTTACATTTCAGTTTTAAGTCGAGAGTCCTATATTATTAATTTTTAAAGATATAATGGAAAACAGGGAACAGAAGAGAAAGAATTTTAACCTGTCGGAAATCGTATCACTGATATGATTTCTGATAGGTTGAAATTCTTTCTCTTCTGTTCCCTGTTTCCTATTCCTTTTCATTGTGCTCAAGGCTTAAATTGCACTGTGCACATTATAATAGGACAATATCTTTATATTGTTACGTACATATTTATGATAAATTGATTGAATAAAATAATGAAGTCAATTGTTGTATAATTTACAAAATTGTTCAAATTATCAGAATTGCAATTGTGTTAAAATTATATGGTTTAAAGAATTGCTTGGGCATACTTATTGATAATTTTGGGATAATTTCACTTTAATCTATCAGATCTCAATCTTTACACAAGCAATTTAGATTATTTGGACAATTTTTGGAAATTATACAACAATTGGCTTCATTATTTTTTATCAATTAATTCAACCAGGGTTGTCACAAATTTCATTCTAAATTTCTATAATTTTTCCCTGATTTTCAGACAAAGTTGAGCATGCAGGATAATCGAATACTATGTTTATGTTATAGGACAAAGTGTACAGGTAAGACCGCTTCAATTTCCTATGCAACATGTGCAGCAAGCGGTACCTGTGCAATTACCGGTCACTGCCAACAACGGGCAAACCGTTTATCAGACTGTACATCTACCAGTACAATCCTTGTCCAGCGTCTTCAACATGCCGACGACGCAGATGATACCGCAAATTATGCAAGTAAGTTACCTCCAATCTAATCAAACATACAGCAATTGCGATGTTAGCAATTGATCAATACAATAATTTAATTGTCAATTAAGGGCACAATTAACAAATATTGTCAAGCATGGTACCGATGAAATATACATTCTGGTCGTTTTTAATTCTAGCAAATACCTCAAGTGGCGCAGATAATCACGCCAAGCGGTCAGATTCAACAAGTGCAAATTGCTAGTCTACCGCAGTTGCAGAATCTTCAGGTAAATTGTAATTGAATTTAATAATATGAAGTATCGAATGTATAAAATATGAAATGATTTCTCATTTCATGTTTATTTAATTTTCTAATACTTCAATCATTTTTGTTATAAAATACGTGGGTTGAGGATCAGAAAATCAAACCCGGGACTCGCTGACTACAAATCGGTCGCTCTCACGAGGAGCTACGAGTCATTCCCTTCGACATGATAAATTATTTTCTCTATAACCTTAAATGAATATTTAACAACAATTAAAAGAAAATAAAGGCCAAAACTGGAAGTAAGAGAAATGTCAGATAAATTGAAAACCGATCAGGAAAAGTCAGAAAATTTTGCAATATTTTCTAAAAAATTAAAGAAGTTTAATATGCGTACCTATGTTAGCGCGCGTATTACATCTCACGTGTTCTCACATCGGTTCAACTCGGGTCTGTTTCATTTATGTCATAGCGTTTATGTCATACAGTCAATAAATACAAAAAATTTGAAAATATTTTCGATAGTTAAGGAAAATCAATTTTGTCTGAAAATCTGGGAGAAATTACAGAATTTTAGGATAAGATTTGTGGCAACCCTGGTCGAATTAATTGATAAAATAATGAACTCAATTGTTATGTAAGGTCCAAAATTATCTAAATAATCTGAATTGCTTTTGTAAAGATTAAAATCTGATAGAAAGTCTGCAATTTTGTTAAAATTATATGTATTTAAAGAATTAAAAAGCCTCTTATATTTCGATAGTGTCTTGTAGCTGACTGATGTGTGCGAACGTTTAATGTATTATTACAGAGTCAGCAAGTAACGCAAGTTGCGCATCAACAAGCGCAACAACAAGTCGTTCAACAACAAACGCAACAGCAAGTGGTACAATCGGTGCAGCAGCAGCAACAGCAAGTCGCCCAAGCCCAAGTGCAACAACAGCAGCAAGTGCAACAAGTGGTACAGCAGGTGATACAACAGCAACCACCGTCGTCGCAGCAGCAGCAGCAGTCGCAACAGCAGCAGCAGCAGATGCAACAATCCTCCGCTCCATCGTCGACGGTAGCGACTTGGAGCACAACAGTTGCCTCTCCTAGCAATGTTCAAGTAATATACATATACTTCTAAATTCGAATGCTAACACATTAATGCGATGAAGTTGTTCCAAATGCCTAATTATATGCCATTTTCTCAGGTACTCGGTATAGGTGCATTAGGAAGAAACTTAACGGGAAACACTAACGTCATTACCACAAAGGACGGCCAGAAAATCGACGTGCAAACGTTGTCTACTTTAACAAGGCCACCGGACGCGGTAGAGGGTGACATCAAAGTCACAAATATCGATGCCAGTCAATTAACCAGTGGACAAGTAATACATATCCCCGCTACACAATCGACTCAACCTACGGTGCAACCCATTACGATTACAGGCAAGTGAATTTATATGATGTATCGACAAATGTATCGAAAGATTATTAAACGTTTTACGTCTCCCAACATCATTTCCTCGTTATAATTTTTAATTTTGCGAATAACGATTAATCCTCACAGGGACACAAGGGCAACAGTTAACGCTTATACCGGCGTCCGCGTTAGCGAATTTAACCGCGCAGCAAGGCAATATGATGAGAAACGTGAGCAACGGCAGTATAATGCAAATACAGCCGGCCGCTGGGATGAACACGACCAACGGTTTCTTGCAATCGATACCCGTGCAAAATATCCCGGGCTTGGGCAACGTACAAGTGATACCGGCGAGCGCGTTACAGCCGGCCACGGTTCAAACGTTGCCCGCCACCGCGGCCACGCCTATCGTCGCGACCACGCCGACCGTACAGCTCGATTCGAATGACCCTACCAAGTGGCAGATACTCCAAACCCTTCAGACGCACGGGACTCTGACAACGTCCGCCACGCCCGTGTCGCATCAGCAGCAAGTAACGAACACGACCACCACCGCCTCCAATAACGACACCAACGACCCTAATAAGCAGCACCGTAGAAGAGTCGCGTGTACATGTCCCAATTGCGGCGATGGCGACAGGTGAGCGACAACTTTTTTTTTTCAACCGTATCATCAAATGTCTGTTCGTGATACCGATGAGAAATATCTGTATAATCGCGCACGTGTGCATTGATGTTACCCGTATTTCTACCGTAGAAACAGGGATTTAAGCAGAAAACGGCAACACGTGTGCCACATCGCCGGGTGCAATAAAGTGTATGGGAAGACGAGCCATTTGCGTGCCCATTTACGCTGGCACACTGGCGAACGACCCTTCATCTGCACCTGGATATTTTGCGGTAAAAAATTCACCAGATCCGACGAACTCCAGAGGCATCGTAGGACCCACACGGGTGAGAAGCGTTTCCAGTGTCCGGAATGTACGAAGAAGTTCATGCGTTCGGATCACCTGACGAAACACATAAAGACGCACACGAAAATACGAAGCACGGTAAGTATCGCTCGCACGAAACGCATCGCACGCGATGCACTGTCACTTATTGAATTTTAGGAGGCCGCCACCTCGACGCAGGAAGGTTCGTCCGACAGTCAATCTTCCACCGAGCAAAAAATCATTATATCTCTGCACAAGGAAACGGAGCAGTCCGACATTGTCATAGCAGAGCCAATCGAATCCCTGAAAACCGATTCGACGAATCACGTGACGAATGAGTAAATAAATTCCGAGAAGTATATAAAATCGGCCAGTTATTATCAATGTTACAATATAAATTTTATCACGAGACAGTATTCAGTATTGAATTTTCAGTATCGAACATTCAGTATTGAATTTAGTTTTTAACAGGAAAAAATCGAAAAATGACGAATCATACGAGATATTCTATAGCGCATTTTAGAGTGTAAAAAAGGACGCATAATATGATTGTGCATAATAATAGCACATAAGTTATATAAATGGTAAATTATATAAATTATATAATCATAAGTTATATATTTGAAATTAGCGCTACATTGGTCCAGTGAATCAATGACCTTTTTGTTCTATATGAAAATAACGTAATGAATTTATAGATATAGCGACTGTTCGTGACAATCTATTTTTTTATTACGGTTGTGTGTATGTGCGCGCGTGTGTGTGTGTGGGGTGTGTATGATGTATATATTGTATCGATATATATACATAATGTCTATGTATATAATGTAAATCAATGTATACAATTTTCCACGAGAAAGTTTTACACTTGTAATCTTTTGATATTATAAGAAAGCCAGATATATATTTAGCTTTTCCCTTTCAATTTATCCAAGTTATTTTATAAAGACGAACCAGACAGCTTCGTAATATATCGCACGTGCGAGCTATACATATTATGTTTTATCGTAGGACTTGCCTGCAATTTTTTTTGTTGTAAATAGATCACAAAATAACGCGCTTCAGCAAAGCTGTCTGTCTTGCAATAAATATAATACGGACATAAAGAAAACAGAATGTAAAACGCAAAACTTAAACGATACGGAGTACACGGTACCTAGTTAGTGGTGAAAGGTACGAAATTTAAGGTACATGGGATAAATCATCATAATCATTCAAATCATCATTTGCGATTACAAACTCGTAAATTTAAAAACATTTTTTAAATGACTATCATTTCTCCCGTTGTCTCAGACTTCGTACTTTTTATCGTCCAAAGTGGATGCTTTATACTTCACACTGTTGTATCTTTTTCATTTTTATATTTCATCGGCAAAAAAACAGGCTAATTGTGGGTATATCGAAGTCTAGAAATGGGAATATATATAATTATATATTTTTTCGCATTATCGCGTTCCTACTGTTTTCCCCCCTGATATGAAATGCTAATAAAAATGTTGGAGAAAAACAACGCGTCATTTGTATCTCACATTATATTAGATCTCTCTCTTTATTGACGAATAAATATATCCCATATAATACTCTACTAATAAATTTACAGATTACTATCTGCTAGAAAGCATGTATACAAACATTATTTAAATTCTGTATCTTTTTTTTTTATATTATACATACATAACAAACGAAAAATATTCCATTTTATTTCATATAATAAACACAAGTATCGCTGCTTACGATTGACACATTGAAAAGTTATCAGGAACATAAAGAACTATAGTGTTTAAAGAAAATACACGTTTCTCCTGAAAGTAACTCCATGTCGTATCAACGCTACTTTTAAACGTCACTACTGTTAGATCGATAATATTCATCCTTTCATTAATTACATTCGTATAATTCGTACGTTTATTTCGTAATTGAATCATCTGTGTTAATCTGAAACACAATGTAATATATTGTGACAGATATTACTTTGTCATTTTTCATTATACACGGGGAGGGGGGAGGAGGAGCAAGGGGATAAAAAGAAATTCTAAAGATACCATCGATCCTGAACTCGATTTGATTACAAATATTGCAAGATTCACAAGTCTCACTTAATAAGAATTTGCAAGAAAGTGCGAGGGATCCATCTTCTTCAAAATAAAATACGAATTCAAGCTACGATCCTATTGTAGATAAAGCACTTTCTAAATACATATTGACATTCGTGCTCATTAAAAAAGAAGTTCAATAACATAGTTCTGCATTATGCAAAACTCAGATCTCTTGGTTTTTATTGTAATATTTAACTTTCTTAAAACAAACAACTTTTTTTTTGTCACCGGGATTACCGGGGTGAACAGGAAAACGGGCAACAGAATTATGTGTAAAGCATATAAAATTTAAATAGAGACTTCTAGTACGCGACATTGTTTTCTTTTTTGTTTGTTTGTTAATGCGTACTAGCCAAATGCTCTTGCTCATCGCATATATACACAGGTAGCGCGAAAGTAATTTCATTTCGACTGCACACGCAACAACGTCGGGCCGGACGTAAATTTAGATACAATTTCTAATCATATTTCTTTACGCTAATAATCCTATCTTTATGTTTATACAACGTATGTAACTTCGTCGATTGCTGCAAACTACACAATTGCGAATGCAAGGATTTAATCTTCCACGAGTGCGCATATTCTCTGATCTTAGTATCTTTATACTATAGAAGAGTGTATATTTATTTATATATATATATATTTATATTTATATATTCTGCATATGTAATTTTGTCGCAAATGCGTTTCATTCATATGCATTTGCGTTTGTAAAAACAGCTTTACGAGATTTAACACACGTGTCGAACAGGTTTTTTTTTACGCACTAAGAGAACTGAACAAAACGTGACTTTATCGTACGCTCACGCGCATCTTTATTTCGTCGAGACTCAGATAGTCTTTATCAAGGTATTAGAATACCTGAATATAGATACATATTACAACAGTCAGACAATCAAACACTTCAAAAATGAAACAAGTAATCATCACGTGTACGTCAATATTCCTTTTTTCTTACAATTTTATAGAGCACTTGCAAGAAGAAGGGGGAGACGAAAAAAAGAGAACGGAATTTCGATATGCAGATATATTAATTCTCTATTAGCCTTTTAACTTCTAAATTTCTTGACTCACGTGATATGTTCTAATTCCAATATATATGTATAACATATATTTTTGCAGGAAACAGAAATATTTTTATTTTGAACAATTTCGCAACCTATATATCTATCATATTTGTAATTTGATTCTTTTAGTTTACTTTCAAATCACGAATTATGTTTTCTTGTAAGCTCACGCGTACCGATTTTACTGAGCCTCGGCGACGAGTAATTACATAGCTTTTACATGTATAAATAGCAGAAAATTTGTCGATCTGATTCCGAGTTTGCTTGAAATTAACGTAATTCAAAATAAAATTGTACACGCATAAACGTCTATAAAGATTATGTAGATTGCTTCTTCGCGAGTATCTTTCTTTTTTTTTAATTTTATATTTATTAGAATTAAATCATAAAATAAAAACCTCTGTGCATCGAAATAACAATTCAAGTCAATGCCTGGCACGTTTCAATAATTCATTCAATCAAGCATTTATAAATATCAAATTAAATTGGACATTAGTAAGAACCGTAAGAAGTTATAATTTAACGCATGTAAATATCCTAATGTTGAATGTTGAAATAGCGCAGCAGGCAGACAAATGTAACAATTTAATCAATTTAGTACAATTTGCAAAACGAAATAAGTTCATTGAACTCGGCACTTTACAATGAGACAATATACGAGATGTTGATAAAACGATTAGCGGTTTTGCGTATTTTGTAGTTGACACGTTTTATCTGTAAAGAGATATTGTTGCCTTACTAAGGGCAAAGAGAGTGCCAGAATCAATGTGTTAAAAATAGATATATATTCGACTAAATTACGATAATTTGACGAAATTGGATATTTGAAAGAAAAATATCACCCTCAAATCTCATTTGAACAAGTACTGCAGCTACTCGGATGAAGTAGATGACGAAGTGGACGATGTCCGGCTAATTGGCTGTCCTGTTCGGTTCGCTTCATTTGCCGCCCTGCATCATACATCATAGTGACGCCTTCAAAATATTTACAAATGTGTCATTCTTATACACAGAAAATAAAGGGGTAAAAAAACAAACAAGAAACTGTGCAATCAATGTCATCTAAGGATATTATTTTATTTATCATACGATAAGTATGTTAATTAGCTGGAGAATAGAAACGTTTTCCAGAAATTCTCTATCTTGCAATCAATTAATACACACTTGAAAAATTTGTTGTATGTCAAACGAAATATATAGCCCAAGATTATTCTATAATAATTTATTGTCTATTTTATTGCGTAAAAAATTGAATATCACATGAATAGAATTAAATCGTGTTTGAAGGTGCAAATTTGTGCAATGAATACTTCATCGCGGAACCTACCTGAATAAAGCGGCAAAACTGGATCCGGACAAAGTGGACCCGGCTATGTTGCCTCCAGTATCTTGATTCGCTTCAGCCTGATTTTGATCTCCCAAGTTCTGTCTGCAAATGGGACAGGTTCCGTGCTGGAAAGTGAAAACAAAAGGAAAAGATTATCTCTCGACTTTACTCTCGGGCGCTGATACAGTCAGATTGATAAAATATTTTTCAGCTTACCAGTTCCAGCCAGGGTACAATGCATGGTGCGTGATAAACGTGCTGGCACGGCAATTGTCTAACAGGTTCCGACAGCTTGAAGTCTTCCCAGCAAACTGAACATTGTAGCTTGCAGTCTGCATAAAGAAAGAGGGAAGAGAGATTGTTCACAGCGATGATGGATAAAATGGGCGTTTTCCAGCCAAGAGACACAAATGACAACGTATAGCGCAGTAATTTCATTCTTATTGTGTGTTCTGTTAAATAGGGATTCATTGTGTTGTATTATGTCTCTCGCTGGAAAACGCTCAATATAAGTTAAATGAGCTGAAAGTTAAAATACTTTCATGTATAAAAATATAATGGCTCTGAATATAACTTGGAAACATTCTGCGATCATTCTGTGATATTAGTTATTAGTTTAAAGTACTTTTAAGTATATCTCTACACATATTCTGTGACTTATTGTGTTAAGCAAGGATTCACTGTGTTATATTGTGTCTCTTGCTGGAAAACGCTAAGTCAAATGAGCTGAAAGCTAAAATACTTTAATTTATAAAAATATAATGGCTCTGAATATAACTTAGAAACATTCTGCGATCATTCTGTGATATTAGTTATTAGTTCAAAGTGATTTTAAGTACATCTCTACACATATTCCGACTTCTCTTTTAGATCCTTATCAACCACTTGCATCATTCAACATGTACGGTAGCTTGCCTTTTTCTAATCGATAAGGATCTTAAAAGAAGTTGGAAAGATATAAATGTACACAAACTATACGTCAATATGTATCGATAAGTACTAACCAACTTGACTTTGCGTTATGGTAGTAGTAGGTATCTCATCGATCTGGTTGCGTGATAGAGGTGGTGGTCCAGTGCCATCCATTTGATTCAATAATTGGGTGACAATGGCGTCTAATCCATCGCGACCCCAAACATAATCTCCAGGATTTCCCAAGAACAGTCTAATATTGAATCTACATTATTTTGTTTTATTTTAGTAATACTAAAGATTAAATGAAACTGTTAATGACTTGTAACCCCCATGGATGAATGAACTTTTCTTTTTTAAATATTTACTGTTGCCATCACTGTTGAGAAAGCATGTTGACAATTTGTGCGCGGTTTTATGAAAATGCACATACATCAGAAAAAGAAAAAGAGACAAGATCAAAATATAGAAACGAAATTGTAGAAAAAATATGAAAGTTGCAGTGAAATTAACAGAAATTTTAAATCAACAGAAATGGAATAGTAGATAGAGATATATCGATCCACCTATTTTATATACATATATAGGTATATAAAATAAGTGTGTTTATGTAAATGTGCATGTGTCTATAGATTTATGATAAAGAAATATGACGCATCTCTATACTTAAAATAATAAGTCTGTTCTTTGTGGCTGAACTTGTGGCTGAATAGTGTATACTTGGAATAGAAATAGATGTATATTTAAACTTTGACAAAAGCGAGATGGAAAGTTCTGATGCAGTCCAGTGCGACGACAAAGATCAGACCTAATTACACAGCCTAATATAACATAGTATTTATCATGTAAACCAACTTACACAGACGGCTGTGCGTCTTGTCCCACAGAGTTGCTTAGACTCGCTGCTCCGGAGAGATTGAGGAGAAAATCTTGTATGAAATTCTCTATAGGCACCTGTAGACTCTCTTGTCTTCTACGATTGCTACTTCGAGTGAAAAAAATCAAACCATTATCGTACCAATTTTCCACACAAATATCATGCACACGGGACATTGGTTAAAAGTATTTAAATAAAATAATATTATAAATGTTATAATATTACTAATATTATAATAAATGTGCAATATTTTATAAAGGGATGGAAAAGGTCCCCAGATGCGCTATTTTGTCTAGCTCCCTTTTAATAAAACTTGATGTCAAAACAAGTGAATACATACAATTATCTAGCGATTTTTGGGAATCGCATCGCTATATCAATGCTGCGCAACATGAATGATGTGCGACAGACTTTTTTTGGCACAAGATACCTGCTGGTGCGACGTCCATCTTGAGGATTGCGAGACCAATTAGACCTTCTTCTGCTGCCGAGCACGTAGTTCCTATTGCCTCCACCCGGTTGCTGACTGGTGTTCAACTGTTGATTGGTATATGTGTTCGAGAGACCCATTATCATCTCTATGATGTCACGGTCACGGTCGGAGCGTTGCGAAGGCTACATCGAGTGGATGTAACGATTGCAGATTTACGAATTGTACATATCTGACGGTTGATTATCGATATGACTTCTGGTTTAATTAACTCACGTTTAGGGTCAAGATGTCGATATCCCCATCGCTCAGATCCTCGCTGTTCACGTCCATACCCGAGCTGCCCTCGTTGCTGCTGCTCTCCAGCTCCTCGATGAAACCGCTCGCGCATTGTGGACATGTGTAATTCTAATTGGAAGTGAAATCAGGAGTCAGTCAGGAGTGTCTGAGTTATGAGACTTAGCTCGCAAAGTCTGTCCTCGACAGATCGCCCGGATACACACGCTTGTATTAATTAAACATTTTGCGAGTTTAATGAATATTGATCTAGTTGTGCCATCCTTGGATAAATGTAATTTATCTAACGGGTAAAGATCTGCAGAGCCAAGTGTCGGCTCCGCAAACGTTTATCCATCGGATAAATCACATAGTTTATCCAAAGGTGGGACAACCGGCTCTACATTTCTTACATTGATATCTTTATAAACAATAATAATATTAATCACAGTGAGACAGCAAAATATCTTGACGCGTCTCGAAAAATACTTGAGGCAAGGACAACGGAGAGAAAAATAAAATAAAATACGTGTGTACATTTTTCTCTTTCCAGAAATAAAATTGTCTTATTCTAGGCGAAACAAAAGGCGTAACATGATATGCGCGCAGGAAAAGAGCAGACGGTGCATATTTATGCGCTTCGCAGCTCCACGTATCGAAACAGCAGCCGGATTGATCGGGGGGATCCTGATAACAGGTCGAGGCCGCGGAACGACGGAGGTGCTCGTCCAGCGCGGCTCGATCAAAACACAATCGAGCACCCGTCGTCCCGCGGAGTCGGCGAGGTCCACGATCGGGGACAACGATCGCGAGAACGTGCGTAGCATGCTTTCGGTGGGACGGCAGAGGGAGAGGGAGAGAGAGGAGAGGAGAGATCCATTCGGGGAGGCGCAAGCGGCCGCGACCCGCCGCCGCCGTCGGGATCTCGGGAAAATGGAAATCGCGTAGCTGCCGCGGAGGGGAGGGGGGAGGCGGGTGTAGACGGGCGTGCGAGACGCGACGAGACCGACGCTCCCGTCGCTCCAGCGTGGCGAGGCGCGGAGGAATTCGCAGGGGCGAGCACCAGTTAGCCGTGCCGCACGGGGAGGGGGAGGGAGAGAAAGACGGAATTTCCGCACATGACACGGGGGGGTGACAGTTATCCCGGGGACGGACGTTCCGCCGCGGCGATTCCGCGCCGTCGGGCGGGGCCGGGCGGCCGAGGACGACCGGGAACGCCGTGGCGCACTTACCGGCAGCAGACGCTCGATCTCGACGCTGCATTTGTGGCAAAAAAACCGAGACATCGGACTCCCGTCCACAACGGCCTCCGCCATGTTTTACGTGTGTCCCCTCAGTTTTCCATCTCTCTACTTGCCGCAACTACGGTTGGCCACTCGGCTGTGACTCGGCGACGCTCGGCACACCTCGGCTGGCTCGGGGGCTACGAGCTCATTGTCAACCTCGGCCACGAATGCAATGAAACGTAGACGGAGGCTCTCGGAAGAAACAAACCCTCTATACTCGAATCAATGAGCTTAAGCTGTTGTCTCGATTAATTGCAAGATTTGTTTGTGTTGTTTATAAAATTTCCACACTTTAAAACGAGAAATAAATATATATTCGGGCGTTGGGAAAAAAAAACGATGTTTTTGCAGCACGAACAGATCTACAGTTTTTCTCTCTGTTTCAATAATATTTAATTACAATTATTTAAATGACTGTCAAATCTTTTTAATATTATCTTAAAACTCTTCATACGAAGTACAATTTTATTAGGGAATTGTTTAAGAAATCGTATTAATTGTCAAACTAAATTCATACGAACGAACTCGATCAATGCCACGTTCTCATTGGCTAATTGAGAATGCTCGGTACGAGAATAACATGATTGGTCAGTTGTAATATGATGTAATAAAACATTTTTCTATCTATCTGATGGAAGTCTTCAAACTTCAAGTCTGCAGCGTACGGCACTGTACGGCACACATGGCTCTGCTCTGCGAGGTTTGTTTGGCATTGTCGTGATTAGCATTCAAATTTATTAAAGAGTCTAACCAAGTCTAACTTGACGGCCAGGACGGACGTGATCCACTTCGAGTGTTCTATCATTTTAAAATTTTTTGAACAGTTCTGACGAAACCTGGCAGGTATGTTATAGGTCTGTTTTTTTATAGCTGAACTGGCCATACAAGTTCAGAATTTATCTTTCTTCTTCCAATGTAGAAAGATAAAGATAAACTGTGAACTAGTGCAGCAGTTCAGCTATAAAAAACAGGCCTTATGCTTCTGTGCTTTGCATTTCTCTATTCAGTTCTAGTATCTCTCAAATCAATTTTGTATTTCTATATCTAACTAAATTAGCACATTAGAACTTGATTCCTCGACGGAGCGAAAATTAACTATTAATGGAGAAAAAGATGTAATTTGTTAATATCTGTTTAATATATTAATAATTTAAAGTATAGGAAAAAGAAACGTTACTGTGTAGCGACTCTGATTGCGAAGACAAGATCAAGAAGATAATAACTTTTTTGTGTTAAGGACATTCCTTATTTTTTTTTTCAGAGAACCTCGAAGAAGCTTTGTAATGATTTTTCAATACATCGCGAATGTAAAATAATTAAAAGACTTTGAGATCTGACGACTTTAAAGATCAATTGATGAGGACCTAACGTTGCAGAACCATGTCGAGTTATGCGAGTAAATATTGGCATATAGTATGAATTTTTCTTACGTTTTCATATCAATAATGATTATCTTATTATCTATTCCAGAAGTGTGCGCGCCGCTCCCCAAAAGTCAAACTAGTCATATCAAGATCTGTGAAAACACTCAGCAGTATGTCATCAATTTTTTGCAAAACTTGCTGCCACCGTCCGACCATAAAGCTATTTCCGACGAGTTGCGAAAGGTATGTATAAATATGTAATAAAATAAACAAGAGAGATAACCACAAACATAATTGCTGATTGACTAAGATTTTGCTTTTCCAAAATCTTTAGACCTTCATATTTAACAAGATTAAGCCGAAGCCCAAGCAGAAAGTGAAGAAGGGCAAGTTCTTCTCCGCCAGGAAGAGGCTGCGCTTCGGTTTGGGCAGGATCGGTAATAAGAATCAGATGAGATACTCCGATCTCTTGCCCTTGAATCAGCTGTGGCTGCAGTACATGCGTGAGATGCTCGGTGTCGAGTCGTTCGCCGATATACCGAGGGATCCTAGCAGTCCACATTGGGAGAACGCGAATCTGCAGTTGATGAAGGCTGATTTTCACGGTGCTAAAATATCGATCGACAGATCAAGATGCCCCAGTCTGGTAGGAGTTATGGGAATCGTCATACAAGACACAAAGAACACTTTTAGAGTCTGCGGAATGGACAATGTTATTCGAAGTAAGCAATATATGCTACATTGTGTACATTTGTTGATCTTTTCCCTGCATAAACATGTCTATTACTATACATATATGTGCTTGTTGTTATTATGTACAGTTGTGGACATATCAATTGCGACACTTTTCATAGATTTTTAGTGTATATTATATATATATATATATATATACTAAATACATATACTATACTACAAATATATATACTAAATACAATAAAAACAATATATATATATGTATATATATTATAGTAATATTTTAGCAAATTCGAATCATGATGGTGTACTATCTTTAATCTAGAAACAGTACATCAATCGTGGTTCGTAAAATATTAGTGCGTTTCGAAACTTATTAAAAAAAAAATATCACAATCGATATGTCCACGACTGTACATTATTCATTATGTACATTAGCACAACAGATTCTTTGTAAAAATGTATCCATTTGATTTTTTTTTGTATTGCTAATGATACTTATCAAATTGTTTTCAGCGATACCAAAGGATGTAGTTAAGATTAACGTTTACTTGGATGATGGAGTAACATTAAAAGCGCTCGGAAGGGAATTATCTATAAGGCCTGCAGAACGAGCGGTTAAAAAGTTCAAGAATAGTTCAGTTGTGATGCTGTGATAAATATTACTAGCTAATCTCTGCGAATTTAATAAGTCGTTATAGCATTCTAATGGAGGTATATTTAATAATATTAAAGTTTTCGAATTGTCTCTCAAAGAAGGCACAAGTCATTTAATTTGGAATAATTTGCATTTTAGATCGTCTAGATTGCATTCAATAGCAAGAATGTGCACACAGTACAAAAGATATCGGTAGCAAATTGAATTTAGTCGACTTAGCTGGATCTAAATGTTTGAAGACTGAAAAAGCTGTTAAGGCAGCGGGGACAAAATATTCTATATTACATATTATTATATATGATTGATGTTTGAATATATGTATATATATGTAATATAAATAACTGGTTATCCTTTATATATACATGTATATAATAATGAACCAAAATCGTCTTTTGATGAACCATCCGCGAAACGAAGTTGATTGAGTCAAAACCAATCCTACAGTATATAAGGACTGTATAAGGATAATCAATGTTATTTAGAAAAAAAATTATATATGATGGTACGTAATCATTTTTCTAGATAACCTTGATTGTCCTGAAGACCTTATAAATTGTAGTTCATTGGTCTTGACACAATTAACTTCGTTTCGCGGATAAGTTCATCAGATGCAGGGCCTTGGTTTACTATTATTATTTATTAAAATATAAGTACAAAGAATATTAATAAATCTCTGGCAAGTCTTGGTAATGTCATTTCGGCAAACAATTCAAAAACTTTGATGTTATTGACAATATCTCCATTAGATCTCCGTTACTGTTGTAACGAGACATACATTCGTGAAGATTTGCTAGTAATATTTACAATATCAAAATTTTATAAAATAAACTATCCTGCATTATAATAAAGAAAATTATATCCTAAGTTGTAATAAAAGATTTAATTATATATAATGTGTTTTTGATATAACCATTAAATTATATTATAGTTCAAATTCAATTGAAAAAAGATAAACGCAGAAATAAAATTTTATTTTTTGTAATTTGCTAGTGCAAAAATTTAAATCAGATAAAATATAAAACTTGAAATAAACTTACCGTTCATTTGATCGCAATAGCCGCAACAACTTGCATTACAATTTCAAAAACATTTATGCTCTGTGTATATCTTCTAAAGATTATTACTGACGTATAAATCCTGACTTTTATCATCAATTATTCATATTTCGTATATTTTTGAGAAAATCAATATATTATAAATCTTTAGAAAAAAAAAACTAGTTTCAATATTCAAAAAATTCAAATTATATCTTTTTTTAATATGACGTAAATATATAATTTTGAGTCTGAAGCACCACATTACAGTAAATTTAGATAATTATATAAAAATATTTATATAAAAGTATAATTTTATCTTTGCAAAGGCAAATAAAAAAATGTGAAACAAAATAATAAATCGGCATATGGATAATATGTATAATTGTATATGATTATATGGTGATCCTTTTTGCCAGAATTACTTTTAGTTTCATGTAGATGTTAGAATTATTTTATTTCTTCATATCTTTCAGCGTTCCTTTGCAGATTATTATCATAGGATATTACAATTACAGGATTGGTAATGTATATTTACTACTTACATGGTACATTATTTATATATAGTCGTATATATATAATATAGCATTATATATTTTTATATATATAATGTATGTATACGTGTAAATCTCTTTGTGTCGCGTGTGTTTATATGGAAAGGTGTGCATAACTATTGAACAATAATGTATCTTTTTCTTTTATTCTGGAAGTGTGTTTCACCCATGTTCCATTAAAACCGCAGTGGTCAAACATGACACTGATACAATGATAATTATCTTCAATTAGTACAACAACTATATTCGTTAATCGTTCTCTACAATTTCATTTGGCTAAGATTTAGTTTCAAAGTGAAATATAGTACCAGGGCATGTTACTGACCTTCTCTCTCGACATAACATTTTTTTTTTAATATGTAATATATACAGCTGGATCACTGCAAGATCAACTGTGGAGTACCAAAAGAAAAAACAGGAGAAAAACGAAAGTCTCGCGCGATGGAGAAGACGACAGAGAATGAGACGAGCGTGCGTTCGCTCTTTTTTACGTAATACAAATTCTCTTGGACATAGTAGTAATGCGATCTTTTTTTTCGCTGGTATAAACTTTCGCTTTTCGCACTTTGAAATGAAAAGACTACATATACTATAATACGTCGAGGTGTAATGACGAAAACAAAGAAAAAGACGAGATATCTACGTGATACAAATTTACGCAGCATACGATACCTTACACTTAGGAATGTTGAAGGTAGGACGTGCCACAAAAATTAATTTCTGTTTTTTCTTTTTGGCTGCCTGTCGCACCTCATCTATTCGATCCTGATGCATCGGCGTGGTACTTTATACATGCGACATAAATATTTCAAAAGGGAAAAAAGAGAAACACACAAGTGTTTTAACAAAACATGACTCTGTCGTGTTCCTAGAAATATCGTGATCTAATTTACCTTAATACTCGCATAAATTTAGGTCCGTAGTCCGTAAACAAGCTACATAATGATTAACGATCAGTAACCTCGAATAAGAGATATTATGCACACACACACATTAGATGCGAAACGAGTAGAAAATATTACAAAAAAAAAAACTATGGTATGTACGAACTATGGTACGGTACGAACCACAGACGTAATACGACCTGGTTACGTCTATGGTACGAACGACGGTGAACAGTGGACGATGTCGTGCTGGACTTTGTTATCAAATTATCTTTAATGTATTCCTCTCGGGAAACCTCCAGTTGTCTGTAATTAGTCGTCTTACGCAATTAACAACGAAAGGTCAAAAGCATGATACATGATGCAGATCGCGGGCAAACTACTTTATGCATTTCAGTTGCACGTTTATTAGTGAGACAATAAGGTCTTGCCGTTTCAATTTCGCTGTTCTAATAATTTACTTTACGATTCATTCGCGTTTACGCAAAAATCAAGCCTGATTTGTGTGTGGCGATGACACGCGTGTCTTTCGTATTTATGCATTCAAGCAAATGTACATATAGGTAGATCTAGAACGATGCAATATGTTGTATTATAGGTACGCCAAAAACATATTCTGAGATGCCTACAGTTTTTTTTTCCCTTCCCCATCTTCGGATCTCGTCGTTACAATACTGATACAACGATACGCGATCTACCCCGATCTCTAAAAAGATGCTCTTATTACAAGTTGCAATTTTGCAAGGGCTCCTTATTTCATCACTCGTGATTCATCACACGCTAGAATGTTTCGAAGGTGAAAGAAAAAGAAAAGGACCGACCTCCAAAAAGGCATGTTTACACATGTGGTGAGATTGAGAGAAATTTCACCGAAAAAAAAGAAAAAAATAAACAAGCAAGCGCCGAATAATCTGTACATGAAATCACGATGTAATCGAGTTGATCTACAGTTGATTTTGCTTCCGAATTACGATACTGCCCAAAAAAGCTTGCTTCCTGTTAGTAGCCAAAAGAAAGGCACGTAGACGCACACATATATACATGTGCCGGTAAAAGACAGGGAAATTATTACTTTGCTCACACAACGTACATATATCTTCTTTTATTGTGCAACGATAAATTCAATGGAAAAATCTTGATAAATCGCATTTAAAAAAAAAAAGAGAAAAAAATTTTTTCCATGTTTTCGTAGTCTTTTTTTTTTTTAAATAATATATAATTCTTTCAATCTTTTTCACGCAAAAATCTCCGCGTTGGAATAGCTATTTAAACCGTGAAATATAACTCTGTTTGCTCGACGTCTCCCCTATATAAATTACAGATTCACATTTAGGTAGCGTGTGATAGCGTATTAATGCCTTTCTCTCAACGCACATTTCGCTATTCGTTACACTATTTATCATGATCTAAACGTGGCAATTCATCGTTTTTCTAATATGATATTCATTCGCATTCGCTTTGACGATATTTAAGCTAACAAAAACAATCTCGTTCTACCTAAACTTTATAGAAAAGTAGACTTTGTTGATCTGTCTCCTTAAATGTATCTCACATACCGTAACCTTGGTAGGCTGCGGTGGACGCGTACACTTGTGCGGGTGTACCGTATACGTTTTGAGGCGTGTAGCCGGGTGCCATCATTCCTGGCGCCGCGGTCAGCATTAGCTGAGGTTCCGCTGCAACGTAAAGACATGTTAATGTTAACCGAAAATGCACCGGCTTTGCACGATATTTATAAGACGTATACTCGCGAAAATATTAAAAAAAGAAGATCACTCACGCATAATCATAGGCTTATGTTCCTGATGATCACCTTCTTCCATGCGTCGGCTTTCGGCCTCTTCTAATTTATCGACCTGTTCAACATATTTAACACTGCCGTGAATACTGCCAGTGAAATATAAGTGATACAAAGGGCGCAAAGAGTTGGACGTACGATATTCTCTTACGATTAATTCTTCTTACCTTAGTGATATATTCCCGCGCGACTTGTATAAGATACGGCATTGCGAAATGTAAAATGCGATGTCTCCATGCGAGCTCCAAGATGACGTCCGGATGAAGTAAATCGTAACAATGAAATAGGCATGCTGCGAAGCAGTCCTTCGATCCCCTTTCCAGGAACCACTCGAGTAATTCTTCAGCGACCTCTGGATTCCGGGATTCCGCCGCGTATTCCATGGCATCCCTGTCATCGAAAATTGGCAATTAATAAGATTCGCACATATATACGTATCATATAAATGTATTTTCAATTTGAATAAAATGCATCGCGTTATTAAGCGTCACCTAAATAGTCGATCCTTCTTGCAAAGCTCCACGGACTGCTTCCATCTGTTGTTACCCTTGTACAGGTATGCGGCGATTCTCCTGAACTCGATCAATTCGTGTTTCTCGAGCTGCTGCGCTAACGCGATATTATCAAAATTATCGAACGCGTCGATCGATGTTCGGAGACCTTGGTAATCCTCTTCGTCGATCAGCAAGCCGTTTAAGGCTTCGTTGATGGCTTTGTTGTTGAGAGCCTGAACCGATCTCAGGTACGGCTTCACCAGCTGCAGATGGTCGGTTCGCGTGAAATACGCCACCGATCTGGTATGATCCATGCGCGGTGCGAGCACGAGCAGTATATCGTTCAGAAGTAGGGGTTTAAATTCCACGTAAAACTGTATAGCCTTATAGTAAAGCTCGACGTTCGCGACTTTGGTGATTACGTCTTTGAAGTGACCCTCCCGCCAAGCCTCGGTAGGATGCTGCATCATCGCGAGGACCGCGTTGTCGTACTCCTCGTACTTGTCGTACAGGAACACCAACTCGGCCCACAAATGCGCTTGTTCCGCTGCGCGTAGCACCTGCAAGTCAATCAAGTGTTTTCGTTTAAATTTCGAATTGAACGCTTAACGAGTTTTGCTGACTGACTTTCGCATTGAATTCGGGACGAAAACCCACCTTCGGTATATTGACGCGCGACCAGAAGAGTTCCAGATGTTCCCTCATTCGTTGAGGCTTGTATTTACTGTAGAGTATAGCTAGCTCGGTAAACATTCCCATGTGAGCCCGTTCGAGTCCCAGAGCGGCCTCCAGAAGATTAATGAGCTCCTCGAAGTGCCCGCGATCTTGATAGTAATTGATCAGATCCTCGAGCTCGTCCGCGTGCACGACTATGTGCAGGCCGCACATTTGGGCCAGGCGGAATTCGCCGCTGTCCACGCAGGCGAAACAGACCTCCTTCCAGGTGCGCGTCGAGTTGGCCTTGCGCGCGCTGTCGACGGCGCCTTGGAACTCCTTCAGATGGACCAGCGTTATAGCTAGACGCGCGAAGTTCGACACGTTGTTGTAGAGGAGCTTCGCGGCGTCGTACATCTTGTCGTCGAAACATCTATCGCCAATCTGTGTAGAAAGGGTAAAACAGTTCGTGAGAGGAGTCGAGCTGCAGGCGAACGACTCTTTACTTACCTTCTGTATGTCGGCGTGGTTAGGGCCAGATATAAACTCCTCGAGATCCGCAAGCCTGTTGGTCCGCGCGTACGCGTATATCAATTCGCTCTCGATGTAGGACTCGCGTGCCTTCTTGCGGGCCATTTGGAGATAGCGAACCAAGTCCTCCCAGTGTGAGGTGCGATGCGCCGTCTCCACCACGTCCATGTACGCGGACGGGTCGTCCGCTTTGATGAAGCTGTCGATCGACTCCTTAACCAGACCCTGCTGCAGCTGAGCCCTGGCGAGCTGCGACCATACCGGCGGCTCGTTGCATCTAAGCGAGAAACGATTTATTTAAGTAAATTGTATAAAAGAAAAAATATTTAAACAAATTGTATATACATTTTTTACTTTATGTATATAAAGATATACCATACCTTTCTGCGAACTCGTAAGCTCTGTCCAAGTTGCCGACCTGTTCAATTAGAACCTGGATAGCCGATGTGTTGACGTCAAATTTCTTGAAGATCGCGAAAGCTTCCTCGTAAAGCTCATTGTTAATAGCAATGTTGGCGATATCTGGGGCGTCGTAATTATCCAAGCGATTAATGTATTCCATGACGCGCGTACGATCGGCCTTGATGGCTGTTAATATCAAGAGATTCTGCAAGTTACGGTGGTCGCTGAACACGCTGCTGTCCAGCACTATCTTCTCGAGCAGCTCGATCAACTCGTTAGGCAGGTCGGCCGTCATGAAAGCCTTGACGGTAACCGAGATATCTTCGGGATCCTGCGTCTCGGATAACGCCGTTTGAACAACTTGATCGATTAATGGCCGCTTGTACGGATTGCTCTCCAACAGCACCTCCGCCCAAAGATCGGGATCTCGACGTCTCACTAGATATCGGGCCTCGCTCTTGAACAGGCTGTTCTCGTTGCACACGCTTATCAGCTCGCGGTCGCACTGGCCGCGCTCGTACGCGATGCACGCCAAGTGGGGATCGCGCTTCTCGCAGTACTTGCCGACGACTCTGCTGTCGTAGAATTGATTCTCCTTGAGAAATCGTTCCGGATTGTTGTTGCTGTCGATGTAGATCTTGGCCAGGGCGTTGTGCGTAGCCGGCTCCACGCAGCCCTCGTGAACGCGGGACTCCAGCCACGGCAGCAGCAGCTTCAGCCGGTTCCTCTTTTCCACCTCCTCGACCAGCTCGTCGGTGGAGAATTGTCCGCGCACCACCAGTATCAGATTCTTGATGATGTCTTCCGAGCAGTCGACGTCCAGCAGACCGCCCACGACCACCGGTAGACGCGACGGATTCACCTTCTGGACGTATATCTCGATGTACTTCTGCAGGTTATTGCGATAAAGGTAGAGAACGAGGTCGTGAACGAAGTCGAATCGGTCGCACACGATTATCAGAGGCAACTGATCGGACAGCTTCGCCTCCTTCAGGAAGTTCTTCACGCGCTCCGGATTGTAGCAGTTGCTCTCCCGACATATACGCTCCACTTCCTTGATCTGGCCGGTCTTGCACGCCGCCTGGATGTACTTGAAGTGCACCTCTTGGTCCTGGCTGAAATTCACGATGGATCCCAAGAAGTAGAACAGGCCCTCGTAAGACTTGAAACTCTCGAATAGATCTATCAGCGCTTTAGTCGTCAATTGCTCGTGATACTTGGTCGCGATCTGTATGCAGATTTGCAAGTTCTGCCGTATGTTGGCCGTTAACATGGCCTTCAGGCACTCGAGGGAATCCTCCACGGACAGAGTGCCGAAGAAACCCACGAGCCAGTCGGGCGAGAGCAAATGCGTGTGCACCACCGCTCGCTTGATGTCATACAAATCTGTGTAGTGCTCGAGGGCGCGTTGCAGCAGGCCGGCCTTCTCGCACAATTGCGCGACGTGAGCTCGGTCGTAATGGGTAAACATTTGATTGCCCAATATAGCGTCAGCCACTTGCGGGGCGGACATTAAATTCATCTCTAAGAGACGGGTCTGTAAGGCACCCTCGCTCGGCCGATTGTTCTTCAGCGCGTCCAGCAGGAACGCCGTGCACTGCTGCACCATGTTCTGCTCCATAAATATATCGACGATCTGATTGATGTCGGCCAACGGCTCGTCGTCCTGAACCAGCATCTGCGCGAACGCGACACCCTGGTCGGGATTGATCCTCATGACGTTCCGTAGGAGGAATATGTAGTCGGGCGTGTACGAGACCTTCTTGGCGTACAGCACGATCTTCTGAAACTGCCCGGTCTCCGCGAAGCACTGGATGACCTTGTTGGGGACGTTGGCTCTCAGATAAACGCTGAGCGCCAACGTGGGATCCGCCTGCTTCACCAGATCTCCCAACTCTTCGCTGCACTCCAGCTTGTCCTCCTTCAGCCACTTTTCCAGCAGCTGTTTACGTCCCTGCACCAGCACCGGCCGACACAGCTCCAACGACTCGTACTTGTTCAGCTGTCCCTGATCCAGAAGAATGCCGAAGTACTGTAGGAGGGGAGATGTTTGGCCCTGAGTAGCGGGGACCTGCTGAAATCGCTGGATGGTCGCGGGCGTTCTGAGTATTCCCTTGGGAGCGTTGGCGGCGACCTTCGCCGCCTCCGCGTACTGACCGTTCTGAAAGAGCATGTTGAATTTCCTCACGAACAGATCCTCCGCGCCCGACAGATTGTTCCTCACGGCCATTCTCAGCGCCAGTTCCGAATTCTGCAGCACGCCGTTGATGTACGGGATTATGTTCTCCTCGTCCACGGAGACGGACAGGACCTGGCCCTTCCGATTCACCCCTATTATACCGCCGGACGCCTCGTGCGGCGCGGTGACGAAGATCGTCTCTCCCGAGATACGATTCATAAATATACAGGTCGCGGACTCGATATCGTACATATGTATATAACCGTACTTCGTGATTAGATATATGACGTCGTACTTGGAGCTGACTTGCATGGCGACGGGGAAGTCGTTGCCGGCCTCGGGTGGGAAGAACACGTCCACCGCTTTCTTGGGAAACGGATGGTTGCCGGCGGGCGGCTGGCCCACCTCGATGATGTGAAGCTTCGCGCCCTGGACCGTTCTGACGGCGAAGCAGAACAGGTTGCTGGGCTCCCCGTTACCCTCCATCTTGAACTGGGCGAACGAGGCGGCGTGTCCCTCGATCGGCTGCGAGCACTTCCGCTCCACCGAGTAGAGCTGCATCGCGCCGACCACGCGGTTGTGCTGCGCCGAGATGCCGATCAACAGCAGCCACGTCTGCTTCGGATCCGTCCGGTAATTGATGATCTGGCAGCCGTTCAACGACGAGTGACGCTCGAACATCTTGTTCGGCGTCGAGTCGCCCTCCATGGACCAGTGGTACACCGCGGTCTCCGTCACCAGTGCCAGCGTGTTCAACGATATCCATTTCCAAAAGACCACGTCCTCCGTCATTGTGTGAGCCTTCATCTTCGACTTCATCTCGATGTTGAAGATCTGAAGCGTCTTCATGGCTAGTCAAAATAGAAATATTCCTTAATAACTCTCACTTTCTCTTTCTGCTAAAGAATATCATCGAGGCGCGCTTCAAGAAAAGGCGTGCAACAGATTGACAATACTGCCTTCAGGCTACGAATAAAGAATCGAAGAATCAAAGCTCTCTACGTTTATCACTGAACACCTTCTTCTGAGATTGCAGAGCGCTCGCACACGCGCGTATACATACCTTTCAGAGCGATGACTTTACTAGCGGGATTCATAATTGCGGAATCAGCGGATATCGGTCTCCTGATGGGATTGGCGGAATCGTTCATGTCGATGATCACTACCTGGGCGGTATCGCCCACCTTCTCCCTGACACAGATGAACTTGTCAGACTCCATAGTGAGGGTGTTAAAGCTGACATTGCTGGCGTTAATACCTACAGCCGTAAGCTGCAAAAATAAGAGACACATAGATTGTCCTGCGTTCTTCAAAGCTCACTTTTCTTGGTCAAGGATCACAACGCGATTCGAATACACGGCTGGTTTAACACGTCGATTGTTTTCCGAGAGGGCGGAAAGGTGTTTATTATTGAAGCCAACTTTATTGACAGTGCATTTCTTAAGTCTTGTGTCTACGATGCTAATCGTTTCGAGATCTCGGACGGAGAAAGAATTGCGTTGGTCAATTGGCCGAATTCAAACGTGATTTGTTGATTTATTTCTATCCGAGATCTCTGAGCAATTTTTAGGATAGCGGACGCGAGGCTTTGTAACAATAGAAAAAGCGTATACATGTACTCTCCAACAATTGTTTAATAACGATTACGGATTTTTAAACTGTCCGCCACAGCCAGCTATGATCAGATCAGACAGAATGTCAGCGAAATTAATTTTGAAGCAATCCAACAATGTGTATGCGTTTACGCAACCATATGTTTTGCTAAAATAAAGCGTGTGTCAAATTGCGGCGCGCCGAGTGCACGGGCACGATTTCCGTCATCCTGACGAGTGGCAACGTGAACAACGCGTGGGAAAGAAGCAAGGGCATTCGTTCACATTTTCCGCGTTATCCGAATAGCGATGTCGTCAAGACAACGGGAGGAATGTGTCCCCTCCCCCCCTCCCCGGGATAAGGTGCAACAGTTTCGGGTAAAAGCGGAAACGAGGGGCGTATGCGGCCGGGCGATAGCATCCGCTCGTCGGCGGGGACGAGAATACGGGAGAGTGAACGATAGGAAAAAAAAAAAGAAAAAAAAAGAGACGGCTCTCTCTCTCTCTCTCGGAGATCTGCACGCCTGGTCCGCGATATCGTGGATCATAAATTAAATTCCAGGCGGATATCGCGTCGGCGGGATAACCTGTGCCATGAAATCCGCCGCGACGCGAGCGCGAGGCGAGTCGGCGAAGAGTCGGGTGTGTAACGTCATCGGGTCTCGGGGAGAGGGGGGGGAGAGACGTTGCAACTGTCAAAGTAAACGTCAGCTCCGAAATATTGCACATCCGTTCCGTGGAGAGAGAAAGAGAGAGAGAGACAGAAAGAGATGAGTAAATCCGTCGATACATCGACGGATAGAGATGTACGCGAGAGTAAGAGAAAGAGAGAGACTGGGAGAGCGAAGGAAGGAAGGAGGGAGGGAGAGAGAGAGAGAGAACGAGAGATGCGGGGGCAGAGAAAATGTCCGGTGCTCCGAGAGAGAGAAAGGCCGACGTGGTACACGAATGCCGATGACGGGGCTTACGCGGGCCCCTCGCGCGCGCGCGCGCGCGCAGGGGAAATATCGCGCAACGTTACGTTACCTGCAGGTGTTCCTGAAACCTTATAGGTAGTAGCTGCGTCATTTTCGCCGTGGATTCCGGAGAGTCCGCCGTGGCGAAGTTCTCTGCCGTCCCCGCCGTGGTGCGGTTTTTTGAGCCCCCGTGCGCGCGGCTAGAGAATACGCGCGATCTCTCGCGACTCGCGTGCAAGCCCTCTCGCACGTTCACTCGCTCCCTCGAGCCTCACTCGATCCGGTGCCCCCCGGGTCGTCGTCGTCGTCGTCGTCGTGTGCGCCTCTCTCTCTGTCCCGCCCGGTGAGATGCTCGGCATCAATTCGTCGAAGCGCGGAAAAACCGACTGACCGAGCGAGGAGCGGACTGCGGCGGAGCGGAGAGCGCGAGCGTTAACGTCGCTACTCGTCGCCGCTGACACCCATCATGGCCGCCGCCAACGCCGCCCCTCTTGCTGTCTCGAAATAGTTCCCCGCGTTACCGAAGGACTCCCACCCGCGGAGGGATCGCCGTAGCGCGTCGGCCGCGAGCCAAAAGGTCCGACCGTTCACGATCGCTGAATGATAACGCCGCCGAGCGATCTCCTGTCCTCTGGCCCAGGACGGTCGAGCGCCGGACGATCGCGATGACGTTAGCGAAAAGAGAGATAGATAGATAGATAGAGAGAGAGAGTCGAGCGCACGGCGCGAGCGCCCCGACACCAGCGGAAGAATACAAGCAACGATTTGACACGATTGGACTCGGTGGCGAATCTCGCGCATCTCCCCCTCTTCCCCCTCCCCACCTGCCCACGTCGCTGACACGAGTGAAACCGCAACGGCGCACGAGTGCGTAACGTACCTCCACGCGTCGATTACGAGTAGTCTCTTTCCCCTCCCCTCCTTCCCCTCTTCCTTTACATTCTCTCTCTAATTAAAATACTTCTTTTCTCTCCTATAAAACGTCTCGAAGGTTATCGCCGAGGTTACATTGGACGCGATTAGGACGCGACTGAAGGGAATGGCAGAGAGATAGTTGAGCTCGGTTGAAAGTACTTTATTCTCCAGCAGCTTTAATATCTTAGCTTTAATTCATGGCTTTAGTATCTTAACTTAAATTCATGACTTTAGTACGATAGCTTTAGTTCTTGATCCTCAAGATGTATGAACACGCATGTTACGCTCGGGTGACAAAAAAACAAAAAGAAAGTAAAGCACTTTTTTAGTCAAACAAGCCGAAGCCCATGTCATCGTCCTCGGATTCAGATTCTTCCTTAGCCGGCTTCTTTTCCTCTGTTGAAATAAAAATTATTCGTTACTTTCACGTGCATTCAGTATTTCTATAAATACACTTCGAAATGAGTGTCAAATAAGTATATACGTCCCAAGTAAATGTTTCACGCTTTAAGGCAAAATGTAATTGGTTAACTTTCAAAGTTAATCGATAAACCTACCCTTCTTCTCTTCGGCCGGAGCTGCCGCACCAGCGGCAGGGGCTGCAGGGGCACCAGCGGCGACCGCTCCGCCGACTGGCATGGACGACAGTTTTTCCCTGCCTAAAATTGCAAAACGATAATGAGTTCGACTTGAGGTGACACATAGATCTATATCAACTCGACGAGTCTCAATTTCTGACTTTTAACCCGTGAATATCGCGACTTTGTAACAGATTTTGAGTTGAAAATCGAGAGGTGTGAGTTGGAATTATGAGAAAAACGGTAATCCAATGTTTTGTTCTACAAGCTTCTACTCAGTTTGGTTCTCGGAAAGACAGTAAGGTGTCCCTAGGCGTTTTGAGGAACGCGTCGACGTACCCTTGGTAATCAGTTCGTCCATGGACTTTCCATTCAATTCGGTAATGACCTTCTTCAGCTTCTCAGCATCGGTCTCGATTCCCACCGACGACAGGATCTTCTCGATGTCATTCTGGCTTGGCGAGGCCTTGCCTCCCAAAACTGCCAGCATGTAAGCGGCCACGTAACGCATTCTGCAAAAAAAAAAAAAAAAACGGTACATTAAAACGCGAGGTAATTCATAGAATATGACTACTCTAAATGCTAATTGTCCTCAGATGGAAAGTAGTGTGTCATCACGATCGTTCAGTCGAAAGATGGTGATATACTTTGCGATCATCATGAAATAAGCTTCTATAAATACTGTACCCGACAGGAGAAAAATATTTGACTTATATAAAGAACTATATAAACATCAATCGCGTGATCGGAGCGTGACAAGTGTCTGTATATCGTGCGGATATTGATATATCTGTACCGAGCCATAACCTATCGCACTTGGCGCGCGAACTCCAGTTCTAAATCTCTATTTTCCGCGAGAAGCCTCACATTACTCTCGGAATCTCACGCTTAACGCTTGCGGTTCAGCGGAATTTAGCTAATTCAACTCGAAGAAAGGTGAAAGAAGCGAGATATCGGTCACACATCGCGTCTTCTGGATCGCTCGCGGTATCCGCGCGTAATAAACGCGACGGCGTGGAAGGCATCCATCGATACGACGAATTGCAAAGTGCGATCGAACGGGCACGTTAATTATCTCGAGCCGTAGATATTCGAAAGATCCGGAATGCGGAATATTATTCTTTGCGAAAGTGTAATTCAAGTGTATACGTACTTTTAAGTCTCGCGACACGAAACGTGAACTCCGCCAAAAGCAATGTCGAAACGTGCACGAGTCTGCACCGGAAGAGTCGGAGAGGAACAGGGAGAAGTTAATGTGACGAAATGACGATAGAGGATTCGCGTGTCGCGCCCTCTCGAATTCGGATGAACTTACAAACCAAATATGTATGTCGATTAGTTACGTAGTTTAAAAAGTTGACAAGTGTATATACATTTGATTTAAAATTTCCAAAAAAATTATCAAATTTTTTTCAATTATTTTAAAATTTTACAAAATTTATATATAACTTTTTAGAAATTTCTTAAATTTTTATGCAAAAAATTCTTGTTATAAATAATAAGTTAATATGTTGGTTATTCGTACGAATTTACCCATTGAACGTTTAGCTTACGGTTTTTACAGGTAGGGCGCGGCACGTGTCGAAGCAAGTGGCACATGTTGAAATCAAAACAGATTCCTCGTTGCAAGGAATCCAATTGAATCCAATTAAATTCCTCTCACGCCTTCTTGATTGAAATAAATTACTAGATAAATTATTAAGTAGGTTGCTCCGTGCGGAAGGAACCAACTTGTCTTTCGATAGAGTTCAACCTCACTGCTTCTTTTACTCCACGTGCTTCTCTGTAAAGAGAACATCGTGATGCAGCTTTTTTCACAATAATTAAAGATTATAATGGTTATAAATGACCCGGCCGGCTGACCCTCGCGAGAAGGCAGGTGCCATTCAGGAAAACGCTTAAATGACTGATCAGTATCCAATATATAGTTAAAGACACTCAGGCGAATAATATATATGGGTTCTTTCAAAAAGGATATCCAAGTAAAAAAAAAAAAAAAAACAAATGTGTTGAGAACTTTTAAGAAACTTTACAAAAGATATGAGAAGGGATGTTTCACAGATGTGAGCCTTTCAGATTATCTCATTTTGGATCCATATTCGTTGTATTATATACAGTTGATTAAAAGAAGACATTTAAATATATATATATATATATATATATTACAATCACCAAGTTAGTCTGATAAATTCTTAGAAAGAAGAAAGCCGGGAATATCAATCGCTAGAAAATTCACTTTTAATTTTTTAATATAACGTATTACAAAAGAGTGTATGGATTTATACTTATTCACTAATACCGTCTGCAGTCAAATAAATGCAACTTAATTCATAATATCTGAATAGTACTTACACTTTCGAACTGAATTAAGCAATCCTTAAACTAATACAGGTAAACTTACTTCGGCTTTATTACAATTGATAATCGAGTGTCAATTCAATGATGTGATTGTAATATTCAATTAAGCGGATATCTATATTAGATATGTATTAAAATTTTTTTTTTCTTATTGCAATTTCTCCTAAAATTATTTATGGCTGCGTTCCGTTGTTTACCGTCAGTGCTGAAAAAAAAATCTAATAGTGACGCGTGTTTTTTTTCCCGCACTGACAGCGAACGCGGGAGCGGCAGCGTTACATATATCTCGGCCGTGTTTCAGTATACAGTCGCCAGTCGATGAAAATCTAGAATTCACACATATATTATAGACTTTCATTACTGAAAACGTACATCGAAACGCGGCCCTTATCTGATATAAATTATATACGAAAATATAACAAATTGCGGTATATAAAATTTACAAGAATTTATGCGCGTAAAATATTAATAAGCGTGGCGCAACAGATCTATATGTACGCAAAAAAAAACATCCTAGAAAACTATAATTGAGAAACTAATCAACTTGGAGAACATTAAAAATTTGCGTTCAACATTGACAACTCTCGCGAGAATTAAGGAAAAGTATCGTTGTACGTGTTTCAAAATACTGTTGAGTATCAGTCGTGAAATATTTATGCGACAAGAGAGTTCGAGCATAGAAAGATATTGTTGTCTTAAGCATACTGTCCTAAATTATCGGATATCGCATTTTTTTTTTTCGCAGAAGATACTTCCGTTAAGATACTTGCGAAATTTAGCTCGAATCATTCGAAGCAAGAACAAAACCAATCAATCTGTCTTACGAACGTCGCATCTCGTTTAATCATTCAATTGAATTAGCTTGAACAGAATTCTAAATTCTAGAATAATCAGCTACACTTTATAAAAATAGCTTTCGTTCAGTTAACCGTCTAAATTTTTTTAAAAAGAGTACACAAAGAACATGATCACGATAGTTTAATTGTAGTTAATATTTATTAATATTAGTACTCGTTCTACTTAAACAAAAAAAAAACATCCAACACTCTAGTCCAACAAGATTTCAATAATCTTTGCGTTAGAAACAAAAAAATTCTTCGCGAGTTAACATTTCCTCTGTGCGCGGGAAAAGCAAAGATAATTCTAAATCATAATTTCTAAGTTAAATTCGGAATTTACCGTTGAAGACATCTAACACTGATAATTGAAAAATATTATCAAAAATATCAATTTGAAGATCCATCAGAAAAAGTCCTTATTGAAAATGTCGTTGCATCTGCTATTAAGGCATCTTGCGTATTGTATGCTTTCTTATCATGATAATATCATCGTCTAATAGACCTTACATTAGTTCATCTATTATATTGTCTCGGCGTTATTATCATTTTCAATAGAATTCGCTCTATCCTCTTCGTCGAATATCGATCCGTCGTCGGACAACTCGTGTTCCTGGCTCATCAAGATGTACTTGGTTTGTGCATTGATGTCGCGTTCCTTTTTATGAGACTTTTTAATCGAAGTCGTATACTGCAGTTTGATCAGATTCATGGCTCTCAAGCTGTTCGGAGGTGTCGCAGTCAGAAACTTGGATTTCGTGGTGTTTTGCGCATTCTCCATGTTATCCGCTTCTCGACTCGTAGATGGTTGAGAATCGTCGTAAGCGGCCTCTTTATAACTCTTATCCTTTTCCTTTTCGCGCATAGTACCGCACATCTCTTCGTCGGCGCAGCAATTGTCTCCGCGATGCTTCAGGGATGAAGTTGCAGGTCCCTCCAACATCCTCTCGTCACTCGCAAAACTGACATGTCCGCTCTCGTCGACAATGTACGACCGTCGTTTCTTCTTCAAAATCGGCCTCCTGCTGAGACTGTGCTTGTCCTTCTTGTGCGACTTCTTAATAGAGTCGATGTTGCACAGCAACTCCGTCGTCGACATATTTATCGGAGTCGATCTACCTTCGTTCTTGTCCTTCGGATTTGCAGCGTCCGCCGCCTGTGGGCTCACATCGGTCCCCGATCTTTCAACGTTATCGCGTTCCGATGCAGGATCCTCGTTCTTCCTCAGGCCTCCTCTGAAGCCACGTGCGACGGGCGTCTCGCATCTGAAGCAGTCAATTTCCTTCGACGCCGCCTGCGCGGATTCATCGTCTTCCAGTGACGTCTCGTCCGCGGAATTCGTAACGGGGCGCTGCTTTTTAATAGGAGTAAAAATCTTAAAGTCATTTACATTTTCGCATGCCAAAGGCATGAAGGCACTTAACGTCTTAGGCGTACTACTCTGCAGGAACATTCGTTCAGGAACATTGCGTTCAGGAACTGACTTCTGCCTCTTCTTCAGCGGCATCGTACCGGGAGATTCCTTCGATTCGAGAGACTCGCGCAAGCTTCTGCCAATGTTTTCCTCCTCGTATCTGCTTCTTCGTAGCGAATCATTTCTTCTCTTACGATAAACACGGCGCTCGATGAAAGTGAACGTTCTCTTGCTATGTTTGTCCTTTTTATGTGACTTTTTAACCGAATTAAAATCGAGCAGCAAGAGTCTACTTGAATTTACGTTTTCGGGTGTGCTCGGTCGATCGACCTCGGAATTCCGCGGGCTCGGGATTGGGCGTATCGCATCGGCCGTCTGACTCTCGGCATCCTGATCAATATCACAAATACCCTCAAGTGACGTCTCGGATTTTGTCAATTCCACTTTCTGATCGAGATCTTTCGTCTTGAATAACGTTCTCCTATTTCCGTGTTTCACCTTTTTGTGCGACTTCTTGATCGATTCTGTCAACACGTGCTTTAACAGGTTCACGTCGTTCTCGGGTGTAACTACTTTGCCGGCATTTTGAGATTTACTTGGATTAGATTCTGGAGACGCCATTCTGTTATCACTCGTTAAGTTGACACCCGACAATTCCCTCTGCAACGATAATTGACTTACTTCTTCATTGCAAACATTCTCGTTGGAATGATCTTCCTTTTCATCGTTATCATCTGTGGAACATATGCTGGCTTGCATACTCTCGTCACAATCGTTGGAATCAATATCCTGGGTTTTATCACTTTCTATTTGATCTAATCCACTTTCCAACGAATCGTCCTTCGTCGACGTGGATTCCTTTCGTACACTGTCGTCAGAATCTGATGTAGTGTCGCAACGTTTATCGTAAATAAGCGTTCTCTTGATATTTCTGTTCTTCTTCTGAGATTCATTTTCGGAAGCGGTACTCGAACTAGTTTCAGCAGTCATACCTATTCCCGAAGATTCTATCGTTGTTCGTGGAAGTAAGTCATCATTTTTTACAAAAATATCCATTCGCTGAGTAGAAGATTGTTCCTCATGGCAATACGATTTATCCTGTTAAAACATATTGCAATTTTAGTGTGTCGATTATATGAGTAATGAAAAGCAGATATATAGATTTTCTTATAAAATTTGTAATTAATTTTGAGAAGGAAGAAAAAATGTCTATGATTTTATCTATTTTTACTTTGTAAATAAAATATACATACTTTGTAAGTAAAAACAGATAAAATCATAAACATTTTCTTCTTTCTCAAAATTAATTACAAATTTTATAAGAAATAATCTATACATTAGCTTTTCATTACTTTTAAAAATATCTGTTTTTTTTATCTATTTTTTATTTGTAAGTAAAACAGAAATTTCAGTGTGTCAATTACAAAAATAATCAAAAGCTGATATATAGATTATTTCTTATAAAATTTGTAATTAATTTTGAGAAGGAAGAAAAAATGTCTATAATTGTATCTATTTTTACTTTGTAAAATATACATACTTTGTAAATTTATACATTTATACTTTGTAAGTAAAAAAATAGATAAAATCATAAACATTTTTTCTTCCTTCTCAAAATTAATTACAAATTTTATAAGAAATAATCTATATATTAGCTTTCCATTACTTTTAAAAATATTTGTTTTTTTTATCTATTTTTAATTTGTAAGTAAAACAGAAATTTCAATTGTCAATGTGTGTCAATTACAAAAAAAGTAATGAAAAGCTGATATATAGATTATTTCTTATGAAATTTGTAATTAATTTTGAGAAGGAAGAAAAAATGTCCTAACAATTAAATTTAAAAATAAGAGCAGCAAAGCATAAGGCAATAAGGAAATTATTAATTGTTTATATACCTTCTTGTGGCTCTTCTTGATAGCACTTAAACTTTCTGGAATTACATTTATCATATTCACAGGTGTGTGTGGCCTAGCATCTACTTCCTGATTAAATTCCTGAGTCAGATTCCTGGGTGTACTCGCAGATATAACACGGCTGGGTCCTTTCGATCCAGTGAATGAGCATAAGGGAGATACTCCGTGATGTTCGTCGATACTTTTGTCGGTTCTTTTCTTTCGTTCCTTTCCGAGCAACGACATCAAATAAGCCGTTCTCGTCGGTGCGGACGCATTTTCAGTTCTACTGCTCGACCCCCTGATATATTTCCGACTTTGTTGAGGCGTTTTATTCTGATTTTCGTCGATAGATTCCGCGGATGTAACCGGGACATTATTGTCGGGTGAATCGGTCGAACTTAAAGTTAGTACGGACAAAGGTGTATCGCTGATCGAACTGATGGAATTTTCGTCGCAACTGCTCCTCTTTGGACTCGGGGACGAGTCAAAGTTGAGCGACTTTCTTATTCCTACGGATTCGTGACGAAAGGAACTGTTAGTGGAGCTGAGCGCTCTCATTATTTTGCCCGATCTGGACATTTCAATTGGCTTGTATATACAATAAGGATCACAATCCACATTCGAATTTGGCGATCGTAACCAAATGTCCATCCTGGCAGAATCAACGAGGCAGGTTTTACCCATTTTGTACTGAAATAGATATTTATTTTTTCGCGGATACTGCTTGACCGACGTTCTAGGCAATTTAAATTGACACGGCTGTAACTTTTTTTCGCTCGACGACATCAGGTTCAGATCTATGATCATATCGTGCTCTAATTCCGGGCTGGAGGCACTGTCTTTGCTGCTATTGCTGCAAACGTTATACATCTTTGCTAACGTCTGCTCACTCAATTATCTTTGTTAGCATATGTAATACACTTATGTCATACATACACAGGAATGCACGTATGGAATTATATATATGCACCCACGTGTGCAGTAGTATATGTGTAACTATTTCACCGAAGGATTAGTCTCTGTGATGTTTTTTTATGAGAATTGCAAAACCAATTGTGCTTTCCTTCTTGCAAAGATTCCTATAACAAAAAAGATTCAAAGAATAACATGTAAATTATTAATTGCATATCACATTGTGTCCTAAGCTTTATTACATCAAGATAAGAGACTTGTAATTAATATATACAGTGTATTTGGTTTAAGTACAATATTCAATTCTTTTTTAAATTATAGTTATTTAACATTTTTTGAATTATAGTTAGTTAAAAACTTGTTTAGATAAGTTATTTTAATAAAATTAAAAGCATTAAGAAATAATATAAAGCTTTTGTTTTAAGTTATTATACAGATCTTACAAAAAATAACTTATATTTGAAAAATTTTTGTATAATTCTGTTATATTTATAAAATAGAATATGTGTACTTAAATAAAAAAAAAAGTTCTCACTTTCTTCATATATTTATAGATTTAATATATTAATATATTAGATAATAGATTTAATATATTAATATGTTATGTTATTATTATATATCATAATATAGAATTAATATATTTATAGATTTGAGTTATTATCAATAAGAACTACAAAATCTCTTTTAGATAATGCTCGAGGAAACAGAACACAATGCGTAGAATAAATATCCCGTGAATGTGCGCACGCATATGAGCAAGAGGATGTTGCCGATTAAAAAAAAAAAAGATAAATAGATGAAATAGAGAGAATGTACACGTCTAAATTTAAAGTACAAATAAATATAAAGTACAAATAAATATCGCGCATTTTAGAGATATCTCCTTACGTTTTTGGTGCCGCGGCTCACGACTCCTCGTGATAAATCCACAATGTGGCCGCCGCAATGAGCAGCCGAGGTCTACTCATGACAAATCACCATCGAAAACATACTTTCCACTCCTGTCGCAGCGTTCCCAGATTCAGCGGCGATACGCGCAATGCGAGCCTCTCTTTCGGAATTTAGGCACCGAGAGAACCGATCACGGAATCGGTCAATGGGTACACGTCACGTAAGCACCAGTTAAGCACACCAAAGCACACGTCCGGCTTATCTTTGTTCTGAATTCCTCTCGCGGCGGCGGCTCTCGCTCTCGCTCCCGGCTCCCCTCGCGTATTCCCGTAGGTAGCCCATAGTGCACGGTGTTGCGAGATGGACGACAGTCGCGTAAATGAGAACGCCAGCAGACATCGTCATAGACTACGCGACTACACTTCCGCCATGGCAAGATTGCCTCCACTCATGGATCTCCATAACTAGACGCGGAAATCGCTAATTGCCACGTGGCTGACGCGCGGCAAAATGTGACGTGATAGCCAAATAGACGTGTCATCTTTCTAGGAGCTGTTAAATTTATTGACTACCGCGTCGCATTTTGCGACGCGCGGCGAGCGTTTCCGCGTCCAGCGTGCAACAACCACGTTCACATGTCACATCGGCCGATGCCCAGAAGTTGTCCAGTTGCGCTAATTATATTTGCTTCTCACAGTTTTTGGCCGATATTTTGTGTCGCACGACTTTTCTCACGTCTATTGATTGACTGCAAGACAAGAGAGATCTCGAGATCTTTTTATCTCACAGTCAATCAACAAGCTTAAAAAATGTTCAACACATGAGTATCGGCCTTTAACTATGATTGGACAATTTCTTACGACATAAACTACTATCGTAAAATCAGCTTGACCGTCACATGTAAAAACAATTTTTATCTTAGTTTTTTCATTGGACTAATAAAAAATGTTATATTAAATTGACTAGCGACGTGGACAATCGGGTCATCGTTAAACGATAGATCAATAAATGATAAGCGGACGAAAAAGGAAGACAGCCAGTAGGAAAACGTGGTTATGACATTCACTCAGATAAAAGGATTGCGCTACGTGTTTCACTTGTTGCTTGCAACGTTCGCAAGCGTTATTTGTTTAGCATTTGATAAACAAAAATAAAATAATTTTTCATGTAGCAGAATGCTCTCGAATTATACAAGTCTACCTTTGTCTTTCACTGAATATCGAAAATAAAACATTCAGCAGACAAGACAGAACGCTATTCAGTCAGCTGAACTGAGTACTGTGTAAACATTTCCTGCAGGAAAATTGCCCTTATGAGCTATATTGGGACAATGTATAATAATAATTCGCAAATATTTCGCATTTTTAAAAATCTCATCATTTTCGATGTTTAATCGTATTAAAAGTATATTAAACCTACATTGCATTGTCTTACACGCTAACAGTCGATAGTCATTGAATTTAACTTTGTATGATCGCGCTGTAACATGGGTATTTCAAAATTTATTATCAGCGCTAAAAATCTCTTCTTTGTGTTACGTAAATTACGTATGGCTGTAAATCCTTACCTACACAGAAATAAGATATTTCAGAAATACATCCGAAATATTTCATGGCAAAATTTGAAATATTTTCGGAATTATGTCAAAGAAATCAGAATTTTTGAAATGTTTCAATTGAAATATTTCTTACAATATTTCTAGAATATTTTTGTAAAGTTTCAATGTATTTTAAAAAGCGTTTTACAAATATTTGCGAAATATTTCTAAAATATTTAATTGGAATGTTTCAAAAAACGACCCACAAGAAATATTTTATGCTGTGTAGGTAACACCGATAGTGAATTTTGAAATACAGGCATAAGTTTTGTTCAAAAAACAAAATCCATTTTGTACTTTAGCGGCAGCGATCTCCAACAATTCTTATGAAACGTAAGAAAACCGTATCATATTTCAGTATGTACATATCAGTAAAATTTACACGTGTCGGGAAAAGGAAGACGTCTCTCTCTCTCTCTAAACGTGCCTGACATGAAAACTAACAATATATTCTGCGTTCGTACGTTGCACCGAAATTGCGAATGGATCCGTTGGATGGAACGTGAACGCGACTAATCGTCTCGCAGCCGTTGGTGCCGTACGTCCCAGCATGCCGGCGTACATCCTGAATTTTAAGAGACCCGAATCACGTGCATAGAAGCTGCAAAAAAAATAAAGAAAGGGAAGTAGCAACCACAGCCGAGGATCAGATTGCTCTCGACGACTTTACGTCGCGAGAGTAAGAATGAATCGCCAACCGTATTGGATGTTCCCCGCATGCTTTCGGACGTTCCATCATGGACACCCATTTGTCGTCGTAACAAAATAACGACAGGTCGAGGTACGGAGAACTCGAGTACGATTGTGCGCATATCGGTAGCTGAGCGAGCAGCCTCTTCGTGGCTTCGGTAACGCCTCCGTATCTAGCGCTTATTATCGTTTGCTTGAATCTCTGCTGCAACAATCTGGAAGGAAATGCGGAAATTAGATAGAAATTGTGCCTAAATTGTGTCGAGCATGTACTGTGAGTGTGCATCAAAATAATAATATCGAGAGGATAGTATATCTTGCCTTGCGTAAATGTTATTAGACGGCGAACACATGTACTGGCAGTCCGTGCTCATTCTGGCATTCCTGAAGAAGTCGCTGAAGTTCTCGAATTGCGTTAACAACTGGGTCGACGCGTTGTCGTAAGCCGCCAAAATTTTTGTCGTAACCATATCGTAAACCACCAATAGCGCCGGCTGCGCGTTCGGTTCGTTCGCCTGCAACGTCGCCACCTCCTCGCTCGCATACCTCACCAGGATGTGATTCGTATCTAACAGCTGCATCTTCCACATTCGTAGCGAATTTAGCTGAAGCATTTTACATACTCAATCAGCTGTTTGACAAATTATCTCCCCGCAGGAAAGTTTAAAAAAAAAAAATAGACTTGCATCTCGAATTAATACCTGATCGAAATACTGATAAAATCTTCTGAGTTCATAAGGATCATTGGTCACGTAGCTTATATATTCTGCTCTTTTGTACAAATATACTAACAATCTGTGTTTCAAGCTATTAATAGCAATATCCTTAAACGGTCGACAGTTAATCCCAGGAAAAGCACTCGTCACTAAATACGCATCGTCCTCCATGCAAAATCTGCAAGATGTCATTTGAATTACATGCAAAACATCTTCTATCAAAGTGTAAATCATCGTAACACTTGGTAAGATAATCCTTATTCAATCAATACCTTCCTATCGTCCTGACATTTATAAACATGCCGTCAAGAATTTGAAAGATATGTATGGTTTGATGCTGTACAGACAAGACCGCTAATATATCTTTGTACAAATATAAACCTGTATATAAGAAGAAATGGATTTATTCCGAAAGTTCGATGTGTCAGCCGTTAGCCGCTTAGCTGACCGTTAACGCGATAAAACATTTTATATTTTAACAAAAGTTAATATTAAAATTTTTTTTACTAGTTTAAATTTATTAAAAATTTTCTTTCTTCTTGGCTGCACTTGTACTATAATATAGATCCAATTTGGTCAGATAAGCAGCAACAGTTTGCCTAAGGATCGTTCATTAGCCACTTAGCTGACCATTAAAACGCGATAAAACATTTTATATTTTAACAAAAGTTACTATTAAAATTTTTAAAACTAGTTTAAATTTATTAAAAATTTTCTTTTTTCTCGGCTGCACTTGTACTATAATAGATTCAATTTGGTCAGATAAGCAGCAACAGTTTGCCTAAGGATCGTTCATATACCTTGATTATGTGACAAATAAATTTTGTCGACTTTAAAATGTCTGGTGTCGCACAACTTTCCACCCCTCAAATCAACAAGGTGCAAGCTGTAATCTTCCAGCGGTGATCTAGGGTTCGGTGTCAGTGCCTCGTTATTGGAGTAAATCTTCAAAGAAATCACACCTCATTAAGCTCTCTTTTTCGGAGAGAATAATAATCTCACGTGAAACTTGATATTAGAAATCTTTTGCTGTACCTGATAAAAGTGTGGCCTCAACTCCTCGGGAATGTGAGCGGCCGAGCCAACGATTACGTACCGAGCGTCGTCGGTGAAGAGACTGCATTCTCTGTTCAATTGCTGGTTGCTTTCAACTACATTTATAATCCACTTCACCTACAAATATGTTTCAGAGCTGGTACACCAATTTCACTGGTTCTCTCTCTCTTTCTTTCTCTTTCTCTCTTATATCTTTCTCTCTCTCTCTCTCTCGCGTTTCTTTTATTAATCTTTACACAATCCGCAAAGGCGCGTAGACGCCGCGCGGAGTTAGTATCCAGTACCTTGAAAAATCGCGCGAAGATATTACTTCGTATGTGAAAGCTACAGTCGTCGCTCTTGTGGCCGGTGTACTCGCCTTCGCAGTCGGCCAGCAGGTCCGCGGCGGCCGGGGCCCCGCGGTACTCGTACACCTCGATCGACGTCTGGTCCGCGCTGAACGCCACCAGGTACCTGCCGTCCGGGCTGAACTTGCGCAGGAAGCACGGCGGCTTCTCCACGTTCATCACCGTGAAGTTGGGGAAGACGTTCTGGTAGAACTGCCGGGCGCAGTGCACGTGGGTGCCCGGGTACGGGCAGCCCATCGTCTCCCGGCGCCGCAGGCGCACCACCACGTTCTGCGGGCCGATCCTACGTGGATTCACCGGGCAGGGATCCGCCACGGACTCGAGCCTGCTCTCACGCGCCGCCATCCCCTGGCTACGGGCGCGTCAACAACGCTCGTCCACGTGGACGACGGCGTCCATTGCGTCGACCGCGAGTGAAAGTTCGCCCGATACTACGTGCGGCGCATCGTAACTGTCGACAGCCGCGTTGTCCACTCCCGACAACGACCCGGTCCGTGGCGAGCCCATGCAACTGACGTGATGCAACTTCCGAAACGAGGTTAGCAATCATATGGACGGACGGACGGACGGAGTCGCGCCTGCGCGGTGCGCCACACTCGTGTTTTGACAGTTCACATGTGTGCCACAGCGGCGGTCGACGATGATTGGTCCGGACTGGACGGATCGAAAGATAAGAGCCAATCACGCTCGATCGCCACTTGTCAATTTAATGTGTTTCTTCTTCATTTTTCGATACTCCGCTGAGATTCAAATCTCTTTAATCAATTTAAATGTTTGTATTAATTCAATTCGACAGAATTGTTTGAAGCGAAAAAAATCTCTAGCTGTAAATCTACATCCTTGTGTCCTCAATTTAATATTTTTTTCGTCGATTAATTAAGTTAAACATTCTAATCGCGCTCGATTTGAAAGAGAAAGAATGAGAGGAATTGCAGGTTTTCTAGAAAAAGAATTTAAAAATTGACAAAATTCTTATCAAGAATCGCAAATAAGTGAAGTTTCGATTCGATTTGGCGTAAAAAAATTTCGATTCGTACCAATTCGCACATTTCCAGCGCGAAGACGCGAAATGAATTTACATAGCATAAACAAAAGGATTTATTGATCAAACGTACTCTTGTCGCTATGGATACAGGGATGCTGTCAGTGATAGTCGTTACTTGAACTCTGACGCGAGAATTCTTTCCGAAAGAATGGCAGAGCAGATGGAATACATAGTACCGCCATGGGAAATCGAGGCTTACGTGCAATGCTTGAACATTTCGGATCTCGAGAACGTCGGTACAAAAAGGTGAATTCGCGATTTTACATATTCCCTTGTGTCACCCGATATAATCATTGTAATCTAGAAGTCGATGTAAAAATGCACACGGACGTGTGTCTTTCAGCTGGTTGGATTTCCACAAGAGATTGGCGTTGCTGAACCAGCAGAGCGTGCTCGAGATAACGGGGCTGCGCGAGGAGAGCGTTATGGAATGGTTTATCTCGCTGAAGAAAGTAAATAATTAGAATGATTTGCAAAGTGCTACGAGTACAGTAATATTATATTATAAATATGCTGTTGCGCTTGCAAAAAGAATATCAGCAGAACGAAAAGAAATAAATAAAATATAATTTTCTGCAGTTATAATTTTAATAATTATACATCTAGTTGATATAATTATAATACTACTTGTAATAATTATCATATTTAATTAATAATTTAATAATTGATCTTGTTCTGCTAAGCAATATTCTTTTTACGTAAGTGAATGGAAAAGTGGCTACGAGTATAGTAATATTATATTATAAAATATGGTGTTGCGCTTGCAAAAAGAATATCAGCAGAACGAAAAGAAATAAATAAAATATAATTTTCTGCAGTTATAATTTTAATAATTACATCTAGTTGATATAATTATAATAGTACTTGTAATAATTATCATATTTAATTAATAACTGATCTTGTTCTGCTAAGCAATATTCTTTTTACGTAAGCGAATCATGGAAAATTATATTTGGGCACGATTACCTCTTTTTTTACAATTCTTTTAATCGCGCTATTTTCAGATTCCCATTCTTGTGTACGAAGCTATACAAATCGACATATGGAAGCACAAGGTGTTTCCACTTCTAATTGATATCAATGGCGAGCCGACGAACACGTTCATGTTGTACAGCATATTCTATCACGAAGTCATCGTGATTTCGTTATTGGAAAATATATTATTTCATTGCGAGAGCGCGCAAACGTTGGACGACATGGCGATCGACCTCATCGATTACACCGTCCTACACGTAACGGCGCTCCTCGATGGAAACACCTTAGAAATATATGAGAGATCCGAAATCAGAGACGCCAAGTAAGATAATTATTCCTTCTTTTAACCAGACATAACGAATTATATATAAAATAAACTCGGCACATTTGTATCACTTATGCAGAGAGTATACTTTTTAAATTTTGATGAATACCGAATATGCTTCTCGCCACAGCTCTTGCCTGGGAGAAATCATGGAGAAGCAAAAGACATTCGAGTTTGACATTGGTATGCGGTGTATCTCGATTATTCACTACCTGATAGAAACCTTGGATAGCCTACCCCTTTGCGCAGTTTCGCGCATGCTGGCCGTACACGATGTTCCGTACTTATTCACGCAGTTGATCGAGAATCAACCGTGGAAGAAGCAAAATGAGGATGGTAATAACATCTACTTTCAATTTCTAATATCCTGATGACAAGTAGTTAAGTTATCGTTCATCTTCATGCAGGTGAGATGCTGACGTATGAGGGCAGCTGGAGGAAAATCAAGGCGAGTGAAATTGGAAAAATTAACAAACGAGAGGGGCAAGTATGGTTCGGTTTGCGAGAATTGCTACTTAATCCAAAGTGTTCCCCGTATTATGAAATCACAGAGCACAGACTGTCCCAGCTGTCGAAGGTACTAATTATAATCGATACCTATCATCAATCAGATTAACGATTTTTTTAATTATTAACGATAATTTACGATTCTAAATGGAACTCCGTGGCGTAGCTGCAGAGACACTTGCATGAAGATGTACTCGATCAAATTGCTCCTTTGATAGAGCTTAAGAGATGGTTATCTTACTTAACTATGTCATCGACGATGCCATCCTCGAGGTCAACCTGTCCGGTTCACGTGGAAGTTATACCGCAGGTATATCGCTATTTTTTTATCCCTTATTTTTTTCTCAATTATCAGATATAATATCAAATAAATAATCGAACACATTAAATGTAGATAAAGTCAAGTATCTTGGAAAAATATCATAAAAAGTGGAAGAAACTTGCTAGACATCAGTCCAAGTGCCTATTTACAACAGACACAAATTATATTAAAGACGCCGCACAGATTTTAAGCGATGTGTACGATTTGGAGAAGTTAGATCGTATAGAAGCGAAAAAGTGTTCGTTGTGTCAAGAGCCGTCTGAGAAACGATGTTCCAGATGCAAGGAAGTTTGGTATTGCAGCAGGTATATAGAGAATAATTGGAATTTAAGTTACATTATATACATTGAAAAATAAAATTTAAATATAAATATTTATATTATAAATATATATATATTTAAATGTAGTTTAAAGAATAAGCGTTATTTCTTTCTCTTATAGAGAGTGTCAAGTGAAAGACTGGGAAAATCACAAGAGTACTTGCAACACGATAACAAAAATAAACAGTGATAACGCAGATTCTTAGTAACTACGAATATACGTGTATTCATCAATACAACATATTTTAACGTATATCTCCCTACATCTTGTTTCTTTTAAATTTATATTAAAACCTTTTTAAAATTTAAATTATAATATACAGTCACATGAACCTAGAGATTGCAACTCTTTTTTCAAGAGAATATTCTTACAATTCCTACGTATTTCGAAATTTATTGGAAAAAAATAGTCGCAATCTTCATAGTCATGCTGTATCTTTACGAAAATTCTAAGAGAGGAGCAGACAATGTTCATGTTTCTGTAATTTATGTCAAATATTTTATTAAAAGATTAATGTACAGCGCTCTGTTTAAGGTATTCCATTAGAACATCCTTAGCAGGTGTATCTTCACCGAAATCCTAAAAGTAATGAATGTTTTACTCAATAATGGAATAACAACGACAGAGAAAGGAAAGCGTTAACAAAATCACATCAGCAAGGCGTAATGACAGCATGGACTGTTTATTATATATGGGTTCTGCTCAGTAGAGGGAGCCCAAATTATCATCATTTATGTCGTTTTGTAAAAATTATCCTTTTAAACTGATATTTCACGACAACAGATTTTATTAGAAAGAGCAAAAAGTTTTAGAATTTTAACATGGCCTACCTTTATGACGACGCACGAGCAGCCAACCACTTTGCGCGCCTTGCCCGCGCTGTCAATCTTACACAAGCCAGCCCATTCGCCTAACTTTTTGTTATTGTCTACCTTTATCAGTGGAATTTGATGTTCATTGCATAGCGCCTGAACCAACTTCTTGTACATCGGTTCGTCGCAATTGTCTGCCAGGATGCAGAGCATGGCTTGCCTTCTGCAATGTAAAAAATTCATCCAGTAAAAATCACTGTCCCATTATTTATGGCATACTTTGTTTTGTGTGTTTAGAATAGAAAGATAGCATATAGTAAACTATATAAATTGTACAGTAAACTATGTCCAAAAGAAGAAATCTGTACATTTCCCTATATTAATACTACATTAATATTTCACATTTCTGTATCTTACTTGTCTAATGCTTTGGCAGCTTCGTGGAGTCCGTGTACAACGCCATCGTGAATAAGAGAATTCTTCAGAACCTCCTGCAGCGCGGTGTTGACATCCATGTTGCCACCCGCTGCCATCGCAGATGGCACATCATCACTGTAAAGAAGTAATTTCGTTGAATAAGATATAGCAACCAAGAGAATATCGTTTAAAAGCTCGATTTATAATACTTTTACAATTGTAAACTCTTGAAAATCTAGGATTGATTTTTCAGTAACAAAAGTTTAATTAATTTAGCTATCAATGTTAAGTACGTTTATTACATGTCAACATTTTTTCCATTGTCTCACTAAGCAGATTCCCTTTCGCCCAGCTCTGTACATTCATGATTTTGTTAATTCATCAAGAGTCAAGACTTATAGTGGCACGACAAGGAGAGTTGCTTTGCATTTAAATGAAAACTCGAGATAATTCTCACTTGTGACGTCACAACTCCGTTGAACGCACGTTCCCTTTCATTCTCACAAGTGAGATTCGACTGAGATTCAAGTGAGTTTTTACCGAGAATCTGCACAAACTCGAGAGACCCTATGCTTCTCTGACACGGCGAGGTCTTATTAACTCGCATTAAAAGTGAGGTTATAACCTGTGTTGTTGGCTTCCAACAACAGTTTTTCTTTAATTAACTTGAACAGTGACGTCGTTATGTCTAAGTAAACAATACTTCACATCACTTTAGACTCGGTATCACTTGTGTGCAAAGCAACTGAGGGGAGGCACAAGGTATGCAGAAGGTATCCGGTATACTCACTTTTCTACGTCGGACATGTTCGAGCGAGCCGGGAAGAGTGCTGGAAATAAATACGGGACGTTATTATTCTCGCTCCGGGAGGCGCGCTCCGACGCTTTCGCGGGTAAGATACGCGACGATCTTAACGTAATAAACGGATTTTAATCACGCCAGCATTCCAGCGTGGCCTCGTTTACCTTTCCTGCGAGTCGAAGAGAAGTTGCCGCCGTCTGGGCATGCGTCACTTCGACGTCGACCGTCAGCGACGCCACGCGCGTCTCCGACCGGCCCGACATCTCGGCGCGGAGCGACATCTACACTGGCTTCCGCCGGAACAGCGGGGTTATCGACGATTGGTCGATAATGATGGTAACCCGCTGTCCCGCTCCCTGTATCGACGAGCATCGAGCTTCAAGTGTTCGCGCCCGTTCGCGCAAACGATCAGGATCGCGAATCTTTCGGATCACGATAAACAAACCGAACTGCGTCCCCGATGTGGTACGTTTGATCTCGATTTAAACGCGATTTCGGATTGTGCTTCAACGTTTATACGGTGCGTCTTCTCGCTGTTATGTAGTCGCAAGTTGTATTTGTTTTGTAGGGTGGATAATGGAAGGAAGTCGAATTGAGATTCGGGCAAACGGTGACGATCATGATCGCGAATCTTTCGGATCACTCGATAAACAAACCGAGCTGCGTCCCCGATGTGGTACGTTTGATCTCGATTTAACGCGATTTCGGCTTCAACGTTTGTACGGTGCGTCTTCTCGCTATTATGCAGTCACAAGTTATAATTGTAGATAATGAAAGGAAGTCGAATTGAGATTCGGGTCAGTGTTTGGTAAGTAAATATCGAATTGATATTCAGACAATGTAAACACTAAAAAGTTTTCAAGACACTTCTGCGAGAACTATCGAAAAGTTATGTGAAAGGATTTAAAAAGACGTCTTATCATCGATTTTAGACACTTTTGTCCCTGATAACACAACTGGATAACGATACTTCGATCTTATTTTATGTCTTTATTTTCGAGCGATTTACATAATGAGAGAAATTTTCTTTTTTTTTCCCTACATTAAATTTATTATATAGAAAGTCACGTTTTACAAAATATACATTGCGAATACGATTCTATAAAAGTATACTTATATAGTAATAACGTCGAGTTACAGAATCAACTATTGTAGTAGATTCCACAATAGTAGTCCCAAATAATAACAAAAAAAAAAATAAAAAGTGCTTTTTCTTATCAAATAAAATCGTTGCATTTATCATTGCTTTGAGTATAATATTTGTATTTACAAGCACCCACGCATGGAGCACGAATGTGTATGTAAAGGAATCTCGATGGTTGCGACAAACTTAAAACTTAAACTTTAAACGTGTAAAATATTTCGCGTTTATTCCATGCATATTGCTGATTTTGTTACACTAATTCTCATTATGTATATGTACAAATCGTTTCTTACGGCGGTTAGAGAAACGAAGCTTTCGATGTAGAAATACCAGATGTAGATCATTATTATTAACTTCATGTTTCATTCTAACGTTTCAAGATACGAAAAACCGGCCTTGACGTGTCCAGGATAAGATCAAAAGAGAGAGAGGAGAGAAAGAGAAGGAAATCAAAAGAGTAAGAGCGAACCATCGACCACTCAAATTGACTCAACCGACGCAATCTCGTATACCTAATATGCCCGACAGCAATCGGGGACAATGTTATGTCGGTGGTGAATATCGATACGACCAATGCGGCGGTGGCAGCGGCGGCGGAGGCGGCGGTGGCGGTAGCTGCTGACTGGAAGGCGACGGCTCCGTTTGGAAGGTGGACGATACGGAGTGCTGAGCACCAAGCCCCACCGGATACAAACGATGAGCGCGATGTGCCTGATGATGGGGATGGCAGCTCGCGTTTGTCACGCGCGACGACGACGTTGACGCTTCCAGCATGATGCCGGCTTGCGACTGGCAGGCCATCGTCAGGCCATGAAAATCGAACTTGTAAGCGTAACGTTTACCGTGAACCTTCGTCATTATATTCTTGTCGTAGTAATATCTGTGAAATAACATTGCATTGTTCTCTGTCTCTCTCTCTTTTAAGAGCGCTGCGTAGCATGTATTTCGTTTCAAAGTGTTCAAGTCCTATCTACAAGAGTCTTGAGAGAAATCCGATAAAGCTAAAATGTATAAGACATGGGGAGGAAGAGAAAAAAAAAGTCAAGTGAGCGGCATGTCGCGCCCTTGCTTCAAAAGTGACACAACTCAAAAATGTGAACTCAGTGTGAGTTTATTACCATGAATGAGGTAGACTTTGCCCTGTTAATCATCAAGAGTGAATTAAACTCCATAAAAAAAAGCCATCAAAATCGTCACAACTCAAAAAGAATGATGTCAAGTTGAAAAGTAATTTTTCCCCTTTTCTGGGGAAACTGAATTTTTTGAGCGGTGTCACTTTTGAAGCTGAGGCGCGATACGACTTGTAGTATTGTGCATTGTGTGTCTGTAGTATTGTGTAATTAATACATTAAGTTACCTCAACGCGCGTGACAGCTTGTCGTAATTCATGTTAGGCTTGCTCTTGCGCTCGCCCCAGCGGCGCGCCACTTCGTCCGGATCGGTGAGCTTGAATTCCCCGTTCGTGCCTTCCCACGCGATGCAGGATGAGTTAGACGAATCTGCGAGCAGCTCCAGTAGGAATTGCCAGAGTTGAACCTGTCCGCCTCCGACCGCCCCCGAGCCGCCGGCTCCAGCCGTTGATCCAATCAGCGAGCAAGTCCGTTGTAGGAGGCTGAACCTTTCTGAGAGCAGAAAACGGAACACGCATGCACCAAAACCTCGTTCTCGAGCCGTTCTTCTGAAGATCCGAGTCGTTTCTGGGCGGTATGAGACGGAGAGGCGAGAGACGAATCGTCGGTTTTCCCCGGTACGCTTGTCTTCTCGCTGACACGGATTTTTATCCTTGACGCCTCTATCTCCGTATCATCCTTGCAAATGTTTCATGTCATGTTTAGGAGACCCGCAGCAAAATTCAGGTAATTATCGGTTCGGATTCTATCGCGAGAGTAATATAAAAGGCCAAATAGTTATTTCAATATTACTTAAAAATTTTATTATGCATACACTCGTCCCTCGATTTACGCGGTGGTTGTTTTTTTACACGGTAAATAAATCATTCGTTTACGCGGTTTCCCATCGTTCACTTTCATCATTATTGTTTTTATGCTAATATGTGAAATAAATATTTTTATAAGGCTTTTCTCCTATGATTTTTTTTGTACTGGCAGATTCAATTTACACGATCCTCAACCACGCAAAAAAAAAATTATGTAGAACATACATCGCGTAAATCGAAGGTCCAGTGTATAACATTTTCTATTTCTTGTCAAGAGATCTGTCGTATTCATTATGACTCCAATCGTTTTTTTTGCAACGAATGCATTTGTTGCAACGTTACATGTAAATACACGAGCGATGAAAACGATATTGTACGTGTATGTGTGTAAGAGACAGCACTTTCAATATTTCAATTTCAATCGTTTAAAATTTTTCGTCCTTCTGAATTTACCGTTATAGAGGATCGCAGCGGCCGAGGGATGCAATCTGGTGTCCTGCTGAAGATGTAGAGGATGCGTCTGAATTCTCCACATTACGCGCCGAATTTGATATTTCGGCCTGATCCTGTGCCGTATAAGCGGCGCTTTCGGAAACCGATAAACGGCAGCTCCGTCATCTCTAGAGATGCGCGCATCGAGAATCCGTTTTCCTTGCGTTTTTTTTTTCAACGCGCCTCGTCTTGCAGTCTTAACGATTACTCGCGTTACATCTTACATCCCGATCCTACGTTTCGTCGACTTGAAAGAGAAAGCACGTGCATCGCTATTGATTTCTCGTGTGTTAGCGAAATGATAAGGAGATTTTAATAGCTAACTTTTTTTACAGGGGCTTGCGTGGAACACGATCACACGAGCGAGCGTAGCACAAATAATAGCTTTGCGAACCGTCTCGCCAAGTGAAATGGATATAAATCACGGAATATTACTTGTCTCACACTGATCTCGACAACGTTCTACACACCTTGGACAAGACAACAACAAGCGCGCAAGCAACGTCAATCGCCAATCGGACGGTAGACGCAATTTGGAATAAAACCCCGCCAGTCAGTGGACAGAGAGCGACTGAGCGACCTTTGCCCCTGGTTATTTCAGCCCTTCGCGCCCCCCTCCACCACTCTTGGGTCTTTGGTAAGAACGGAATACCTTTGCACCTCCCCCTCTTCCGGGAGGTACGTACTGCGCTTAGAGTACTTACCGGCGGCTGCCGTCTCTCTCTTGCTCTCTTTCTCTTTCTGTCAGAATTTACGCAAGTATCTCTACAAGAGCTCTCGCGCGCGAGATGTGGCCAAAATTATATTAATTCGCATCGTTCGAAATTTCTTCTCTCGTTAATGGATTTCTCAAACGCTTGCTTGGAGAGTAATCGTTCTTTTTAGATCACATTTCTGCAAAAACTTTGATATATTTTATATTATTAATTGAATTAATTTATTCACTTCTTATTATTTCGTCTGACTTACGGGAACGCATAAAATGAAAACGTACAATACATTGCTCGCCCCTCTTTGTTTGATACGGAATATCAAAGAGAATATTTTAAAGTCCTTTTGTACACTTTTATGAAATGGAATAAAAAAATCTTGCGCATCATTGAAAATCGATTGATTGCCAGACGTCGATGCTTATGTTACAATTACATATCAAGTTTTAATAGAGATTTATATCAAATATTTATATTGCATCTAACATCGTACTAGTTGAGACAATTTACAATTAGAACATAAATATTTTCCAATCTCTAAAACATTGACAAACAATAGTAAGTCAATCGAGATATACGTTGCGTCTTAAATTGATTGATAAAAATAAAAAGGCGTACGGAAACGTGGCGCAAAATTTGAGTGTTACCGAAGAATTGCAGCGATACAAAAAGATTTTCACAACTCTCTCATATATTACAAGTGCGCGGACTCGATTAATGCGGTGCAAGAGAAAGAAAGAAGAGAGAGAGGAAGAGAGAGAGAGAGAGTATGTGATGTGTGAAATTTTTTATTTTACGATTCAACCGCTACGTTATAGACGACACGAAGTGTATCCGAATGGCGGACTCGAATGGATTTATTCGAGGATATCGTTAAATGCACATATTACACACGTGCGCGTGTACGCGTAGATATAAAGTGCATGTCATAAACTCGAAGACGTATACGCGGGAGGGAGGAGCAGAGAGAGATTTAAGCGCGACGTGTGACGGAGGTGCGACGCGTAAAATTATCCCGTATACATTCAAGATCCAGGAGTACGCTTGCCGCTCATCACGAAAACAATATAGTCGCGCCCCGCGGCGAGCTTACCACCCCCGAGCCCGTTAGAGCCTGCCCCTGGAAGGAGAGCAGAAAGAGGGGTAAAAGCGGTCGCGCGGCAAGCTCGTAACCCCTCGTGGCACCACCTTTCCGCTGCCCTAAACACTCGATGGTTTATTCATGAGGACTCTCTCACCGCGATAACACTGATTCGTTTAATAAACGGCTGCCGGGGTGAGATGGGCCGACACACACATAGAGAACGAGGGAGGAAGAGAGAGAGAAAGAGAGAAAAGGAATAAGAGAGAGAGAGAGAAAGAGAAAGAGAGCTGCAACGTTATTCAAACGGACGATATATCTCGGAGGCTTACGCTGCCACAGTTCGGTACCTCTCACTTTTCGCTTTTCTTCCTCCGCGTTCAAAGAGACGGTGCTCGAACGTCTGTATTCCGTATACGAAAAAGAGGAGCGAATAGAGCATAGACAAAGGAAAATTACGATTTTCTTTTTTTTTTAATTTTGTTTTCTTGCGCTTTATTGCTACTTCCTACTAGTCGAGATCAAATCTAACGCTAGTATTGTTACTGTTAACATGATTGTTATAAAATGTTTTTGTTAAATACCACAGTCCGCCCTCGTAGAAATCTCTTATCTCGCACGAAATGAAATTTCGTTCAATCTTGGCAGGGGCTGTTCTCTTTATTCCTCGAGATATCTCGCTCTCTTATTCAATCGCCTCGATCTTACATCGACAAAACGTACGGACGCTTCGACACATAAGTACGTTGCTTTTTCCTTCGGGTCACGGTGAACGACGAGAGGTGAGAAAAGTCTGGGGCAAAACTATCAGTTCGAATACCGATATTTACTTTCCTGCCGGACCGCGTTTATCTGTAATAGATCGCTACCATCGTTAAAGCTTTAGATAAGCTTCAGAATCGATCCTTGGGGAACCTTTTAGCCTTTTCCGGTCACTCTCCATTCAATCGTGACAGGTCCAAGACCAAATTCCTATTAAGCTCTCCCATAGACCTTCGCCATTTAGGATTTATAGCGCGAATCGCTTTGGATTTATGCTTACAATTAATACGCATAAACGCGAAGATGTTACTATCGCCAAGAGAAGAAACAATGCGTTGTGATTTTTTATCAAGGAGTTAGTCACTTAGAAATAAGACTAAACTATATTCTATCATTTTTAAATGAAGTAATTGATGTCAGAATTTGGAAAAATTTCGAATCAGAAATGGAATAGAATTTTATTAATTATCTAGATTTATTTAATATCTAAACATTTTTTTTCAAATTACTATTATTCTAATAAGATAATCTAATAATCCAAATTTGGACACTTGAGATCTGAATTTATATATTTCGAGCATCTGATTTTGAATATCTAAATTCAAATGTACATTCGGATTTACAATTAGATTTGGATAATGAAATTATTTACTGATATAATATTTCTAGTACAGTCGAACCTCGAGAACTCGAATCTTTACAACTTAAAAACCTCTATAAGATGAAAATTTCCCTTTCGCTTCATTACGGAAAACCTCTAAATCGAAATAAAACCTACTTTAATTCGAATTATTTGTCAGATATTTAAATACGTGCAATAAATAATTCACTGTCAAATATAGATTTTTTCCCTCTTTAAAAGTCATTATAATTGGAAAAATTATAAACTCTCGTGCAAAGCGTAAGTAGAATTTTCATATATTAACCCTCTTTTACTTTAATTAATTTCGATAAGTCGAAAAAACTCTATAACTCGAAAAGTTTAGCTGTTTCCTTGAGATTCAAATTATTGAGGTTCAACTGTAGTAGGAAAGTGATTTTGAATTTATTAACTGCTTGAACTTACCAATTCCTTCATTTTCGTTTTCTTGCAGTAAGCCCGGAGTATGCACGCCAGTGGCTTGTAGACGAAGGCAAGCCAAGTGTTTCGCCAGGATACTGCCTGCCGTCCCGCCGATATCCCGCCAATCTTGCAGCGTTAATCGCAGCAATTCCTTGCCGGTCGACGGGAGTATCGCTGCGATGGAACCTGATTTTATGGCAAATGTTCGACTGCACCATGAAATCCAATTGTTTATGTGGCTCGAGTTCCACTTGGACGGATCTGAAAGACGAGGATCCGAGATTATTGTAGGATACTTCTCATCCATTAATGAGTTCAAGACGCAGCTTCCGCACGTCGTTCGCCGATTGGATGGATATTTACCGGATGGCACCATAATTTGCTCGGATTCGCGGCGACCGTCGGAATCTTCATCACTGTTCTTCTCGTCGTTTGTCGACGCTTCCATAACTTCAACGTTATATACTCCATGCATCTGGGGATATCGCACTCACATATATATGTGTACCTCGAGATCAGGTTTATTTTCTTATCGCTACTTTTACCCTCTTTTGATTTTCTATTCGACTGTGCATGAGTCATTTGTTCGATTCACGATACACGAAATCTTGAGAACCACTGAAAATTCACGATCTTTCTCCGTGAACCGATCACTTATTGTCGCCATCTTACATCGAATAAGAGCATTCCCGCCTAATTTTGGTGTCAAAATTAAATCTTTTTAAATAAAATCACAATCGTAAGTCTGGCGCGCGCACACACACATACACACATTCTTCGTCGAGATTACACTTGAATTATATCGCAACGTGTTTTCACTAACAATAAGGTATGTGACATACTAAAGTGTGTCACATACATATCGATCTTAGTGCCTAAGATCGAATAACAGGTCATTCATTTTCACGTTATATATTTAATCACTTGATCACTTCGCTTTTGATTTCTTTTTGTTTGCACTGTATACAAATACTCACTGTAAATATATATATATATAGATTTATGATAATTTTCTGCTTCTATGCATCTTGCACGTTACGAATATCTAATCACTTGACCGCACGATAGATCGTCGAATTATTTTTCTCGTAACATAAGGAAACTTCGCCATGTGGCACGATACAACGTCGCGTAATCACGTCGCGGGACGATGCTTCGATCTAGTCGATGTCGACTTGAATGAATCGAAATCGGTCGGGGCGAGGCGAATGACGGGCGAACCCGGAGGCTCGGGTTGGCGAAATATGGATTCCCGGAAGAGCGGTACAGTCAGCCGCTCTCGCTCCTTGGCGAGCAGCCGTGCTTGCTCCTCCGTGCATCGTCGACCGCTGAATCACGCTTGTGATTGCTCATCTTTACTCACGTTCCTTTTTTTCGTCAATTCCCACGCGGTGCGGTCCCGCTTCCTGGCGTTAATCAAGCCCGAATAACGCACGTAACTTTTTCTCTCTCTTTCTCCCAAAATTTCGGGAGAAATTCTTATCACAAATCACTGAAGAATCTCACGGTGTCTGAAAATATCTCAGGGACAAGTTTTTAATAATCAGGGTGACTCGAGTAAAAATACCTTTATAACAAATTGTTTTAAATAAAGCGTTTATTATAAATTGTTGAAGATCACGTTTTCTTGCCCTACGTAAAACATCCTTTCCGCGCGTTTCGTTTCCCGCACGAGCTACAGATGTGCGTGAATATCTTTTTCGGATGACCCGAATTTCTGTATTAATCATTCTTGAGAATGTATACTTTAGTAGCAGTGCTATCCGGTTTTTTGTCATGCGATATGACTTAAACATTCCGAGAACGATTTTATTCCCTTTCTATCCACACACACATACACACACACACACACATCACACAATCCTAGTTATAGAATAGATCCATTGAAAGTACTTCAACACAACTTAATATAATGTACAAAAAGATTTTCATTTTTATAGATAATGCTCTCAAGAACATTTTAAACGAGCAATTATAATTGTCCATTTGTAACGAGGGTAAGAAAGCATCATTCTCAGTTCAATATCATCTGTCGATACACCTTCGGATTTCCGAGAACACTTGATAAAGACTTGAAAAGAAATTTTAGACAATAGAGAGTACTTTAAACATGTGTAGATACTTGTCTTTGAAAAGAACAAATAAAATATACAATCTTCGATTGGAGAACTAAAATTTTTTTTTATTGATAGCCTTCGTTATCATTTGTTACAATTTTGGAATGTAATATTTAACTGGAAATATCTTAAGTCTGCTGTTTTTAAATATTTTTTTAAGATAAAAAACTACGTAATAATTATTAACACACAATAGGGTGTTACAGAATTAAATTGTTATTATTGTTAGATTTTCGTACGGTTTCGTAGTGCGAGCGGTCGATTCGGATTCTGGATTCAATTCCGAATTCTCATTCTATATTCGCCTGGATGTTACACTGAGGTTGATCGAAAAATTTGAAGGTTGTGAATAAAGGAGTTTAAGGATGATAATTCATATTTGGAGTCCATATTTCAAGAATTTATATATAATTGTTTGTTTATTTATTATACATACATGCCTTTTTACGATTTAGAAAATTGTATCTTGTGCCTGGACAACATCTTACATAAGACAGGATTAATCTAGACATCACAGAGAGTGACCGACACAAGAAAGTGTAACAAAATAGTGTCTTTGTTACGCAAAGTACAATTATATTGTACATACTATCGTGTGTCATTACATCATATTAGGTCAGAGGTTTCTTTTTCTTTATACTTATATCTATTTTCGAAGTTTCCTCTAGTGTTTTATGAAATTACGCTTAGTATACGTATACAAAGTAACTACATAAAACGAGTAACAAGTTGATTTAAAAACTGATGCTGATTTTATCGTTTCTCTCTATTATGCGTGTAAGAAAATGCGAATTATCTTTACAATTATGAAACTGCAGAGGAATATATATTTTTTCAAACAGTCGTAGTTTAAAGGCTTAACATATTTAACAATCGCTACTTTACGCGACACTCGCTGCAAGGAAATCGGAATCGTTTCTCGTCCCGTCGATATCTTAATTATATATTTTAACAGACTAGAGTAAACATATACATACAATAACCATCTACAGATATAGTGAACTAAACTAATACATTATTGTCTTTTCTTAGCAGCTTTTACAGCCTTTGATTTTTGTTTTTCTCCTCCAGAAAGAAAAGACGTTATTACTTCAGACATTTCTGGCATATTATAGATAGTGAGATTATTTAATTGCTCCATTTCCTACAAAATGCATTTAGTTTATGACTTTGTCAAGAGGACTAGAATATATATAGACTACGTTAAATCGTATAATAATTTATATAGACGATGAGTATCTTATAGTTAAATTATCTTTCATTTATATATTTCTAGGATATTAAAAAACAAAAAAAAAACCCTCCTAGCCTTTAGGGTCACTCAATTTTTGGCCGGTCTTTAGATCTTCTTACCTTCCTAGTTTCAGGATCGTTCATAATTTTTGGCAGAATCATGATCAATATAAGTGGCAGAACCATCATTAGAACCTGGGGAAACATCGAAAGAAAAATATCAGAACTTCAGCGAAGGAAGTGAATTGAAGCGACGCATCGTCCTCGCAACGTCGTCGAGAGCTACGTTACCATGGGATTGAACAGGAAGTCCGTTAACCGCCACTGCTCTCTAACTTGGAAATATCGAAATGGTGCTAGAGGCCTCATTTTCAACGGGTACGGTACTTGGATCACTTGCGACGTCTGTATCAAATTGACCTTTCGAGCCCGGAATTTCCCCTTGGAATTAATCTCCACCCTGACCGGCTCGTAAACGTAATTCGGGTTCACCACTTCGACCATGTAAGACCCGGACGGGACGTTCGAGATTATGAACGTGCCGTCTTCCCTGAAACGAGAACGCGCTCGTTAAATACACGACGCGTAGGCGCACACGTATTAGTCGAGGATGCTAGAGCGATCGCATGACGTCTTCCTCGGGACGGAAACGTGAAAAAATAAAAAATTCCTCCGTTAACCTCACATCTTTCCGTCCTGGGAGAGAGAAAAAAATTACATGGTCGCCGACCCGGTGCTGACGCGTAAGCGTATACGTACCTCAGGAAGCCGTAGTGTTCACCTCCGTTTGCCATCACATGCGTCATGAGCTGCCACCCAGTGGAAGCGGCATTGTCCCAGGGGAACACCTTCCCCTCGATCACAAACAGATCCGTGGACGTGTCCTCCTCGTGCTCCGCCGTTACGTATCGCTCGCACAAATTCGCGAGGATGACGAGTAGACACAGAATTCCCTTCATGACGAACGCGAGCGAGCGATCATTAACCTCTCAGACGCGCACTCGTACGTTACATACGTTCAATCTACCTGCCAGGTTGACATTAGCACGTTAACCTCTTTTACTCAGAAACGCAGAGCAGGCCACGGCGATGCACGCGACACCTGTGTACTCCGGAACGTATTTCGTGCGCTACGAGATGAGCGATTTTATCCACGTCGCTAATTGACGGGGACCTTGGATTGGTCGGTCCCGTGGAAAAGATCCAAGCACCCGCGGTCGCTGTAATAGCAAAATCCAGTTTTCTGCACAATTTATGGTGCGTATCCGTACTAAATCCACTTTTCCAGTATGCTGGAGCTTTATTCTCGAAAAATTATGCATTAGAAAAAGAGAGAAAAGTTTGAGAATGGACATGCCGCATTTTAGGTGATTACGTCCACGCGCGTCGTCCACACTAGCGCTTCTATATGTGCATATCTATATATATATATATTTTTTCTTTTTTTAAAAAAATTCGGCATGTCCATTCTTAGGCTTTCTCTCTTTTTTTAATGCATAATTTTTCCTGAATAAAATTCCAGCAGGAATTCCAAGTGGTTAAAAAGAAGGGCTGCGGTCCGATTCACGCTCCAACACTTTTGGAATATTTTTATCCTTGCCGTTAATCGAATATATAATAATCGAATATATAAATAAAGATAAATGATCATGAGCGCTGCAAGCGTAAATCGAACCGCAGCTCTTCTTTTTAATTACATTATATTTTTTTGCGCGAAAAGAGAGAAAGGAACTGACAGATCTGAAAAGTTTAGATACGAAAAACGATGCTCTATTATATATATTTAGGGAGAGCAAATAAAATAAAGATCTTTTTAATTACATTATATTGTTTTGTGCAAAAAGAGAGAAAGGAATTGAGAGATATGAAAAGTTCAGATACGGAAAACGATGCTCTATTATATATTTCTTTCAAATATATACATATAATTCCAGAGATGATTCGAGAGAAAACATGACGCCCGACGCGACCACAACAGTCGGAGTCCCACAAGCAAATGATCTCCCGCTGATACCGGTCCGCTTATATACTCGATTCGAGTAGTAAGCGTGCTCCAATCAGAGCGCTTGGCGTGCGGGCGCGACACTGCGCGTTCATTGGCTGGTGCGCGAGCGGCGAGACGTAACGCTACGCTCCCCCGAACCTGCTGCGGAGTGCGGACTCGGCGTCCGGCGATCATCGGATTATCGCGCGCGCGACGCGTACGCGCCGCTTATATAGTACCTGCCGAGCGCGGACCATGGAGAGAGACCGCCTCACCACCCGTGTCAGTTTTCGGCGGACGATTAGGAGTAAGGAGCGAGATGCCACGGGTGATGAGGCGGTCTCTCTCCATGGTCCGCGCTCTGCAGGTACTAATAAGCAGCGCGTATGCGCCGCGTGCGCGATAATCCGATGGTCGCCGGACGGCGGACGCCGAGTCCGCAGCAGGTTCGGGGGAGCGTAGCGTTACGTCTCGCCGCTCGCGCACCAGCCAATGAACGCGCAGTGCCGCGCCCGCACGCCAAGCGCTCTGATTGGAGCGCGCTTACTACTCGAATCGAGTATATAAGCGGCAGTCCGCCGAGTTCGTATCATATGTCGATTGTAGGGGAGCGTTTCATGGCGTTGCTACGCGTCACGCAGGAACGATCCAACGATGCAGTGAGCAGTCTTTAAACAACTCATGCGCTGCAAAAGATGAATGAACACGTATACATTAGGAAGGACATTAACATGCTTCACACGATACATGTAATCTATAAAAAATTGATTCTTTCTATAAATTTATATGCTTCACACGAATGCTTTATCTTGCTTTATTTTAATGCTTCCAAGCATTAAAATGAATTATTATCTTGAGATATATAAATTAATCTTTAAAGTATACCGAAAAATTTACTCTTGAGATAATTTCTTATTTCATATAAAGATTTAAGTTTGAAAATTAATCCGAAATGATTAAATTAATTCGCTCGCATGGTCGGCCACAACTGTTCGCCGCGTCGCGCCGCGCGTGTCGGCGCGACGCTTGTTTCGCGTAAGCTGACCGCGTGCGAGACAAATTGCTCCGCTTCACTATCTGAATTACGCATTTATCCATATGTATGGCGTACGTTAACATATAGCGTACATATGGATAAACGCATAACTAAGATAGTGAAGCGGCGTAATTCGTTCCGCATGCCGTCAGCTTATGCGAAACAAGCGTCGCGCCGCGGCGCGGGCGACGCGTCGGCGGCGGTATACGTCTTGATTTTCGACCGAACGAGTATTGCGATTACGCATCCGATCGAATCAGTGTTTGAATATCGAATCTATATTACGCGATAATTAGATGATCGGATGTGTATTTCGCAATACTCGATCGAAAATCGAAATATGTAGCGTCGGCGTCGCCGTGCATCACTGTTGCCGCCACGGTCGTCGACGTGTCGCCGCGCGCCACTGTTGCACCGACGCCGCCGCAGCGCGTACGGTGGCGCTATTGGCACGCGAGCCGCGAAGTTGATCGCGCGGATAGACGACACCGCTCCAGTCTCCACTATTTTAGTAGCGTTTCTGTTATCATTTCAGAACTCGATACGAGAACGAGATAGGTCATCTTCGGAACAAGAGGCGTCGCGGCTAATATAATTGGTAAAGTGGACTTTGCATTTAATAATTGTCTAACATATAGCATCGCCGTTCTATCGCCGTCGCCACCGCCGCCGACCCGCGTCGCCGCGACGCTTGTTTCGCGTAAGCTGACCGCGTGCGGGACAAAGTGCTCTGCTTCATTATCTTAATTACGCATTTATCCATAAGTATGCGGCGTACGTTACATACAGCGAACATATGGATAAACGCATAACTAAGATAGTGAAGCGGCGTAATTCGTCCCGCGTGCCGTCAGCTTACGCGAAACAAGCGGAGCGGGCGACGCGTCGGCGGCGGTACACGTCTTGATTTTCGGCCGAACGAGTATTGCGATTATGCATCCGATCGAATCAGAGTTCGAATGCCGAATCTAATTACGCGCTAATTAGATGCAAGATTGATCGGATGCGTATTTCGCAATACTCGTTCGACCGAAAATCAAAATGTGTAGCGTCGGCGTCGCCGCGCGTCACTGTTGCACTGACGCCACCGCAGCGCGTACGGTAGCGCTATCGGCGCGCGAAGTTGATCGCGCGGATAGACGAAACACGAACAGATTCACCATTTTAGTAGCGTTTCTTTTATAATTTCAGAACTCGATACGAGATAGATCATCTTCGGAACGAGAGGCGTCGCGGCTAATATAATTGGTAAGTAGGATTTTTATTTACATTTATCTAACATGTAGCGTCGCCGCGCTATCGCCGTCGCCACCGCCGCCGATCCGCGTCGCCGCGACGCTTATTTCGCTGATCTCACGCGGGAATTGCTCCGCTTCGCAATCTCAATGACGTTAACGCATAAACGCTGCCACCGTTGCCGCGGCGCTCATTTCGCGTAAAGTTAATCGCGCGCGAGACGAAGCACGCTTCTTTGCCATCTTAATTATATTAATGTTTTAATTGCAGGACGTGATGGATACAGAACGCAACGATTGCGGAACGAGTACCGTCGCGAGTCATATAATTGGTAAGTGCGAAAATTATGTTGAATTTCGTACACTTTTATTTTTTTACTGCCGCAATATGATTAAGTTACGTGTGATTTATATCGAGAACATACGAGGTATAATAACCGTGTGATCGTCTTTTTAATAATTAGTTATAATTATACTTAATTTTAATAACAAGTTGTTTGTTTTAGAACAATTATCTGAATGCCACATATCTACATAAAAAAAGAAGAGAGATGGAGATGATCAAATATGAACATAGTGAGTATTTCATAATTTACTTTATTATTTGTTAAAACTAATGGTTTATCAGAAACTCGGAAACAAAAGAAATAATTATATTGATCTTTCTTAATATTTATTAACATTTCCCGAATTATATATTGAATTTAAATGAAGCTTCTTAAACTATTCTATCTTTAATTAGGTGTCATATAGTTAAATTATTCAATGTATATAATATCTATTAAATTTTTATACGTTACGGTTGATGACAATGTCAATTTAGAAAACTGGCTACAAAATATGATTTATTTGTTTATGATCATCATTTATATGTTAATATGATTTATATGTTTAATATTTCTTCTTTTAAAGCTAAATCAAAAAGAAATTTTTATTAATTATTCAATTTTATTTGCCATTTTTAATTTGCCATTGATATTTTAAAAGCATCACAAATGTGCAAATTTCAATAAACTTAAATAATATTCTCTATAAGAAACATAAATTAAATAAAAAGTATTCGCGTATGATTCTTGAAATTGCTGGAAAAATTTTTACATTTTACTAAATGTCCGTCTCAAACATGCTTACTTTTTATTTAATAAAATATTTAAATAATATATGGTATAATATATAAATGTTTCTTTATATAAAATATCACGAACATCTTTATCGTGCAATAAGAAACAAGAAAATTAATCATAGAAAATACTACATATTCAGCGAATGACATACA